CCAACCCCCCCCCCCCCCTTTTCCCCCCCCAAAAATTAGCCCCCCCCCCTCCCCCCCCCCCCCCCCACGCGCCCCCGCTGCAGTCAGCGTGTTCTTCGAGGTCACTTCTGCGGCACCCGGCGCGCCCGACGTGGCGGCGGCGCTGGCCAGCCAGGAGGGCTACGTGCGGGAGAGCCTGGGTGCGGCCATCCTGCCTGCCAGCCAGCAGGCCGCGGGGCAAGAGGTGGTGGGCAGCGAGGAGCACTCCCTGGGGGGGGAAGATGCCAGGGTGGAGTTTGTGCTGACGCTGACGCGGCCGGCGGGCGGCGGCGGTGCGTCGGTGGCGGCGGCTGCCGCGCAGCTGCAGCAGCAAGCGCTGTAGGTGCGGAGCTCCGGGCCTTTCAGCTTGTGAACCGCTGAGCTGCGGTTACAGAACACATTGTTCAAGATTGAAGTTGGGGCACCAGCATGCAGCCTGTAAACACGCAAAGAAGAAGGAAGTGATTGAATATGAAAGCGGTAGCAGCACAGTGGCAGAGCATGAAAAAATCAAGTCAAGAACTTGATTCAGTTCTGTCACACAAGCTAACAGGGCATGCGGTCACGGCAGCTGCAGGCGGTGCCGGCGGCTGTTGCTGCGCTGCTGCCAGCGCTGTCGGCCTCAGGAGGCGAGGGAGCGCCCTGCTCATGACCAGATGCTGTTGCCGCCCTCATCCTCCTCCCCCTGCACCAGGCACAGGCAAAAGTAAGCACATCTGAGAGTGAGGGCCAGCAGCGCAGCCGGTGCAGAGGGCAGAAGCGCGGGCGCAGGCGGTCTTTGCGGTCTCACCCAGCAGGTTGGGCGCGGCGGTGCGTCCCGCAGGCTGGGCGAGTCCTCGCTGGCCGCAGCCTTGGACAGCGCATGCTCCACCATGGACCGCACATCGTCCAGCACACGCCGGCGGCAGTAGCCAAAGGTGAGGGCCACCGCCAAGTCCCCCGCAGCCTCCAAGGTCTGCTGCTCGCGCTGCAGCTGGCCGGGGCTGGGCGGCTCGGCGGGCTCCTCCTCAGGAGCAGGCTGCGCCGCCCCGCTCTCGGCCTCGCCATCGCTCTGCCTGGCGGTGAAGCCCGCGGCCGGAGCCTCCTCCAGGCAGAAGGGATAGCTGATCAGCTGGCCGGGGGCGAGATCGCTGTGCTCGCAGCAGTGGGCCCCGGCGCCGCCGCCACCTGCCGGGGTGGTGAGCCGCAGGCTGTCGGCGCATGATGCGTGGCCGGGCGAGGTGGCGGAGTGCTGCTTCGCGCCTGCCGATGCCTGCTCCTCAGCAGCTGCAAGCACCTCCTCCTCATCCGTGACCCGTACCGCGGCCAGCACCTCATCCTGCGAGCAGGAGGCGCGCCGGCGCTGGCGCTGGCGTTTGCGGCAGGCGGGGTGATCACGAGGGCAGCAGTTGCAGCAGCACGGAGCCCAGGGAAGAGCGTGCTGCCTGCCCTGCCGCGGCGGCGGCAACCACACGCACCGTGAGCCACTGCACGACCGCCGCATCGTGGCTGGCGGCGGGCGCCCGCGTCTCCTCCGCCTCGCCGCCGCTGCCTGGGTGCAAGCTCGACAGCCCGGCCTGCTCCAGCGCCCGCCTGCGGGCCCCCCGGTGCTCCAGCTTGGCCAGCAACTCCTCCTCCTGGTGCGCGGTGAGCGCGCCGCTCTGCAGCTGGCCCATGAGCTGGTGGAACAGATTGAAGGGGTCCAGCGCTAGAGCAGAATGCCCGCCGGCTGGGCTCCCGCTGTGAGGCGCGGCTGCCTGCGGCTTTGGGGCAGCTGGCGCCACCGCGGCGGGCGCCGGCGCTGCGGCGGTCTTGTTGGAGCTGAGCAGGGGCGCGGCGTTGCGCGCGGCGGAGGGGCTGGCCACAATCGCAGCAGAGTTCTCGTCCGGGGACATGTCTCTAGCGATAGATGATGGTGCCTGCTGGTAGGGATGGGGGGTACGTTGACCTGACGGTCAAAGCTGGGATGTTGTCTGTCCCCGTCTGTCGGTCAACGAGCTGTGTCTGTCTGTCTCCGAGAGGCCTCCCTGACTATGGGCTGTCCAGGCACTCGATGGCGCACTCGACTGCCTCGAGAGGAGAGCACGCGGGACGGGTGCCGGCGCCGGCGCCATGGCTGGGCACCCGTCAAATTGGGAGGCAGGCCCTCCGTATCAGCGGCGCCGTTTCTCAGCTCACCGCGTCGCCCGTTGGGCGGGCTTTGTGGGGTGTTCGAGGACAGAAATCGTCAATTGAGTTAGAGTCTAGGCTTCAAGGGCATCGGTAGGCTTCCCGTCTGCCTGCAGTCACTTAAATAGTGATTGAAACGGTTCGAAGTGGCGGGAGTGTAGAAACGAGGCAAGAGTAGGGAGTCCAATGGCGGGACAGCACTACATCCTCGCTAGCCTCTCGAAAACGGCCCTGGTGAGTCTGGGAGCAGCACACGGTGCAGCCAGGTAGCAGAGCCGCCATGCCGTTATTGGCTGCACCGCCGCCCCACCGGCCCGGCGCCTGCGCCGCTGCCGGCGCCCTCCCCGAGGTCTTCGGCGGCACCCACTGCAGCGGCCACTCATCCCCACAGGCATGCTTAGGCCTCACTTTCATGCCCCATTCTCATTCGCTGCACTGGAAGAGAAGGCCGAGATCTGAACGTGCCAACAGTCGGTCAGTCAGTGAGAGTCAGCCACGCTCGTGCGTGCTGCCGCATGCATGCATGCCGCCGCCGCCGCGACACTCTGCCGCTCCCCTCCGCAGGTGCTGCTGGCAGCCAGTTGACAATTGCCCAATCATGGCGGCCCTGGCATATATCCAGGAGTCCGCACCTGGGCATGTTGCAGCCAACCAGCAGGCGTGCGAGACTGTGGTACCTGATGGCCCACCGGCGGGACGGGAGCACTCCCCGCAGGGGCGCTGGCGGTGCCACTGGCAGTGACGCCCTGCTGGGCGCCGGCGTCGATGATCCACTCCATAATATAGCTCCGTGCATGCTATTTCTGCTGTGCGTGCTCATGTTAGCACATGCCCTGTCCCGCAGGCCTGACAACTGGCCAGCGTGGGGCCACGCGTGCCGCGAAACTGGCCCTCAAAGGCCCGTTTCTTCGGATTTGCAGGCATTCGACCACTTGCAGGCCACTTTCACAGCTTCTGAGAACCGCAGGCGGGGGCTCCTGCTCAGGCCACCCTCGATGGCGATAGGGCCGCTGGGCGGGAGGCCGGCGGGACGCATTTGTGCACTGGTTCTGTGTCCAGTTAACAGAGGCATGCATCCATGCATTCCAGGGGCTCTGTTTGTTGTGTCCGTATACGTAACCGCAACCGCACGCTCCTGCATCATGCACACCCATAGTCAAGCACGCTCTGCGTTTGCCCTGCTGGCCGCTACAACGTCCACCCCCGCAGGTGGCTGATGCCGTAAGCAGCACTCCGCCTCCCAAACCACGTCCGCCTCGCCGGCGCCCTCCTCCCAGGCCTCGCCCTCCAAAGCCGCGGCCGCCACCCCACCCCAAGCCACCACCCCGGTGCGCCGGTGTTGCGGACCTGCATTGGATGCGATGCTACCACGTGCACTGTCGCTCTGCTGCCAACTAGCTGCTATGTTTTGCAGCCCCCGCCCGCCGCCACGGCCCAAACCGCCAGGGCCCCGCCCGCCACCCCACCCAAAGCCGCCTCGGTGAGCAGATATTGCTGACGTGCTCCTCACACGCCGCCGCCACTGTCGCTCTGCTGCCATCCGTGCCGCTAGCTCCGTTGCGCACATGCAGAATGTAAAAGGCAAAGCACCTATGCACTGTATTTTCTTATGCAGGCCCCGCCCTCCGTCTCGCCCACGGCCTCCGCCCAACCTGACTAATACAACGTGCGCAGCAGTGGCCGGGCCCTGAGCCGGCACATGCATGGGCGCTACATGCATGTGGCGGAGGCTGACACCGGGCTTTTGCTTTTTTGTGTTTACAGTCTGCATATCCGCAAAGGAACTTGCGACACAGACCCCCTGGCATGAGGGCTGTCTTCTGGCAGGATTAAGGTCACAGCCGGGCGCATGACCCTGCTGCCATGCAGGTGCTCCAAGCTGGGTGAAGCCTGATCCTTGGAATGCTGCTATGGCAATGGAATCTGCAGTCGTGGCACATGCAAGTGAGTTGAGGTTCGGGGCAAGCGGGATGGCTGCCATGAACGCATGGCACCACACTGTGCATTGCTGTTTGGCCATTCAAGCCCCCTGTGCCCCGCAGGTGTGTCCCCAAAGGAGGCCGCTGTGAATCGTGGGGCGACTGTTGCTCAAGGGAGTGGTGCAACTCACAAGGGACTTGCGGCCGCCTGCCATTGGGCAGCAAATGCAAAACTGACTCTGACTGCGACAGCATCTACTGCCCCCGAGATACTTTGGTGTGCACGGTCGAAACCCAGAGGTAGAGCGGGGCAGGGGGCAGCCACGGCGGCAGCCGCCGCGGCAGCTGCAGCGGCGCCATCGCGGGTGGCGGCAGGCAGGCAGCAGCGCCAAAAGGCGGCGGCGGCTCAAGCCAGAGAACCCGCGCCTCTGTCAGTGAGCAAGTTGCCTCTGGAAACCTTGATGGGACCAACACACCTACCCAGCGCCGCCCTCGCATTCCCCAGCAGCCGATGGCAGCAAGATGTGCGCCGGCGCCACCTCCATCAACGCAGCAGTAGATTTGCGGGCAGGATAGCCGCCACCTCTCACACTGCTTGGACAACCTAAGTTTCCCGTAGTCCCGTAATTGCTCCAGTACTGTGAAGTGAAGCTTGAGATGCACAGCCTTTGCTGGCTGCATGAACCCGCAAGCTGAGCTCCGATTGGTTAGTAGGTTAGTAGCGATTGTTTGGTGATTTCATCTTTCATCAGAACCAAAAACACCTCATTCTTGTGTGTAACTACTTCAGTGTGTTTTAAATTGGCAGCTGGAAGTGAAGCAGAAAGGCAACATGCGGCAGCAGGAGAAGGGCATGCATGAAGAGGTGCCATGAAAGGGTCGGGCAAGAGCTGAGCATGGCTGCGGCGCTGCAACGAAAGGCCCCAGGCGAGTGGCAGCAAGCGCAACCACGCGGGTGGAGCAGCAGCACCGACAGCCTGGCAGGCTAGAGGCTGGTCATGGGACGCATCAGCGGGCGCAGCGCTCTGGCGAGGCGGCGCCGGCTGCTGCGCCGCTGGCGGCTACTGGATGCAGCACATGCAGCCCGAGGAGCGGGGGCTGCCCCAGTCATCCTCGCTGCGTGCCGAGTGGCGGTCAGACGGCTCATACTCCACCACCTGAGCCAGCGGGGCCTGGTTCTCAAAGTCCGGCCAGCTGATGTTGCGGCGCATGCGGTTGGGGTCGCTCCCCGCCGAGCGCAGCACGCCGCTGGGCCGGCGCGAGCCGCCGTCCAGCTCCCCATCCTCGCTGCCGCCCTGGACGCTGCCCGCTGGCGCCGCTCCGGCCTGGCGCAACTCTTCTGCCGCTGTGAATGGGGAGGTGAAGGTGAAGGGCTGGTCCATATTTCTGCCGGCACTGGGCAGCCGCGCCAGCGAGGCGCCCCCCTGCTGCATTGTGGGCGTGTCCAAGGGCCCTGCCGGCGCAGGCACCGCTCCCGCTACCCCATTGCTATCAGGTCGGCCAGCCCCGGGCGCCGCCGCATCTGGCTTGGGCAGCGACGGCAAGCTTGCCGTCTCGCCAGCCTCTTCTGCTCCCGTTGCTTGCACGCCGTTCATCTGGCTGCACGTGCTGCCCTGCCTGGCTGGAGAGCTGCCAGGCTGGAAGCTGCCTGCTGTTGGCGGTGGGCTGGCCAGCCTGGTGTGTTGTGCCAGCCGCCTACTCCAGCTGCTTGGCTTGGATGGGCTCAGAAGAACACAACAGAGAAAGCCATGAACATGCAGGCTATTGAGACCCAGGGGCTCAGCCGCTCCCCAACGCGCGCAAACTTCCAAAACAGGCCCCGGAACCTGCGGCAAAGGCGGGCAGGGTGGCACGGAGGTGGTGAGTCGTGCGGCCCAGCAAAGGCGTGCAGCGTGGCAGGTGGCAGGCAGGCGGCAAGTTAGGCGGCACAGCAAAGGCGGGCAGGGGGCCTGGGCAGCGCCCTGCCAGTGCCACCCGGAACTTAGGGGCATACAGGAGGCATGGCATTGCCGCCGCCACTGCTGCCATATTGCTGGGATGGGCGCTCACCCCGTGCGCTCGTTGAGGAGGTAGGGCGCTGCGTCCAGGGAGCAGGCAGGGGGCGGGGCGGTGAGTGCAGGGGCGGAAAAAGAGAGATATGGATGAGTGCGATGGGTCCCACCTTTTCCCTTGACGTATGTGCACGTGCAGATCGTGAGCAGCAGCACCACCACAAAGGAGCTAAAGTTGAATAGCGCAGACATTTCTTAGCGCTTGCGAGCCGTGACGACCATGCCACCTCTACACTCGTGGGATTGGCGTGTTCGCACTTCTGGGTGTATGCAAGTGATCGGGGGCCACGCAAGAGAGATTATTGGGAGCGGTGTGCATTGTATTCCTGCTTTCCAAACTCTCAAACAGGTGCCACTCACAGGCAGGCGCACCTGTCAGCCGCAGCTATCCCCTCCCGGTGATCCCATCACCGCCGCTTGCAGGCCATCACCACTAGGGTGTGGCAATCGCTCATTTTCTGCCGCGGCACATGCGAACCTGATTGGCGCCTGACCCCACCTCCCCCAATTTTCACAGCTGGTAGCGTCAGAGAGGCCACTGGAACCTATACCTACCTTGTGATGGCACCCAAGACCAAGAAGCAGGGTGAGCGGTGAACCTGGGCCCCTGTCATGTTTGAGTGCCATAAGGTCCCAGCAGACCGGCTGAGCACCCTTCTACCGCCTGCAGGAGCCTACGTTGAGGTTGGTGCTGGAGGCCCGCTCAACGCAATCATGGCAGGTCAGGCTGGGGCCAGCTGGGGAGCACGGGAGTGATCCATGACATGCAGCCTGCCTTGGGAGCAGCGTCCGCCACGCTCTGCGGGCCCAGCAGCGGCCCTGAATGCACAGCAGCGATAGCGCGCTGCAGCGCCCAACCGCGCCACCGCCGCCGCTCCTGGCGCCTAGTCCGCCCGCCCAACGGCTGTAGCCGCGCCCAACGGTCGCGTGTCCGTTGCGCGGCCTCCGCCCCCTGCAGGCGGCACGAAGGGCGCCAAGCGCGATGCCGGCGAGAAGCCGGCCGCCAAGGAGCCTTCCAAGAAGGCGAAGAAGGAGCCTGAGGCGGCGGCGCGCGGCGGCGATGTCGAGATGACAGATGAGGATGTGATCGTCGGCTCCGGCCGCCAGGCCGCACAGGTGCGGCTTCACGCAGCCCCAGCCCCTTCACGTCCATAGTCTGCTACAAACTGCACCTGGCGCAGGGGCAGACAGTGGGAGGGCCAGCCAGCGCAGGCGCCCAACGGCTCGCCGCGCCCAACGGCTAGCCGTTGGCCAGGTCGCACTAGCCGTTGGCCTCTGCCGCGCGTCCCTTCCTCACGCCCACAACCCATGGTCACCTTCCCTTGTACCCCTGCCCGCCCTGGCACCTGGTACCTGCAGAACATCAGCTACAAGGACAAGCGGGTGAAGCTGGAGAGCAAGGAGGATCGGCTGGTGGTGAAGGAGGATGTGGTGTGCGAGGGCGAGCAGGAGGCGCTGAAGGAGGTGAGGCGGCAGCCGCGGCCGGCTGCGCAGAGCTCAGCCCAGCGGGCCTGTGGCCGGGGCTGGACCTTGTTGAGCGCGCACGGGTACAGCGCAGGCACTCTGTGCCCAGGGATCTTGCAACGAGCCCCCACACACGCCCCAACACGCGTGCCCCTCGCCACACATGCCTGTGCCCCTCGCCCACGCTCACATGCACACCCTGCCCTGCGCTCCCGGCAGACCGAGGCCGGCTCCGGCTGGAGCAACAAGCTGCGCCGCCTGGGCGACTTCTCTGTGTGCGACGAGGCGGGCATTGTGGAGCCTGTGGAGAGCGTGGAGTACTGCCAGGGCAAGCTGTTCCTGTCGGGTGAGGCACAGCTGGGCTGGGCTGGGCTCGGCTCGGCTCCCCCTGCTGCTCCTCGCTGACATGCACGGCGCTGCGCGCCGGTGCAGAGCCCACCAGCCTGCCTGCCCGCCCGCCTGCTGCGCCGTCCTCCACGGCGCGCCCCGCATCATGCTCCTCCCTCGCTCTCCACCCCTCCCTCGCCTCGCCCGTTCCCAACATCCCTGCCCTCCGCCTGCCCCCTGCCTGCCCCCTGCCTGCCCCCTGGCTGCCACCTTACCTGCCACCAAACTCCCCCCTGCCTGCCACCTGCCTGCCCGCCTGCAGGCGTGGTGTATCCCAAGGAGGGCGCCACCACCAAGGAGACGGGGAGGCGCTGCGAGCGCTTTGGCCCCCTTGAATCCTTCTCCCTCGACTTCTCTGACAAGAAGGGCGTGCAGGTGGGGGACGCTGCCGCCGTACATGCGGCAGTACAACATACTTGTACTACAGCCATCTCGACGCCATGCTGCGCTCGGGGAACGCTGGGAGCCGACGAGCCTCCCGCCCACTCCTCCCACCCACTCCTCCCGCCAACCACTCCCCCGCCTCTGCCGCTGCTCCTGCTGCTCCGGCTGCCGCTGCTGCTGCCGCAGGTGGTGGCCTGCACCAAGGAGGGGCAGTACCTGCTGATGCGCCCCGCCGCCGCCTACAAGAAGGTGTACACGCCGCTGGCAGAGAAGGCCGCCATCTGCTTCGAGGCAAGCATGCAGGCAGCTTGGTGGAGGGGCTGCGCTGCCTTGCTGTGCTGCCGGCGCAGGGCACGCGCGCTTGAACATGCTGCGTCAGGGATCCTCGCTGTGTGCGTGTCTGCATGGGGGTGCAGGGCAGAAGCGGGTGTGCCTGCCTCTCCTGATTGCCCCGCCTGTCCCGCCTGTCCCGCTGCCTGCTTGTCGCCTGCAGGTGCACCAGGCGCTGAGCCCGCAGCTGGGCGGCTCCGCGTTTGCCAGCCTGGAGGAGATTGTGGCCCGCCTGGCTCGCGCCAAGGTGCGCCCCCGCCCCTCTCTGCTGCGCCGCACGGCACGTGCTGGGCGTTGCGCACGGCAGGGTGGGCTAGCTGATCTGGCTGCTGCCCCTCGCCCATCCCAGCTCTCACCTGGCCTGCGCGCTCCCCACCGCTGCTCCCACCCTGCAGGTGTGCAAGGGCTACCCCAGCGCCCGGGAGGGCCTGCTGGTCAACGCCCGCTTCCTGCTGGCTCAGTTTGAGAGGCTGGATGCCGCCTCGGGCCACAAGGCGCTCAAGTATCTGGACACCGACTTTTGAAAGTCGCTGGCCAAGGAGGTTGGCGGGGGCGCCTGGCTGGTTGGCCGGAGAATCCTGGAGCTTCGTGCCCTTGCACAATGCCCCCTTGCGCCAAGTTCCTTGCACCGGTCGCCTCTCGCTCCGAGCTGTCTTCACGCGCACCTGCCAACCTGCTCGTACTGCTCACAAGCTGTACCGCCAATAAGCTGTACCGCCATACTGTACTGCCGCAGGCCAAGGACTACAAGTACGTCGGCTCCCAGAAGCAGAACGGCGGCATCGTCATCCGAGACATGGAGGCGGCCGCCGCCTCTGGCGCCGGTGAGGCTTGAGCGCAGCCGGACGTGGGGTGGCCTGGGCCTAGGGTGCAGTGCGCCGGGTGACTGGGCAGAGCGGCGCTGCAGTGTGTACCACCCTGCTGCATATGCCCTTGCATTGCCCACAGGCAGACCGCTTGGTTCGAGAGCGCTTCCCGTGCTCCCCGGCCTGCCTGCCGCAGGCGCCCCTGCCGTCGAGGCCAAGGAGGGAGACAAGCAGATGGAGGCGGATGAGGATCTGGCCCGCCAGCTGCAGGCCAAGATGGACGCAGAGATGCGGGCCAAGTGAGCTGGCGCTGAGCTGGCGGCGGCATGCTGCGCTGGCACCACGCTGGGATCCATAGCGTGGCAAACGAGCCGCGTTGCTGCGAGCGCTCTGGGCGCCGGCGCTGCTGCGCCTTGCCGTCGCTGCTGGCCTGAGACCCGCCGCCCTCTGGCCTGCCTGCCGCCGCAGGCGCCCCGGCGCGCCCAAGGGCAACAAAGGTGCGCAGGCCTACATGCGCGTGTCTGAGTCTGAGATCGCTGATGACTACCCCGCCCCCCAGGTGCGCCTGCGGTGGCTTAGCCTGAGAGGCCCTAGAGGCCCAGCAGCGCAGGTTCCCTAGCCTCGGCCTGATTGGAGGTGCCGGCTGCCCCACTGCCCACCCTGCCGCCGCTGCCATGCCGTTCCGCCGCCACGCCGCACGCGGCCACCCCGCCCGTTCTTGCCGCTTTCCTGCCCGCCCTGCCTGCCCTGCCTCACCGCTGTTTGGCCCCTGTACCGCCGGTGTGCCTCCCGTACCGCAGGCGTACCGCAAGGAGGACGAGGAGACCGACGAACTGATCCTGATGGACGATGAGTGCGCTGACGTGGACCCCGAGTACCTGCCCCGCAGGCTGCTCACCGACTTCTCCATCTACAATGCAGAGGTGGGTGGGGCAGCGGGGCTGGGAGCAGATGCTGTGTATTGTTGTGGGACGGTGGTGATGGAGGAAGGGAGCTTGGGGAGCCTGTGTGTGCCTCTGCTTGTGCTGGTGGAAGGAGGAGGGAGCGGTTGGCTGGTCGGGAGCCTGGGCTGCTGCCCCGGCTGCACATCGTTTGCTCACCGCTGCCCTCCGCTCCCCCTGCGCCACTCGCGCCCGCAGGGCATGTTTGGGTCCCTGGAGCTGCTGCCCATGTGGAGCGGCGTGGACCCGGATGTCGAGCTGTACGCCTCGGGGCTGGTGGTGGATGATGAGGGCGACTTCTCCGGCGGCCAGGCCCTGAACGACGGTGGGTTTGGGGCGGGGCCGGGTTGGGTTGGAGGCGGGCAGTTGGTTGGAGTGGGCGCGGGCAGCGCTGCTGCCGGCGAGCAGCGAGGGCACGTGTCCCGGAGGGACGCCCCGGCGCGGAGGCTTGCAGCGCCGTGCCTGACGTGCTGCGTCTACACTTTGGCGGATGCCCTGCAGACGGCGCGGGCGGCAGCGGCTCCGGTGCAGGCGGCAGCAGCTCCGGCGCGGGCGGCTCTGGCGTGGGCCCCGCCGAGCCAGCCGGCATGCGCATGTACCTGAGCCAGATCCGGGAGTGGGTGGTGGACTTTGGCGCGGACATGCTGTTCATCTCCATCCGCACTGACGTGGCGTGGTGAGCTGGCGCTGAGGTGGCGCGGCGGCGTTGCAATGTCAGCTGCCCGCCGGCACTCCCTCTCAGCGCCGTCCAGCAGGACCCGCTGTTGTACCTGCGACGCATCTCTGCTGACACGCCTGCTGACACGCTGGCCCCTGCCCTGCTGTCCTGCCGTACCGCCTTCAGGTACCGCCTGTCCGTGCCCGCCGCCAAGTACGCACCCTGGTTTGGCGTGGTGCTCAAGTGCGCCCGCCTGGCGGTCAAGGTGCTGCAGCTGCTCAGCCTGGAGGCCCGCGCCTCCAAGCTCAGGTGAGGCGCAGGCGCAGCACCAGGCGCAGGCAGCTTGTTGGGAAAGGGAGTGTGTGCAGAACCAGCCGGCCCGCGTTGCCGCTCCCCTGCCCCTGGCGCTCTCCTTTCCACCCGGCCCATTCCTGCTCCGCCCCCGCAGCTTCAACGACATTGTGAAGCGGCTGGCAGCCCAGGACGAGACGGAGACCACCTTCGTTTCCAAGAAGGTGCCTGCCTGGCGCCACCTCTGCACTGCCAGCCCATCAGCCTGCCGCAATTGCCCACGACTGAGCCTCCCTCCGCTGCGCTCGAGGCATGGGCTGCCGCCGCCCTCTTTCCTGCTGCCTCCACCTCAGCCCTTCCAGCTGTGCCTCCCCGGCCGCAGGTGGATGCTGTGGAGCGCTTTGTGGTGGCCCACGGCCAGATCATCATCAACCAGTTCCAAAACTACCCTGGTGGGCAGGCCTTGGGATACCACTGGCTACGCCTGGACGAGGGCTGCTGCTCTGGAGTTGCTGGCTAGCAGGAAAAGCAGCCAGGCCGGCCCCGCCTCATCTATGCCCCAACCCTCCCGTCTCGTCACGCCCTGCCCCTGCCTGCTCCCGCCTGCCCCTCCCCGCCTGCAGTCAAGGAGGTGCAGAAGAGCGCGTTTGTGTCGACGCTGCGCGAGCGCATGGCGCAGCTGCGCCACTGCAAGCTGTACAAGGCGGGCAAGAAGGAGGTGGTGCGGGGGCAGCGCGTCAACCGCAACCCCATGGGATCCAACCAGCTGCACGACGTGGCCCGCTCCAACAAGCCCATGACCGCCACCGCCACCGTCATGGTCAAGAATGTGTGGCAGGCGTACTTCCGAGGCGCCAAGCCGGAGGGCGAGGGCGAGGAGGGCGGCGCAGAGGGCGAGGCCGCCAAGGTGGGTGGGGGAGTGGGCTGGGGAGGTGTGCTTCGGCTGGGGAGCGTCCTGGAGGGATCGCGGCCTGCCCGCTGTGCTGTCGTGTGCCGCTTCCCGGTGCTGGCTATCCTCCGTCGGCGTATGCCGTGCACGTTGCGCCACGCTCCATGCCGCTGCCGTGTGCTGTGTCCCCCTGCAGGAGGTGGAGGAGGATGAGAACGAGGAGGAGGCGGAGGACGATGTGGCGGAGGATGCGCTGGCGCAGGGTGCCGCCAAGAAGGCCGGCGCGGCGGCCGCCAAGAAGAAGAAGGCTGCCAAGGGCGCCTGGGTGGGCGCAGTGGCCAGGACCGAGGACGGCGACAAGTTCTACAGCAAGGCCAAGGTGGGGCGACGGTACAGGCGGTGCATGCTGCAGTACAGGCAGCGCGGGCAGTGCATGCAGTGAGCTAAGCTCCACAGCAGAGGCGACACAAGGCTTCCTGCAGCCCATGAGCCAGGTGGCGCGTGCAGCCATCCGCTGGGCCAGCCAGCCCTTCAAGCGTGCCGCCCTCACCTCCCTCCCTCCCTGCCGCCGCCGACGCTGCCTCCCTCCTCCCCACACTGCAGGTGGGCGAGGTGCAGGTGGCGCTGGGCGACGCCGTGCTGCTGGCTGCCGAGGAGGACGACGAGGGGGCCCCGCTGGCGCTGGTGCAGGCCATGTGGCAGACCGCGGACGGTGCGCCTCCGCTTGCCGCCGCCTCCTGCAAGGAGCCTCCAGGCTCGCATGGTCCGCCAGCATTGCAGGCCAGCCCTTTGCATGACTGCCGCTGTGTTCAGGTCTGACTTGTCTCCCTGCCCCTGCTCCCACCCCCTGGGGCCTCGCCGCCTCTCGCAGGCTCCAAGGAGGTGCAGGTGCGGCTGCTGGCCCGCGGCGAGGAGACTGTGCTGGGCGACGCCGCCTCCGACTCCGAAGTCTTCCTGACCACCGAGCTGGAGACGCGGTGAGCTGGCACCGCTGAGCTGGCACGCCCAGTGTGTGTGATTAGTGCTTGTGCTCGCTGGCAAGCTGCGCTGAGCTGGCACGTGGAGCCAGGCTGGCGTGTTCACCACCTGATAACGCTGGGGCAGGTGGGAGCTTCAGTCCCCTGTTATCCACACCCCAGCCCACTTGCTTGCCCCTGCTGCCTGCCGCCAGCCCGCCGTCGCACCAACTTGCCACCCCGCTGCACCCGCCCCTGCCCTGTGTGCCGCAGCGAGCTGACCAGCATTGTGGAGAAGGCGAGCGTGAGCAAGCTGGAGCGGGTGTGGGACGCCTCCAAGCGCCGGGAGCAGTTCCAGCAGGACCAGGAGCTGCGCCAGGTGGGCTGGATACTTCCCCTCCAGTCGCACATGGCGCCGATGGCGTGCCCCTGGCATGCCAGGAGATGCTGAGATGCTGAGATGCTGAGATGTCTGCGCCGCCTGTGTGGCACGTGCCCCGCTCGCCTGCGCCGCTGCTCACGCCTGTGCGGCTCCCTGCCCCCCCGCAGCGCAACGAGGAGGCTGCCAAGGAGGGCCGCCCGCTGGAGCTGTTCTGGCGGCGGCAGTATGCGCCGCATGAGGGCATGTTCTGTGACCCACCTGCTGACCTGCAGCTGGGCACCCGCCTGCCTGAGGTGCGGTTGTAGGGTGGTGGGGTCTGCTGGTCATGGGACCGTGCATCAGAGGCTGGGCGGGTTGAGCGTTGCGCAGGCGGGCGGCGATGGGGGAAGGTGCAGGGAAGTGCCCAACTGTCGCCTGGTTGTTGCCCTTCTCACGTGTGGCTGCAGGACGACGGCAAGCCCGCCAAGGGCCTCAAGGTGCTGGCCGGCGGCAAGGGCTTTGTCAAGGATGGCGTGGAGTACAGGTGCGGCGCAGCCCAGCCCTTCCTGCATTGCCGGCTGCAACTGGGGCGCGCGCTTGGGCTGGGCCCGCGCTCCCTGTGACCCAGCCAGGCCAGCTGCAGCTCTGGGCGGCGGCTCTGGCCTGCCGTCACTCTTGACTCCCTCCCTGCCGCCGCCGCTTCTTTCTTCCCTCCTGCCTTCCCCCAGGGAGGGCGACTTCCTGTTTGTGGGCCCCACCGTGTTTGACCAGCTGGAGGATGCGCAGCAGGATGTGCAGCTGCCTGAGTATCTGGCCAACTCGCGCTTCCACAAGGCACGGCACACGCAGCGGCGGCATGCATGCCTTGCTGCTGGCGCTGCCGCTTGCGACCACCCGTGCTAGTGCTGGCCACTTTTAGCATGCCTGCGTTGCTGACGCTGCTGCTTGTGACCACCCATTGCTGCTGCCAGTGTGCCCCTGACCCTGACCCCCTCCCTCCCTCCCGCCTCCCGCTCCCGCCTGCAGGGCAGCCATGTCGGCCTCCGCGCCTGGGGCATCGCCCAGCTGGTGCGCCTGGGCAAGGTGGAGAAGGCGGAGGGCAAGGGCAAGGCAGCCAAGGGCAAGGGCAAGAAGGGGGAGGATGACTGGGAGGACAGCGAGGAGGCGGGCAGCAATAAGGGCGGCGGCAAGGGCCGCGGCGCCGCCGCCGCGGGCGACAAGGTGTCCGCCCTCACCGTGCGCCGCTACTACCGACCCGAGGACATCTCTCGCGAGCAGGCCTACAAGGCCGCCTCCTTCTATGAGGTCTACGCCTCGGGTGGGTGGGCTGTGCAGGGATGCAGGCAGGAAGGGATGGAGATGGGAAGAGACGAGAAGCGGAGAAGGAGGGGAGGACAGTTCTGAAGTCCACGGCAGGCTGGCCTGCCCCCCCGCCTGTTACTGAAGACTCTGCTGTGTGACCTGCCTGGCTGGCTGGCCTGCCTGCAGAGGAGGAGGTGACGGTGAGCGTGGACGATGTGGTGGGGCGGTGCCGCGTGGTGCCCAAGGGCTACCCCACCAGTGAGTCATGCCCTGCCTCCCTGCCTGGCGCGCCCAGCGCCGCCTGCTGGCTTGCTGGCTTCCTGCGCCCGCGCGGCTGCCGCCTTTGGGGTCTGCTGCTGTGCTCCGCCGTGCCCGCTCCCCTTCTTCTGCCTGCACCCCGCGCCGCCGCCCCGTCGAACCATTCAGCAACCGTCCCATGCCGACCCTCTCCCTGCTCCTGCGCCCGCAGGCATCGACACCTTTGAGTGCGCCGCCACCTTCACCCGCAAGGGCAAGAAGTTTGGGCCCGCCCCGCAGCTGGCCATCCCAGAGGACCTCCAGGACTTTGATCCCATGGAGGAGGAGGAGGAGAAGGCGGCTGCCGTGGCACCGCGCGCCGACAAGGGTGGGCGGGGCGGCGGGGGCAGAGGCATGGAGTTGGCAGGGAGGCAGGGGGGCAGCAGTGGGGCACACAGGCAGCCAGCCTCAGCGTCAGACCGGGGGCTGTTCAGAATTGCTCACCGGCTGCTGCCCCTGCTGCCGCCGCCGCCCCTCTACCCCCGCGCTGCAGGCAAGGGCAAGGTGGGCGAGGAGGCGGAGCCTGCGGCCGCCGCCGAGCAGGGCAAGGCCGTGGCGGGCGCGGGCGCGTTCCCCGGCGACGACGGCATCGCCCTCGCCACCATGGACATATTTGCGGGCTGCGGTGGGCTGTCAGAGGGCATGCACCAGGCCGGTGAGCAGGGCAGGGGGCTGCGGCAGGCCGGATGGAGGGGTAAAGCAAGGTCGGCCGGCGCGGGGCAGTATGCGCCACACCCACACGCCGCGCAGCGGCACCACGCGCTGCTGACAGCGTCCCCAGCCTCCCTTGCGCCTCACCCACGCCGCCGCGCCGCACCTGCGTGTCCCCCCTTCCTGCTCCTCATCCTCTCCCTCCCTCCCTCCTCCGCAGGCGCCGCCGTGAGCAAGTGGGGCATCGAATACGAGCGCCCCGCCGCCGCCGCCTTTGAGGTGAACAACCCGCAGGCCGCCGTGTTCTGCAACAACTGCAACGTGCTGCTGCACGCCGCCATGACCAAGGCGGGGCTGGAGGATGACTGCGATGCCTGCGGTGAGGCAGGGGCGGGGATGGGGGTGGGGGTGGGGCGGGGCTGCCTGTTCAGGAGGGGCCAGGGCTGGCTGCTGGGTCGGCTGTTGGGGTGGCTGGGGGTGGCGGCTGGGCTGGCGTGGAGCTGGCTGCTGGCCGCACGCGGGCTGCAGGGCTGGCAGGGCTGCGCTCTGTTGGCATGGCCTACCCGTTGTGGTGTGCCAACCCATTGCGGCTCCGCATCTGGCGCGCACACACCTTGCCTGCATCTGCCGTTGCCCCCGCCCGTTCTGCCTGGCCTGCAGACGACGCCAAGGAGGGCACTGCCAACCTGCCCTCGGAGCAGATGGCGGCGCTGCCGCTGCCGGGCGAGGTGGACTTCATCTGCGGTGAGCTGGCGCCAGGCTGGCGCTTCCCTCCCGCACATTGCATAGGAATCTTCCCTCCCACCCCCACCTTGCAGCGTAAAACACGCTGGCACCAGCCAGCCGGCGCATGCCTGCCCCACACCAGTGCCGGCCCGCTCCTCGCGCTGCCTGTGCCGCTGTCCCGAACCCTGCCACTTGCCCCCTGCCTCCCGCAGGCGGCCCGCCCTGCCAGGGCTACAGCGGCATGAACCGCTTCAACAAAGGTAACTGGTCCATGGTTCAGAACTCCATGGTTATGGCCTTCCTGTCGTATGCTGGTGAGCTGAGCTGGCACTGGCAGGGCACGGAACACACGTTGGGCTGGCAGGCACGGCAGGCGGGGCAGCTGGCAGGGAGGGGGAGACGGCGGCCAGCTGAGGCAGCAGGGGACGGCGGCGGGGCAGGGAAGGGGGAGCAGGCGGGCTGGCTGAGCCATCGTGGCGGCATGGGAGGGCCCGCTCCCGTGTCCGCCCACCTCCTCCACTCTCACCCCGCCTCCCCCTGCCTGCCCCCCGCCTCCTCCTCCCCCCTGCTGCCCCTCCTGCAGACTTCTACAGGTGTGTGCCGCGACCAGGGGGGCAGCCTGCACGCTTGGAACAAAGCAGGGGGGGCGCATGCGCAGGGGCATGCACTCTCCGCTCGCCTGCCAGTGGCGTGACGCGTGTGCCGTACCGCCATGCTGTACCGCCCTGCCGTACCGCCCCGCAGGCCCCGCTACTTCCTGCTGGAGAATGTGCGCAACTTTGTGTCTCACAACAAGTCCTTCACCTTCCGCCTCACCGTGCGATCGCTGCTGGACATGGGCTACCAGGTGGGAGGAGGGGTGGTGGCTGGTGGTGGTGGTAGTAGCAGCGACTGGTGCTGGTGTGGTGGTGGTGGTGGTGGCAACGGCGGCGGTGGTGGTGGTGGGTTCACTTGGGGAGGCTTGGCATTGCAAGCAGCGGTCGGGAGAGGGACAGGCGCCCGCCTCTCTTCTCTGGCAGGCTGGCTGGCTGGCTGGCTGCATCCCCCTAGAGTTGCACCACATGCCACGGTTCACGCACCCCGCCACCTCCCGCCTCCTGCCACCACCACCACCACCCCGCCGCGCCTGCAGGTTCGCTTTGGCGTGCTCAATGCCGGCAACTTTGGGGTGGCGCAGTCGCGCAAGCGCACCTTCATCTGGGCGGCGGCGCCCGGCGAGCTGCTGCCCGACTGGCCCAAGCTGATGCACTGCTTCCGCACGCCCCAGCTGACCATCAACCTGCCCGGCGGCGTGCAGTACCGCGCGGTACCGCAGACGGTGAGCGGTGCAGCTCGGCGGGAGGGCTGGGCAGGGGCGGTCCGTGGATGGCGGCAAGCGCCTTGGCTGCCGCAGCGGCAGCGGCACGGCCCCCGCTCTGTTGCACCTGCCAGGCAGTGCGCCAGCAGCGCCGGCCCAGTAGTGCATTCCAGCTCGCAGCACGCCCTTGCTCACCCCAGCCTCCACCTGTGGCCTCACGTATGCTGACCCCCTGCCTCCCCGCCAGCGCCTCCCCCCCGCAGGTGGGCGCCCCGCTGCGCCCCGTCACCGTGCGGGACGCCATCGCAGACCTGCCTGAGATTGAGAACGGGCACATGGTGGAGGAGATGGAGTATGTGGGGGGCCCGGTACGTACCGACGTGGTACCGCTGACAGTACCGCCACGGCTCTCAGACCTGTCTGCATGTGCTGCTGCACGTCGTCCTGGTGTCTTTCTCGCACCGCGCAGCCCCGGCCCTCCCGCAACAGCCCCCGAGCTTCCCCCTGGCTGCCTCCCCCCCGTACCCATTGCCCGCAGGTGTCTGCTTTCCAGCAGCACGTGCGCGGCGACTGCACCCAGCTGACCGACCACATCTCCAAGCAGATGAACGAGCTCAACCTGGAGCGCTGCAGGTGGGACAGCGGCAGGCTGGGTGGAGCTGGGCCGCAGGGGCTTTTGCAGCAGAGGGGCGCACCGCTGGCTGCGCGATTAGCGAGCAGGGCGCAGGGAAGTCCCGGCACGCGCTCGCCCTGCTGCGGGGCTCCCTCTCGTCACAGCCTCCCACCCGCCGCTGCCCCGCCGCCGCCTGCCCCCGCCGCAGGTGCATTCCCAAGAACTGCCCGGGTGCTGACTGGCGGGTGCTGGAGGAGATTGTGAAGGCCGACCCCGGCCGGGAGAAGTTCAAGGTGAGAGAGAGTGCGTGTGTGTGGGCACAGTGTGTGTGGAGGGGAGGCTTTGGTGGTGAGTGTGCGTGGGCAGCGCAGCGGGCGCCGGCGCTCGCGCTGCTGCTCACCCAGCCCCGCCCGGCGCCGCCCCCTGCAGGGCCAGCCCCTGGTGCCCTGGTGCCTGCCCAACACGGCCGACCGCCACAACGGCTGGCGCGGCCTGTTTGGCCGCCTGGACTGGAACGGTCACTTCCCCACCTCCACCACCGACCCTCAGCCCATGGGCAAGGTGGGGCAGGTGTTCCATCCCGAGCAGGACCGCATCGTGTCTGTGCGCGAGTGCGCCCGCGCCCAGGGCTTCCCAGGTGGGTGGCGGGACCTGCATGCAACCGCGATCCGACGCGCCCCGCCGGGGAGCAGCTGGCTGCCCGACCAGGGTCCCCAGTGCCTGACTCCCTGCCCCTCCGTCCCCTGCCCCCCGCAGACAAGCACCGCTTTGTGGGCACCGTGCACAACAAGCACCGGCAGGTTGGGAATGCGGTGCCGCCGCCGCTGGCCGCCGCGCTGGGCCGCCAGCTGCGCAAGGCGCTGGAGGCCAAGGCGGAGGCGGAGCGCCAGAAGGCGCTGGCGGCGTGAAGGCGCCCGTGGCAGGCCGCAGGCGCTGGTGAAGCCGCTTTTCATTGATGTTCTTTCGCTTTTGTTCAGACACCTCCAAGTGTTTAAGATAGCCAACAGACAGGGTGCGCTCTGCTGTGTGCCGCGCCCTGTGCGGCCGCCTGGCAGACGGACCTGGCAGGGTGAGCTGTTGGTAGGACTTCTTTTCCAACACCAACAGAGACCTGAAGCCCTCAGCTGGGCTGTTTGGAGGAGGTGGCACACGCCTGGGGCGGTGGCGGTTCGACGGCGGCGGGTAAAGTCAGCCCGACCTGCGTCGCATGCTGATTTAGCTCTACCCCCTCCCTCGGAGCCGATGTAAAGCCCGTTTGAGACGCACATCATCCCCCTGCAAGCCCCCGACCATCTCACGCGCTTCATGGGACCGTCCAATTCCAACCGCGATTGCTTGCATCAGCTATCCTACCGGAAACCCGCCGCTCTTGCTCCAGCAGCAACAGCATGCAGCTGTGACCTCCCCGGAAACACCAGGCCAGCGATGCCCCACCACCGGAGAGGGGCCCCCTCAGGGGGCCTGCTGGCCCGGCTCTTCTGCTTCGCGCCACACGCGCGCGTGCGCAACATGAGCCTGCCAGCGCGCGACAAGCAGCAGAGCAGCAAGGCAGCTGCAGCTGCTGCGCCAGCCGGGGCGCAGGCGGCGCCCGCCAGCCCCGCATCAGCCGAGGCCCTCGCCGCCTATCTGGGCACCACGCCCCTGCCAGCCCCCTTTGGCTGCACAGCCCCACCCTCGGTCTCAGCAAGCACCCCACAAACGTCCAGCGGCAGCGTCGCGAGCAGCAGCGGCGACGGCGGCTGGCGCGGCGGCATGGAGGCGGGCTATGATGGTGACAGCGATTGCCCGGAGGCAGGTTCGCCGGTCACCTGGCGCCGCCGCTTTGCGCCCGCAGTGCGGCACGCCAGGGCAGCCGGCCAGCCAGCAGCGCAGGCACCGGCGGGCGAGGGACAGCACCAGGAGCAGCGGAGCAAGGAGGCTGACGGAGGAGGGAGCGGCCCTGCTGGCACTGGCATGCAGGAGCTGGCGCAGCGGCTGGAGCAGCTCTCCGCTGGAGGCAGCAGCAGCAGCCAGGGCCGCACACACTCCCAGGGCGCCAACGCGGTGGCGCCGTACGACCCTGAGCAGGCGGCAGCCATGCCTGCTGGCGAGACACCCGGCAGCGCAAGCGGCACCGCCCCGCTCCTGGCGCGCCCATCGCCCTTTGTGTGTCCCGCCCAGCCCCAGCCCGGCCCAGGCGGCGGCGGCGGCGCCAGCGTGACGCCCAGCGGCAGCGCCGCCAGCCTGCCCGCGCTCGGCGCCACGCCCAGCAGCCGCAGCTACTCCCGCCTGCCCAGCCGAAATGGCTCTGTGCTGATCGCCGCAGACGGCAGCAGCACTGCCACCGCCTCCCACTCAGCCTCCTCCATCTCGCTGGCACACTTCCTGGGCGCCTCGAGCAGCGGCGGCGGCAGCGGCAAGCGCCTGCTCAAGCGCCTGGGCAGTGCTCGGGTGGTGGTGTCGGAGCCCGCGAGCCCCGAGGCAGGCAGCCCCTCCGCAGCCTCCGCTGCTGCCGCCGCAACGGCACCACACGTGGCTCCTGCAGCTGCAGCACAGGCGGCGATGGCTGTGGAAGCAGCCAAAGGCGGCACCGGGGGCGGCGGGGCTGCTGGCGGCGTGCAGCGCCGGCTTTCCGACATCCACAGTGGCCATTACATCTCCCTGCACAAGCTGCAGCGCCAGTGCGGTAACCTTGACAGCGGTGAGCCTTGGTCCTGCTGCTCTTCCAGTCCTGATGCATTGCCCAAACTTGCACGCATCCCTGCCGCCGCGTCAATCGCTGCAGCTGGTGCTAGTGGAACAAACCGGCAGAACCGCGCGCCAGCCCTCCCTGGCCTAGACTGACACCAGACCCACACCTGGCCCCTTGCCCTGCAGAGCCACATGACCTGCTGAGCCTCATGGCCCGCCGCGTCTTTGTGGGGCGCAGCCCCAGCCTGCTGCAGCGCCTGTGCTCAGAGGGGCAGCAGGCCGCCGAGGCAGCGCCGGCGAAGCAGGCCCAGGAGCAGCTGCAGCAGCAGCAGGAGCAGCAGCGGCAGGAGCAGCAGCAGCAGGAGGCTCTCTCGGAGCGCAGCGCCCCCGCCCTTGAGCCGACGCCGGTCCCGCCTTCTTCCGCCACGGCTTCCCTCCAGGCGCCACCCACCCCGCAGGCAGACCCGGCGCTGCCGCAGCTGCCGCAGCTCCCGCCCATTCGCACCCGGGTGGAGAGTAGGCGCCAGGAGGGCGCTGGCCAGCCTGGCGGCGACAGCCTGGTGGCGGCGCTCGGCCACGGGCGCCGCGCCTGGCGCCCCTGAGCTCGCCAGCAGCTTGTGTTCACAAGCTTGCAAGCGCAAGACCAGGGCGGATCATGAAAAACTGAACCCAAACGTGAAGCCGCCGCCGCCGCCGCCGCCGGGCGCCGCGCCGTTTGCTGCCTGCCCGTCGGCCGCGCCGTTGCAGGGCGCCGCCGCCTGCTCCTTGAACAGCCCCGCCAGCTTGTGCTGCTCCTGCACCAAGGAGGGGCGCACCATTGGAACTTCAACTCACACTCAAATAAGAGGCCCGGGCCGGGCCAGACTAGCGATTTGAAACTCAAGCCCGCCAATTCATGTGTATGTTGTGCCCCACTCTCCCGGATGACGGACTCCCTGACAGCAGCGCCGCCTGACCCCCACACAAGATCTGTCCCCCCATTCTTCAAGCTGCTTTACTTTCCAAGCCCCATTCTTTCCATTCCCTGATACAATACCCACCCATTTGTCGATCCCCAAGACCCGTGCTGCCACATAGCACACTGTAACCGCACCCCAGCCCTCCACCCACGCCCGCCGCGCTCTGGGCTTACCTCTGCCCGCCGCTGCGCCGCCGCCTGCGCCGCCTCTGCCGCCTCCAGCAGCTCCGGCCGCCGCTCGCGCAGCGCCGCCACAAAGCGGTCGTACAGGCCGGCCCGCGACTCCTTGGCGCACCCCGACACCAGCGCGGGGCTGCGCGAGCGCAGGAAGGCCAGCACGTGCGGCAGCGTGACGGCGCTCACAAAGTTCTGGGTCACAGCCACCGACTCCTCCAGGTTCAGCGCCACGTGCCACCAGCCGCGCTGCGGGGCACGAGCAGGAGGAAGGTGAGCAAAGGCAGGGAGGAGGGGAGGCGGGGAGGAGGTGCAGGGGCGAGTCCGAGAGCCCAGCAGCTGCACTCAGCTGCCATGGCAGGAGCAGGAAGAGCAGGAAACAGGGAGGGGCGTTGTGCAGGATGCCAGGGCAGGGGCCGCCAGCTCAGCACCACATCGCACGCCCCCGCCACCTCAGCGCACCGGCACAAACAGCATCTCTCCCGCGCGCAGCGTGCACTCGGCGGGCGTGCAGCCCACGCTTTCTTTGTGCTCGTAGAACGACATGAACCACTCCATGAGAGAGACGGGGGACGCCACGTCAGCGCCGTCCGCGCTGGGCCGCACGCCTGCGCCGGCAGCGCGGGGTGGGGTGGGTGGGTGGATGTGCGGGGTGGAAGGGTGGGGAGGTGGAAGGGCATGACGAAACACAAATGAGTGGGGTGCTCTGCTGCCGCTCGATAGGCGCACTTGCCGCCAGTCTGGCACTTGCCGCCGCCCACAGTACCAGCGGCTGCCCTCACCCGGCGGCGTGATGTGTGGCGGGTAGAGCACCCACTTCTTGCTGCCGCGCACCACGCCATTCCAGGCTGAGGTGGAGTTGGGGTCCTTGTGCCAGCTGCAGGAGGAAAGCAAGCGGAGGGAGGACGGAAGGGAGGACAGGCATGGGTCAGAAACATGCTGGGGATGGAGGAGGGAGGGAAGGAGGTGGAAGGGACGAGGGCAGCCGGCAGAGAGACTGGCCCTGCACGCCACGGCACCCCGCAGCCACAGCCCGCCCAGCAGCAGCGGCGCCAAGCGCCAGCGCCAAGCCGCTCATGCGGCCAGGTGGTGCCGGGGGCCGGCGGCGGCGCCGCGCCTGCTGCCGCTCTTGGTGGGGCCGATGATGAGCCAGCGCCAGTCGGGGCGCGCCTCGCCCAGCAGCGCAAACAGGTCCTCTCCAAACAGCGGCGGCACGCTGTAGTCGCCTGCCAGCTGCGGCGCCGTGGCGCAGAAGGTCTTGTCAAACCTGGCGGGACAGACGGGCAGGTGGGCAGGGGAACACGCGTGGGTTGTTTGTGTGGGTTGGCATGGGCTGGGCCGCCGTGGAGGGCGTATGCCGGCTTATGCTGCAGGTCCAAGGGGCAGGCAGGTGGCAGCAGCACCAGGCCACAACCGCACAGCACAGTAGCAGCAGGCCACACCTGCAGCACCAGCACACAATCACCCCCAACTCACAGGTACAGGGGCAGCTCGTCCCGGTTGGCGTCTGCGTACTTGCAGTAGGCGTCGAATGAGATGGGCTGGTCGCCCACCAGCACCTGCCCCCCCTCAAACGCCTGCCGCAGGTACCGCCGGCTCCACTTTCTCATAGCAGGCCACCGCGTGACCTGCGTGCCGGGAGAACAGGGCCAGGCCATTCCAAACTGGAGCGGCAGAGCGGCAGCAGCAGGCCGGCGGCGGCAGGGCCCGGCCCAGCAGCTGCCTCGGCCCTGGGTGCCACGCTGCTCCTCAACAGGCCAGAAAAAGCTCGACGCTCCTCAACAGCCCAGCAGTAGCGGCACGGCACAGCCCGCTCAGCACCCACCACGTCTGTGAGGATGACGGGGCGGTTGGGCACCTCATACTGCTCCCGGAACTCCGCCGGGCTCAGGTTTGACCGGCGGTCAACGTTGTCCATCTCCAGCCAGGCGGGGTCGACCGCCAGGCTGGCGCAGCTGTGGAGGTTGGGGAGCGGGAGGGCGCACGGCGCGGAACGCATGGGTGGGCTGCTGGCTGCCGGCGGCGCTTTGGGCGGCACCAAACATACACTCCACGCACGCATACGCATACACAGCCTACCCAGGCGCCGCACATGCAAATGCATGCACACGAGGACAGGCCGCGGCACTCACAGCCAGGGCGTGTAGAGCAGGTCCGACTGCACCCCCGCCACGCGCCGCGGCTTGCGGCTGTCGCGCCGGTAGCCGGGCACTGCCCCCGCCAGGTAGCTCTCCTGCCAGCTTCCCTGGAAGTCCCACCGCCCCTCCAGCTCCTGCACGCCACGCCAAGGGGTGGGGCTGGTCGGCGGCACGCAGGGGCAGCTGGAACATGGAAGAAGCAGCTCCGCCGCTCGCCTTCCCTCCAGCTCCAACACTCTCCCTCCCAGCTGTGCCGCCGCCGCACCTCCAGGCACAGCGCCTTCCACAGCTCGTCGTGCTGGCAGAAGACGTAGAGGAAGCGGGAGACGGTGGCCAGGCGTGCCAGGTCAGCGGCTGCCAGGCTGTCCAGTATGTTCATGATGCACTCGTCCGGCAGCGCCGACAGGGAGCCCAGGCCCGCGGTGCGCACGCTGCGCGCCTCGTCGGCGCCGCCCTCAAACAGCCCCAGCGCGGGCTGCACGCCGTGCGGGTGCTCCATGCTGCCCCGTGTATGCTTGCTGCCCTGGCAAAGGAAGGCCTCCCTGCATGGGGAAGAGGTGGGAGCGTGCCTGTAGGCAACGGGTGGCGGCACACAGGCGGCGGCGGTGGCGGCCAATTACAGGCACACTGGATGTCCCGGGGTGGTGTTCGGTAGCAACTTAGGGCATTGGGGACCTCCATACTGCAGCGCCACCACCGGCATGCGCTCCACACCTCAAGGGCGATGTCCAACCTGCGAACCCTTGGCGCGCAGGGCTTTGTGGATGCCCTGTGGTGCGGAAGCAGGGTGCTACTGATGCATGCATGTAGACGGCAGGCCAGGTAACCCAGCAGGCCGGGCAGACCCCTCACACACAGCAGGCGAAGTCGCTGACTCCAGCCATTGCAACGATTGCAAGTCATTCAGAGTACCGCTGTCAAATACAGACTCCAGTGCCCTGCAGAGGGGCGAAGGCCTATCCAAACGCAGCCTCCGACAGATGGATGAGCTCGCTGCGCTGTCCGCAGCCAATCACAGCGCTCTAGAATCCAAGTGCAGGTCGTCCTTCAGCCGAGACACGCCCGCACGCCGCCCTAGGTGCGCGCCGCCCAGTGCCGCCACACTGCCGCCACAGGCAGCGACAGCGACTTTCAGCCAGCGCCCGCAGCTGAAGGGAGCCCATTGCCCTCTTCGCGCTGCAGGCCGGAGGTGGAGGCCGTGTCACTGGCGCGGGACGTGGCTCGGCATCACGACCTCTCCCGCGCCTTCCCCTTCCTAGTGCACGACGGCACCAGCCTGCTGGGCAGCAGCACCATCACGCTAGCAGACGCCGCAGATGAGCAGCGGGTGGTGGTGGCGGTCAAGGCTGTGCCGCAGCGCACACAGGGCACGGCGGCGGCGCGGCAGAAGCTGGAGGAGGCGCGCCTGCAGGTCCTGCTGCGCGCGGCGGAGGAGGAGCGACGGGCGCCTGGCAAGCAGATAGCGGCGGCCGTGGTCAGCAATGTGGCAGGCCTGCAGTGGGTCACCAAGCCTCTGGGCATGCAGCAGCGCCGCCGCCAGGCATCGTCAGTCATGCGGGTGCTGCGCTGGGCGGCGGCCGCAGCCACCTTTGCCGCCATGGTGGCGGCTGCGCTCGGCAGGCTGGCAGTCTAGAGCTGGCTGGAACAGGTTGAGAGTGGGTTAGCTAGGAGTGTACAGTGTGTGGGCCGCGAAACTCCGGCGTCTGAAATAAAAGCTATGAAATGGCACAGGTCCTTTTTGGCACACACACACAGGCAGGGGTAGGGTGGATTCAATATGGTGCAGGAGGCAGGATGCGAAACAATAATACAGATCGGTTTGGCCAGAAAGGTAGCTGGGTGCAGCGCGATTCGAGCAAGCGGAACAGAAGGGAGGGAGATGTGGGGTACACGCGGCGCCAATTGGGCGCCGAGGCAACAGGGGGAGCAGGGGAGCAAGTGGGGAGGGCAGCGAGCTGGCAGTACGTGAGCTCTGCCCGCACCCGCTGGCTATGGCGTGCGTTGGCTATGCCGCGCCGCCGCCCTCTGCCATCCGCTTCTTCTGCAGCAGCAGCTTGGCCTTCCACCACGTCAGCCCTCCGCCCGCGCCATAGCCGTCGAAGACAGCGTCCGCCGCCGCAAAGCCGCCGCGCATGGCCACGCTCGGCGGTACCGCCAGCGCCAGCATGCCAGCGCTCCTGCCTGCCTCCTGCAAGCGCAGAGCAGCAGCAAGGCAGGCAAGGCATGCGAGTGAGGGGGACATCCCAATGTGTTTAGAACAGCTCTGTCTGTCTGAAGCTTCAGCGCAAAAACAGACAAGCACCAGCAGCACTGCCCCTAGGTTGGCAGCCCAGCGTATCCTGTTTCCCAGCCCGCAGGATCCCGGCTCGTCCTGGCGCTCACCAGGATGGTGTGCCCTCCACCCACCACCAGGGTACTGCCGGGGCTGGTGCCCAGAGAATCGGCGAGGGCAGACATGAACTGGGGGCTGATGAGGCCCGCACGCTCCGCAGCCGCCATCATCTGCGCAGGGCGGCCACGGGGTCGGCGCGCGGGCCAGGAGGGCGCTGGTCAGGCAGGCGGGCGCCAGCTGGCGAGGCGGAGCACGCCACCACCCACCATCCACCACCCCGGCACTCCCAGGCCAGCCTGGCACTCCCAGGCCAGCCCCGGTGAAGCCCACCTTTGGATCTACTGCCATGCCCATCCCCGAGGCCCGCTGCAGGTTGTATGCCCGCACAAACTCCTGCGCCGCCTGGCTCTTGGCCCGCGCCTGCGCCGCCGCCACCTGCTGCTCGAAGCTGGCGCCGGGCAGCTCGTCGCCGGCCTCGCCGCCGCTGCCTCCCTGCGGCGGCGCCGCCGCGCCCTCGGCGCCCTCACCGCCAAACGGGGTGGCGCCGCTGCCTGCGCCCATTGACACCACCCTCAGCTGGAAGGCCCTGCAGCATCCGGGTGGGACAGGCAGGCAGGCATGCATGCATGCAGGCCGCGCATCAGGCCCAGCCCCAGCGCCGCGGGCCGGCGCTCCCTCCACAGCAGCCCAATGCCCCCACCCGCCTCGCGCCTGCACCGCCCCTGCCCCGCCTGCACCACCCTCCAACCCTGCCCCCTACAGCCATCTCTCTCTCTCTCTCTCACACACACACACACACACACACACCTGTTGGGCCCCAGGTTGAGCATGGCTGAGCTCACCAGGCCGTCCTCTGGCACCGAGGCGGTGGCCGCCACCACCGCCACCGGGGCGCCCTCCGCCAGCGCGTCATCCAGGAACTGGGCCACCCCCGGCCGCACAGGCACCTCGCCCTTGGCAGTCATCTCCCGCAGGATGCGCACCTGCGGGGTCGGGGAACGGCGGCGGCAGCAGCCAGGGCAGTCGGGGCAGGATGGGGCGGAGCAGGGGAGGAGGCAGGGGCGGCGGCCGTGGATACACACACATAATTATGGCCCCCGAGGCTCACCTTGATGGCGTGCACCTTCTTGAGGAAGGCGCCGCGCTCGCTGCTGGCCAGCATCATGGGCCACCCACGGATTCCATAATACGCCGCTATCACGCCCTCCCCTGCACGCAGCAGGCAGCAGGCAGCCGCTGGAGCGCTGCGCAGGGATGGTAGGGCCATGCAGGCGGCGCGGGCAGCGCAGGGTCGAGTCAAGTCAAAGTCAAAGGTCCGCGCAGCGGGCTGCGCACCCGTGCCGTCGCCCAGCCGCATCAAGTCATAAAAGATGGCGGCGTTCCAGTTGGTGCAGTCGTGGCCAATCTCCTGCAGAATTTGAATACCGATGGAGGGCCAGGGGGGCGGGCCGAGTGAGGCGCAGCCTAGCCTGCCAGGCTTCCTACTACCGACTGCGCAGCGGCGGTGGGCAGTGGCATCGCCCACCCCCCCAGCCACTCGCCTCAAAGGCGCGGTTGAAGGCCACCCTGTGCCCCTCCACGTGGGCATCCACCAGGGCGCCGTCGCACTCTATGATGAGGCCCAGGCGCTCGCTGCTGCTGCTGCTGCTGGCCTCCTCGTCGCTGCTGCCGCTGCCGGCTGCCGCCTGCCGCCACCGGCGGTGCCGCTGCACAGGGGCGCTGTGAATGCTGGCGGCCCTGGAGATGCGTGCTGCCTGCACACTGCGCTGCAGGCGGAGGCCGTTAGCTGTGGGGGCGGCCGCGGCAACGCTCGCCATGATGCTGTAAGCTCCCAGAACCCCCAGTAGCAAGGAGAAGCTACCCAACCACCCGCACAGTCGATCGAATGGCGCGATCAAGCAAACGAGACGGGTAGCTGACAGTGGATCGCGAAAACCGGAAAAGAAAGGTGCAGCCTGCGATGAATGAGGCCTCGCTTTGCCTGCAGCGCTGCTGATTGTCTTTATCATCATCCCTGCGGCACATCCGCCCCCCGTGCTAGCCAGCCGAGAGTAGCGAGCCAGGTCGCGGTCCACACTCACACAGGTGCCCTCATCTGGCGGCGTTGTGCTGCGTATTGGAAGCAGCACCTGCAGATGTGCCAGTAGACACCGCAGATCGGAGACGCGCCGCTGCCATGGCTCCTTCCGCCTCCCGCCTGCGCATGGCGGCAGGCGGCGGCCCCACCACGCTGTTTTGTGCGCCTCGCCCACAGCTGTGCCTCTCCACTTGATGCAGGCAGCGCGGCAGCAGCAGCACAGCGGCATGTCGGAGGTGGCGCTCAAGGTTGCCATGGCCTGCGAGGTGTGCTAGCGCCACTGTCGCTCCGTTTGGGCTGGCAGCGCCAGCACGCCACTGTTCCTGCTGGCACAAACGCGCCCTGGCCCCGCTGCCAAGCGGCACAGCCTGTCCCGCTGCAGCAGCTTCATCGCCCCGCTCTCCTGCACCTGTGGCCCGCTGCGCAGGGCTGCGTGGGCGCGGTGCGGCGCGTGGCGGAGAAGCTGCCGGGTGTGCAGGCGGTAGACATCGACCTGGCGGCGCAGAAGGTGCTGGTCAAGGGAGCCAACCTGGACCCTGCAGCGGTGAAGGAGGGAGTGGCCAAGAGCGGCAAGGCCACTGAGCTCTGGCAGTAGAGCAGCAGCACGCAGTAGCTGCGGTACAGTGCAGTACACGCCGCACGCTATAGCGGCGGGCTGGCGGCGAGAGCATGCACCTATGCTGCTTTGCTCTAGGACCTTTCTCTGAGCTCCTGATTTTTCCAGCCTCCACTCCTTACCTTGCAGACCACTGGTTTGACTGTTCAGCTATCTCTTGTAACAGCAGGCGTACAAGCTTCAGTGTGTAGCATCTCGCGGCAGTGTGGCCACCAGGCATCGCTATTATACTGGAAAGGAAACATTCAGTTGGGTGATAAATTCAGGGCTGCTCGACTCTCAATCAAACAAAGAAACCGGGGCAGAGGAGGAGCTTGGGCTCCAGCGGGTACAGGCACTGGCAGTGTGAGCTCAGAAGGGACCAAAGAGGGACCCCTGCTGGCACCACCCCTGCACGGCGGCGCCCAGCGGCAGCTGCGCCAGTGGCCCCGCCGCCAGGGCGGAGGACGGTGGCGGCGGTGCGGGGGCATCCCATACGTGTGACTGGAATTCAGAGGCCTGGCGCGGGTGGGTGGGGGGCAGGCGGGAGTAAGCCAGGCACTGAATGTCAGGAAAGGAAGGACTAACACAACAGACATCGGCCCTCGAGGCACTCACCCGGTTGGCAAAGGAGGAGTAAGAGGGGAAGCCTGTGGCTGCCAGCAGGGAGTCGTCGCCTATGCTGGGCGTGCGCAGCAGGGAGCCGGCGCCCGGGCCCGCGGACGAGGGCGCATCCAGGAAGGAATAGGCCGGCGGGTCGGTGGACGGCAGGGCTGCGCCGGCGCCGATGGCGCCGACGTCGCCGCCCGCAGCGCCGGCGCCGAGCGGCGGCAGGCCGCGGGAGGTGAAGAGCGAGTCGGCGCCTGGAGTGGGGCGGGCATGCCGCACGCCAGGTCAGCAGCCAGGACCGAGGCGGCCAGCACCCGGGCCAGGCGCACACATCCATGCAGGCTGCCAGCAGGCACGCCTCACCCGCGGCGGAGATGGAGGGGGTGGGGGAGGCCTCAAAGGCGCTGGCAAACAGGGAGGAGACGCCGCCAAAGGGCTCCCGCTGCAGCACCGAGCCGCCTGCAGTGCGCGCGGAGCCATGAAGACCCTTCAGGACCCACCGCTAGGGCGGCACGTGGCGGGGGGTGGGTCAGGGAGGGCGGCGGACACCCACACTTGAAAAGCAGGCAGGTTGCGGCCCAGCGCGCTGCCCAGCCTGCAGGCGGGGCCTCGGGCCGCCTCTCACCTGGGCCCAGGCCGCTGCCCCCAAACAGGCTGTACGTGCGGTACCCAGGGGTGGGCGCCTCCTCCTGCTCCTGCTCCTCCTCATGGTCCACATCCATCGCCTCGCTGGCAGAAGGCATTGCTCCCACAGCAGCGCCAGATGCCGTGCGCAGCGCAGTCTGCAGGGTGTGCGCGCCGGTGGCGGCGCCTGCCGCTGCGGGCGTGGCCGGCAGCGCGCTGAGCGGCGGCACGCGGTGCGTCTGGTGGCGCGAGGGCGAGAAGGGCGGCGAGAGCAGCACGCGCGGCGCCAGCGCGGCGTGCGTCGGGGCGCCGGCGCTCCCGCCGCCGCCCGTGGCGTTCTCCTTGTCGGCGGCGGCAGCGGGGCTGCCTGGGAAGCTAGGGCTTTTGAGGGCGGCGGGGCTGGCCACGCTGTCGTGGCTGCGCAGCGCGGCGGCAAAGGGCACCGCAGCCCGGGGCGGCGGGCTGTAGAAGAAAGTGCAGCCGTCTATCACGTGCGCCCGGTCCACCGCCTGGCCACAGTAGGAGCCGCCTGTCAGGTCGACATACCTGCAGGCGGGGGCCGCAGGGGAGGGTCAGTGAGGCGGATGGGGCCAGCACTGGCTGCACCTGCAAAGCCGCGTGCCTGCCGCAAGCACGGGGGGAGTGCACCCTACACCCCACCTGTCCACGGCGGCGGCGATGATGCGCAGCGCGTGCACCACGCAGCGGCGCTTGCCCTGCAGGAGCGGGGGAGGGCAGCGGGCACAGCTCTACGCGCACCGCGCCCTCGGCAGTGTGGACGGTGCGGACCAGGGCAGACAGCCCCGGGGAACCAAGCGCTGCCTCGCCTCACCTCGATCACAATGGTGCGCACGCGGCGCGAGGCGGCGGCGGGGCCAGCGCTGGCGTCCTGGAACGACTCGCTCCACGACCTGATGTCGGCGCCGGTCGTGCGGGAGACATCCCTCACAGAGGCGCCCGCGGGGCCGATCACGTAGCCTGCGGCCTGCAGCAGCGGCAGGCGACGCCCGCAGGGTCAATGGCCAATCAGCTGGGGCGCGCCATGAGTGGGGAACCTCTGCGTGCTGCGGGGCCTGCTGGCGCAGCGCAGGCGGCACGCTCGCACGTCGGCTCAGCTCGCCGTGCTGATACCCTGCTTACCAGCAGGGTGACGCGCAGCAGTGCCCCTCCGCCGACCGACATCTCAGCAGACACTATGCCCTGCTGCTCATCCTCCACACCGTCGCTCTTCCTCCTCGGCCCTGCGGGCGGCAGCGGCGGTTTGAAGGGTCGGGTTGCATGCAGGAATTTAAATACTCTGACTGCACTTCGTCAGCACAGCTTTGTGGCTGAGTATCACTTCACTGGGATGCCTGCCACCTCAGTGGGCTGCCTAATCAAAGTGCTGTCAGCTGGTTGGAGCAGCCGCCGGCAGCCGCCGCTAGCGCTTGGGGCGTTCAAAGCGCCGACAGCTGGCCCCCCCCACGGCTGCTGCACCTGCCTCACCGCTGGGAGTGTGGCCAGCGTTTTGCTCTGCAGCGTGTTGCTGCGCCAGGAGCTGCGCCAGGGCCTGGGCCTTTCGCTCACGAAGGTTGCTGGCGCTCAGCTGGGCCTTGGCCCGCAGCTGCAGCAGCGCATCGGTCACAGAGGACATGGTGAGAGCTGCTTTTGGGAGGATCGGAAGGAGAGCAGCTCTGCCGGAGGAGGGGGCAGCTGTCGGTCCCAGGGAAACGGCAGGCAATGCAGAGCAGCCGAGGCTATTGGATTGCTGGGGGAAGGGCCAGTGGAGAAGGGAGAGGGAGGGGGATGGAGCTGCGCCGCATGAAGCGCCTGCTATGCCCATGCTGAGCTGCAAACTGGCGTGGCCTGTCTCACTCCGTGCAACTTGGTGCTCGCCGCTATTAGCATGAAATCAAGCTAAGACGCCAGCCCTCCAGGCCAACGCCTGCGTTTTGTGGCTGCGGCAGTGGCAGCGGCGGCAGCTCAAGTCCCGACGGCAGCCGCCGAGGTTAGCCAGCGCTCGTCGGGTGCATCGGTTAAATGCCTGTGTGTTACACACGTCACAGTATCTACATGTTGGTGTCTTCTATTCAGGGTGCATTCCTTCATCAGCACGCTCATCAAGCCCTGCCGGCGATGGGCCACTGCGGCCTGCCGGCGGGCGGCGGGCGGCATAGGGCGGATGCCGCAGCATACCCAGCACGACGCGGAGAACCGCGGCCTTGACTTCTCGCAGCACCTCCAACTCCCATCCGCTGCCCATCCGCTGCCGGGGTGCCGCATGCCGGCCGCCCATGTGCCTCCTCCCGCGCCATGGCGTGCTCAAAGTATGAGTACGTGAAGCAGTATGAAGCAGACGACCGTCTGCTGCCGGGCTGCTGGATCGTGGTGCGGCTAGACGGCAAGGGCTTCACCAAGTGCGCCGCCGCCCGCGCTGCCGCCAGCCGCTGCCGCGGCCTCTCGCACTGCAGGCTCCTTACTCCCTGCTGTCCAACCCTGATGCAACAGGTTTTGCGACCTTCACGGCTTCGAGAAGCCTAACGACGAGCGCGCCCTGCGCCTGATGGATGAAGCCGCCAAGGCAAGAGCCTCTGGGCGCTCCTTGCGCCGTGGGGCCCCTCGACCCTGCCGCTGCTGTCGGCGCTCGCCTCACGCGCCCGGTCGCGCTTTGCTGCTGCCGCAGGCGGTCATGTCTGAGTTCCAGGACGTCCGGCTGGCCTTTGGGGAGAGCGACGAGTACAGCTTTGTGTTTGCCCGGAACAGCCAGCTGCACGGTGGGTTGGCTAGCGGCGCGGTGGGTGGCAGTGGCGGTAGAGGAGCATTGCTGCCTGAGCTGCGTAGCACAAGGCACGCAACGCTTCCAGGGGCGAGATCCCTCTGCACGCGGCCCACCAGCCGACCGGCCGATGATCCTGTTTGCGGCCGCCGCCGCTGCCGCAGGCCGGCGCGCCTCCAAGCTCGTCTCGCTGGTGGCCTCCTGCTTCAGCGCCAGCTACGTCCGCTTCTGGGCCCAGCACTTCCCCGGCACGCCGCTGGCGGCCACCCCCATGTTTGACGGGCGGGTGGTGCTGTACCCGAGCAACCACACGCTGCGCGATTACCTGAGCTGGCGCCAGGCGGACACACACGTCAACAACCTGGTGGGCTGCCGGGGCGAGCAGCTCGGCTTGGTGGGCATGGCCTGTCAGAGCGGCGGCGCATGGGTGCAGGGGCGCAGGCAGCACAGCGGGCGAGGCACGCGTGCACCAGTGCAGCAAGCAGGTTTGGCTGTAGAGCAGCGAGAGCGGGAGGAGTGCAAGGGCTCATCGCTGGGCCCTGCTGCCTGCTGCTGTGCAGTACAACACATGCTTCTGGGCACTCGTCAAGTCGGGCAAGAGCACCGGGGAAGCGCACGAACAGCTGCGGGTGCGGTGGCAGCGCTGCTTGCTGGTTCTGAGTGTGCCCACCTGGCGCGCCTGCCACCACCGCACTGCCTGCTCTGCGCTGGAATGGGTTCCCTGCTGCCCTCCTGTACACAAACCTGGCTGCCTGGTACTGCTGCCTGTTGTCGCATATGTGTGTGTAGGGGACCCTGTCCGACTACAAGAACGAGCTGCTATTCAGCCAGTTTGGGCTTAACTACAACACCCTGCCAGAGCGGTTCCGCAAGGTGAGGTCTCGCAGGCAGGGGCAGCATCCCGGGCGCCAACAACGGACATTGACACGACAGGGAACGACGAGGCAGGAAAGCAGGGGTTGCATTCAAACTGATAGCCCGCTTCCTGTGGCTGCGGCTGCCTGGTGGCTGTACTACAGGGGTCTATAGTGATCCGCCAGCGGGTGATGCACGTGAAGCAGACAGCGGATGGAGGGACCAAGGAGAAGGAGCGGCTGGAGCCGTGCGTGTTGCACTGCGACATCATCAGAGACGCCTTCTGGGCGCAGCACCCCGAGCTGCTGGCATAGCGGCGGCGGCAGCAGCCGTGCCCCCACGCCGGCCAGCTGCCCCCATCGCTCTGCGCTGCCTGCTTGTTTTCTGTCTGCTCCGCGCTGGACCCTGTTCTGCTCTGCCCCGGCCGCTACGTTTTGATTGCTTGTAACAGACTTTGTACATCATTTCAGAACTTGTAATCGGTTTGCACTTGAGCCAGCCTGCACGCAGAGGCACATTTGATTGGGTGAGCATTAGGTGGGCGGCAGGCCACACCCCGGTCGGTCTGTTGCTGGGTGGATTGCATGAGGTTGTGCACTCAGCTGCTGCTCGCCTGTGCGCGCCTCAGTTGGCCTCGGGGGCCTGCACCACCAGCAGCGTGTAGTTGTGGTCCTGTACCCAGCAAGGCACAAACAGTGGGTCGGCTTTAGGTGCTCATTGTACATCTGGGCACCGCTCTGGCGTGTCTGCATGGTGCCAGCACCGCACCGGCAGTCGGCAGGACCAGCACATGAGCAGCGACAGCTCCCCAATGCCGCCGCGCACCCGGTCAAAGCCTGGCGCCACCATGATCTCGTGCTTCTTGCTGCGCACGCGCAGGAACTGCAGGTCGTCGGTGCCGTCCTCCGCCAGCTCCCGCACCATGTGCCGCGCCTTGATGGCCAGCTGCGACACCAGGGCCGCATACTGCACCGCCAGCTCCTGGTCCAGGGTGGTGCGGATAGGCACGCCGTCGCCATTGGCAATCACGATCCCCACCACGCCTTTGTGCGAGGACAGCCGCTTCACGGTCTCCTCCACGGCGGCGACGTCCGCCATGCTGCTGCCGCTGCTACTGCTGCCCGCAGGGTTGAAGCCGGCAAAGGAGCGCGAGTGGGGGCACCGGTCAAAGTGGGTGAGGGCACGGAAAACGAGCGGGGCCGCCGCAGGAGAGTCGAGCACTGTCTGCAAAGTGTTGCGAGAAGCGTGAATTGCGAAAGGAAGGCAGGAGCCGGCATGGCGGGGGCCCAGCATGCAAAGCGGCGCCGGCGGGAGGTCAGCAGCCCCGCCTTGCAACAACCTCCATTGAGCACACGACTCTCAAGCGTGTTAGTTCTTTACAGTGTGTGCAACAATGTGGCTCACATTGCATGCTGGGATGCAGCTGAAACACAGTCACTCCGTTGCCTTGCACCGTTCCAGCGCCACCCGCAGCGCCGCCTGCTGCGCCTCTCCCACGCCCGGCCGCGCCGCCAGCAGCGGCCCCAGGCGTGCCAGTACATACGCCTGGTGCCGAGCCAGGCTGACACCATTGCCGCCGCCCCATTTGGCACATAGCACATCTAAATAGTCACCCACCACTCCCAGCACCTCTTCCACTCGAGCAGCATGGTGCTGGTGCGGCCCTGCCTCCTCCAATGCCTCCTCCTGCTGCTTGCCCTTGCCCGACACCGCCGCTGCCTCCTGGTGCTGGCTCACAGCCCCCGCCAACGCGCTGCACAGCGCCCAGCCAGCCTCCACCTCCTCCGCCTGCTGCTCCCACGCTGCGTCGCCGGCTGCGCCGGCCACAGGCGCCTGCGCGTGCTCCGCCAGGCGGGCCAGCACTGTGCCAACCGCCGCGAGGTGCTGCAGCAGCTGCGCCCCAGCGCCCTGCAGGCCAGCCAGCAGCACGGTGCTCAGCGCCTGCATGCCCCTGTTCTCTGACTCAGCGATGGTGCGCACCAAGGCATGCTGGACGGGGCCTGCAAACCGGCAGGGAGCAGCGGGCCAAGCAGAGCGGGCTGTCAGTCGGGAGGATGCCAAGCATGAAGCCTTAGCATCGGGGCCAGCAGAGCCGGCAGTGAGGTGGCAAGCCTGCCACCAACAGCCATGCAGACATGCCAGGCCAGCCTGTGCGACCAGCACCGCATCCACCTGTGCAGTTCAGGGCCTGCTCTCCAGCGGGGACTGCTGCCAGCGCCTCCAGCAGAGCCAGGGCCTCCAGCGCGGCAGCCTCAGACACTTCTGCCGCAACCACCGCTGACGATGCCAGCTCGGCCGGAGTCTCGGCCTCTGGGTCTGGGCTGGCGGCGGCAGCGGCCGCAACAACGGCGGCAGCGGCTGGATCTGCTTCCTCATCCTGCTGCTCCCCAGCGCCTGCTGCCGCGCTGTCGCCATGCCGCTGCCGTTCGCCGCCGCCCCAGCCTCCCGGGCTGGGGGTGACGCGCTTGCGCTTGCCGGCCCCCTTGCTGCCGCCCCCGAATTGCTGCTCCTCAGCATGCAGCCGCACCAGCCAGCCAGTCAGCACGCTGGCCAGCAGCTGCAGCAGGTCGAGGCTGAGCAGCTGCGGGACCATCTGCTGCTTGGTGCGATCGCTTGCTGCCGCCGCGCCCGCCACGGCCCCCACCATGACTGCCAGCAGGTTCAGCCTGCGCGCACACAATCATCGGCACGGGGAAGCGTGTGTGAACGGGACTAGGCGTGAGGGGGTAGGGGCGCGCTGCACATCCAAGAACGTCGGCCAAACATCTGCAATGCTGAAACACAGCCAGCTGCTCAGCCGGTCGCGGCTTGCTTTCAAATGCTCCCGGAATCCCACTCACGATCTTTCCAGCAGCGCAGTGCTCAGCGTGTTCTCCACAATCCACACCAGGCGCCCCAGCGTCTCGTCCCGCAGCAGCAGCGCCCACCAGCGAACAGCCACCTGTCGCAACAGGGAGAGCACAGCGGCGGAATCGGCAGCTGACCAGGGCAGCCAAACTTGGCAAAGCATATCAATGCTATCAAGGCACGGCTCGACATTGGCGGTTCCTGCGAGCGGCAATCAGAAGCGAGGTGGCTGCACGGGCCGCGCCCACACCCACCTCGTGACCCGCCATGCCGGCGCCTGTGAAGGGGGCCGCCAGAGCGCGGAGGAGCTCCGCCAGTGCTGCTGCATCATCTATCCACAGAAGCTTGTCCATGAGCAGCTCCGGCAGCTGCTCCTGATCCAGCAAGTGCTGCTTGGTGGCGGCGTGGCACGCCAAGTTGCCCAGAATGCCGATGCCAATCTCCACCGCACGCCACTGCTCGGCGGCGGCGGTGGCGGTCAGCGTAGCAGCCAGCATGCCGGGTAGCTCCGGCAGCTCGCGCAGCAGGAATGCGGCGTCGTCCGCCATCGCGGAAGAGTCCCAGACGAGAGAGCCCGCCTCCTCCCAACCTAGCTCGGAAGCCTCTGTGTCGGCCGGCTGTGACACGCCCACAAAACTGCGCACCGCTTTGATCAGGTACTGTGGATCGACGGAGGGTTCGGGTTCTGAGGCCATGGCTGCGTATCAGCCGCGATCAGCAGGTGATGTCAGCCGCGAAGCAAGAAACTAGGGGAATTGAACTCCCGGACTTGCTGTGCAACACTGCGGCGGTCTGCAAGATCGTGGAGAAGGGCTCCCCAATTTCCTTGAAGGTCGGCTGATGTGTCGGCCGCTGTGCCGCGCTGTGGCGGGGAGAGAGACCTGTCCCGAGCCCGCCAGGAGGAAGTCTTATGAGCTGTAGCTTGATTCTTTAATCCCCCCCCCCCCCCGTTGGTGGAGATCCAGCTCTTTTGCCATGCCAGGCAGGTCGGCAGATGCTGTAAGTGAGTGACACGTTCACATCACAAACAGCTGCGGCAAGGTATGGTCGCACGGCATGTCATCGGGGGAGTGCAGCGACCAGGTGGCTGCCTTTAGTGGGGTAGTACATGGGCTGCCGCCGCCAGTACCGCCGATGGCGATGCTGTGTTAGGGGCCGGAGTGGACCAAGCGGCACAGCATCCTGATGCTGTGGTTGGGCTTCAAGTGGCACGAGGACATGGGCTGCACAGGAAAGGGCAAGCTGGGTGGTGAGTGGTGGGCCGGCACGGGGCACAGACAACTGTGCAAGGCCATTGCTAACGGCTTGCTGCTGCGCTCGTAAGCTGGGGCGCAGTGCAAAGGCGGGCTGTGGGGCCACTTCTTCTGCAATCACCTGTCCGGTGATGGGCGAGAGGGTTGAGCGCTGGAAGGCAGCCAGTATGTTGCGCCTCTCGTATGTGTGCCCGTCTGCAGGTCAGCGGCAGGGCAGGGCAGGAGCAGTGATGCATCAGAGGAATGGGCTGCCGAGCTGCGCCATAAGCTCGCATGCATCCCGCATGCATGCGGTGGGGCAGCACGATTCATGCAGGGCGTGCAGCCAGGGCCCAGCTGCCTGCACCTGCTGCCACCACGGGGTCTTGCATCACTCGCTGCAGCAGGGAGGTGACACAGGTGCGGCGCAGCACGGAGGGCACATTAAACAGGGTGCCTGGCAGGTAGGTGGGGCAGCAGCGGAGCAAGGGCCAGTGCAGGGCGAGCAAAGCCAGCCAAACCCTGGCAGCGCAGGGCGCACATTGCACAAGGGCTGGAACTCACCCGAGACAGCGGGCACAGGGTCAGCTTTGCCACCACAGCCAGCCTCCGCTCCGTGCTGCAGGTTCGCTGGGCGGTGAGGCGGCGTCCGCGGGCAGAGGAGGAGGCGCTGCTCTTAAGCTCCTCCTCCTCCTCTTCCTCCTCCTCCTCCTCAACCTCCTCCTCAGCCTCAGCCTCCTCAGCCGCCGCCGCCGCTTCCTCCTCCTCCTCCTTGAGCTGCCGCAGCAAGTTCTGACACTCCATCCTGCACCCCAGGACGCAGCTGCATTTGAAGCACACTGGCAGTCACTCCAGCATCAATGAGCAGACGCAGCGCATGGCAGGGGAATGCCATGACGCCCACCTGTGCTGCTGCCAGCCTGGGAGTGCCTCCGCAGCCTGGCGCTGCGCCTGCTGAGGTGCCAGCCTATGTGCCTTTGATGCCGGCTGCTGCACCGGGTACTGAGCCTGAGCAACCCACGCCTGCCGTGGCTGGGAGGCCAGCTGACAGCCCCGAATGCCTGCCGGCTGCAGGTGCTCTTGGCGCCAATGCTCCTCCCGCTGCGTTCTGCGGGCAAGGGCTGCCAGCAATGCCGCAGTGCAGTCGGCAATCGGCTCTGTCGGTGGCTCCTTGGATCGCCCTGCTGCGATGTGCAGCTCATGCTGCGCCTGCACGTGGCGCGGCGCGGCCTCCACCGCCGGCCCGCTCCGCGCTTCTGGGGGCTGGCTGGGCGCTGCCATCAGCTGCTGCTGCAGGAGGGTCAGCTGCTGCTGCAGCAGGTGCCTCTGTGCCTCCAGACAGATGATCGCTTCTGAATCGAGCGTGGGCGAGGGCGGCGGGGGCAGCTCCGCTGCTAGGCGCTCCTTGGCGCTCAGCACCGCAGCCTCGCCGGGCCCCTGCAATCCCGCAGCTGCTGAAGCCGCCATGCCAGCCAGGACCGTGGCTCGCAGGCTGCCGAGCGCGGCGGAGCACGGGAGCGACTGCGGCGTCCCTGCGCGACCGGATGGCAGCGTCATAGTCCTCAGACTGCTGGGCTTCGATGTCTGGGCAGCGTCCGATGCCCAAGCGGCCAGCCGCGCTGCTGGCGGCTGCTGGCATGCCGGCAGCTGCTGCAGCAGCAAGGGCTGGCTCAGGGAGACAGGTGGGCTGTGTGGCATCGCCACTTCACGCTCGCGGGCCTCGACTGGCAGCCCGCTGCGTGCCCGCTTTGCTGGCGGCGGCGCTGCTCTCTCCATCCCCTCAGGCTGCTGCTCCTGCTGCTCTGGCCTCAAGGCGGCCGCTGTGCCGGGACCAACTTCCAGCTGCCGCCACGAGCCTCGCTTGCGGGAATGGTGGTCATCTGGTGCCGTCACTGACTTTGAGCTGCTGCTTCCCTCACGCGTCGCAGCCTGTGCCGCGGTAGCGGTGCCAGCCGCTGCTCTGGCAGCAGCTGCGGCAGCTGGCGCTGCCGCATTGTGCGGCGCTGCTGCTTCCGCCCTCGCCGCCGCCTCCCGTGTTTGCTCGTGGTTCTCCAGCGCCTGCCCCTGGCTGGCCGTGTTGAGGCGCGGCAGCTGCACTTGGAGGTCGTCCTGCGTATGTGTATGCATGTGTGCGCGGAGGCAGAAGTGATTGCAAGCCCTGGAAGGAAGCGAGGCAGGAGGCGGCGCCACCGGCGGGACGGCTAGGGCTCTCGAGAGCTCTCACCTGCGCGGAAGCGCCCGGCCGACACAGCATTTCTTGCACTCTGGCCATCAACGACACCAGTTTTGGGGACGGCGTGCTTGCGCCTTGCAGGTGCAGGTGCCTGCACGCGGGACACCAGCGGATACTCGCCGTCTCAGGCTGCCGTCCCAGCCCAAAACGATCACAGTCCATGTGTGGTGTGCCTGAATGCACTGCGAGACGCTACAAGCGACGATGCTCTGGCGACCCAAGGCAGTGTTGCCAAACCAAGGGGTTTGCCAGCCCCTCCACGCTTACATGCTCCTCAGAAGCTCCTCCTGGTCTTCAACGGTTCTTTGCTGCATGGGGAGAGGTCCAGGGCCAGCGGAAGCTCCGCGTTGCGCCTGCCCTGGCGCGGGCGCCCGGGCACCTGGTCCGCACATTTGGCAAAGATAAATCGAAACAAATTTCAAGGTGCGACGGTGCAAATGTGACTTCTGTGGACACCCTGCCTACGTGGCCACTATGATGTAAGAGTGCGCTCCGGATCACCACCTCCTAACTTTGATGGGTTGAGACAGAACGATGGTGCACGCAGGGCGGCACTGGAAACCCCGGGACGGCCGGGCAGGAGGGCCGGGGGGCGCGTGCCTCCCGGTCCCGACGGGCCCGCTTGCCGCCATTCTGAGTGGACACATCCATCCATCCAAGGCTCGTGCCGGAGCAAACAGCAGAGGCTTCAGCAACTTGGCAGATGAACACTTGGCAGACGGATGGGCCACCGAAAGGGGCAGGAGCGAGGGCCGCGTAGGGGCGGCGGGTGTGCCGGCAACGCCGCACAATGGCTGCCGCCTGTTCCCACCAAGACGCCACCTCAGGTTGCTGCCACTGCGCTGCTGCTGGACCGTCCCACATCTGGTTGGAGCCAGCCCGGGTGGAAGCATTTGGCAAACGGTAATCGTTCCTAATCTTTCCTCCAGCGCTGCCGCTGCTTTGCTTGGAAGGGCCAAGGGCCATCAAGGGCCGGCTGCTGCGGCGGTGAGCAGAGCTGCTTCAGAGCAGGCCGGCTGAAGCTCACAGCGCTGGGTACCTGGCTCTCCCTGCCGACGACCAAATGGCCAGCTCCTGCGGTCTGCTGCTCCTGCTTGCAGCCGGGGTACTGGCTCTGCCGCTGGCTGCCTCCCTGCCCCCCACCCAGACTCAGGCACGCATGCATGCAGCTCGGCAGGCAGCAGAGCAAGATTGCCATCACCAGTGCCGCCGACAATCCCGCCGCCGACAATCCTGCCGCCTACAGTCCCGTTGCCGCCGCAACTTGTGCAGGGCTTCGTGTCAATCTCCGATGGACGTTTTGTTGACGAAGAATGCGCCGAGTTCCATTTCCACGGTATGCTTCTGTAGTGATGAATGTGCCGCCTGCTCCTGCGGGACCAGTGGCAGGCCCTGCCCCTGGCCTCAATGCAGGCTGGAACGGCTGGCGCGTGGTGGACGCGGCCTTGAATCAGCCCGCTTCTCTCACCCGGCGCTTCAAGGACGCGCAGGAGGCTGGGCTGAACGTGCTGCGGTTCTTCCTGGGCGACGACGAGCGCAGCCCCGTGCTGCAAACCGCGCCAGGTGGGGTGGGGTGGTGCCTGCCGCTCCTTCCTCTCCCTCGCCTGGCTGCCCAACCCCACCCCCTCCTGCCGGACTGTGGAGCCTACCTCCCACCTCTTCCTGGCTTGCACATCGCCACTGCTTGCCCCGCAGGCGTGTTTGATGAGCGCGTGGCTCAGGCTGTGGACTTTGTGTTGGCAGAGTCGGCCGCTCACAGCATCAAGCTCACCCCGGTGCTCCTCAACCTTTGGAAGCGGAACAACGGCGTGCCACAGTTTGAGGAGTGGTGCGCTTGCCTGCTGCTGGCCCTCCTCCCCGATCCTCGCAGCACTGCCCGACGTGAATCGCGTCTGGCTAGCTGCTGCCGCCCCTGCTCCAGGTGCGGCACCGCCTCCACCAGCCGCCAGCCCCGCCCCGGCGGCGGCTCGCTGGATGCCCAGGAACGCCTGCAGACGCCCTACGATTGGCTCGTCAGCCCCAAGTGCCGCGACCAGGTCGGCGAGGGGAGGGCAGGGAGGGCGCTGGTGGTCCGCCCCCTGCGTCGTCCTCCCGGCGCAGCCTTCACTGCCTCCATTGTACCATTTTTTCACCCAGGTTAAGAAGTATTTCACCACCCTCGTGAACCGCCGCAACACCATCACCGGGGTGCTGTACAAAGACGACCCCACAATCATGAGGTGGGCTTGCTTCGAGGGGATGGCTGCCTGGCCGGGATGGCTGCCCAGCACCAGCGGCAGGGCCTGGCCGCCGCTGCCCAAGAACGGCTGCCACGCTTTGTCCGCCCCCTGGCTCCTGTGTGCAGCTGGAACCTGTTGAACGAGCCGCGGTGCCGCAGCTGCGGCCCGGAGGCCGTGGATTCGTGGATTGGGGAGATGGCGGGGCACCTCAAGGTGGGGTGGGGCCAGCGGCGGCACCGTCTGGCGGGGGTGCCTGCTCACCTCCCCGGGCCACTGGCTGCCGCTTTCGGCCTCTCCCGCTGCCCCATCGGGCCTCCCACACGCCTGCCTGCAGAGCGTGGACCCCAACCACCTGATCACCACTGGCGCCGAGGGCTTCTTCGATGAGAGCGATCCCATGGCGCGCTACAACCCGCAAGACCGCTCCCTGTGGGCCAGCCGCACCGGGCAGCACTTCAGGGCCAACCATGCCCACGCCGCCATCAGCTACGCCACGGTCCACACCTGGCCAGACAACTGGCGCAACCCGCCATTCCCCACTTCCTGGGGGAGGCAGTGGCTCGATGCGCACAGCCAGGTGTTCAAACCGAAGATAGTTCGAGTCTGGCTGTGATGCACGGTCTCTGGCAACACAGACACTAGGCCCTGCCGCACCGCTGCCTGCAGGTGGCCGCCAGCCTCGGCAAGCCCCTGGTGCTGGAGGAGTTTGGGAAGGAGGCGGCGGATGGGAACATCAAAGCCGTGCGCGATCCATGGTCAGCGCGCGAGTCATGGCCAGCAGGAGTGCAGCATGCAGCCTCAGTGGGGAGCCCACCTGCCGTGTGCTTGCCCCTGGCTCTGCCCCGCCGCGTCCTTTTGGCCGATGAGCGTTTGTCCTGGCACCGTGCTGCTGCCGCAGGTTTGCGATGGTGAACGATGCGGTAGATGAGAGCATCGAGCGTGGCGGGCCACTCCGTGGCGCGCTGTTCTGGCAGGCAAGCGGCTCGTCAGCATCAGCAAGCAATCCTGCACATGGTGTGCTGAGCGTGGCATGCCACGCCACTGCGGCGTCGCTGATGCCGGTGCCCCTGCCCGCCGCGCCCTGCAGTGGGACGGCGAGGACGGTCCACGCCCCAACATGGGCAACAGCATTCGCAAGGCCGACTCGACTTTCAAGGACTACATCATGCCCCACGCCCTCAACATGGCCTCGCGGCGCACAGGCGTCCCGTTGCCGGGCTGCACCCTACGCACCCCTGCCCCAGCTGGCGTGGCCGAGGCACGCGGCAACAGCAGCCGGGCGGGGCAGCAGACCGTGCAGAGCTTCGCCGGCGGCCAGGCGTCGGCGGGCCGCAAGATGCTGTCGGCAGAGCTGCCTACGGCAGCCTGATGCACCCAGCCCAGCATTGCAATTGGAGACTGCCCACCAAATCTTTCGCTGCTTCATTGCCCACGGTTTATATATACGTTACGACTATATTCTTGGGGTTGCCTGGCCGTTTACTATGTCTTCTGCTCTTCATGCTGCTGCTGCGGCTGTTGTCGCTGATGAGAGCTGCGCGCCGCAGTTCGGCAATCATTGCTCAACTGTCTCACGTCTCGTTACACTGTTGGAAAGAATGCGACCAGCAATTACTAGACCGTTGGCACTGTGGCACCGGCCGCTCATGCACCGCTCATAGCCCGCCTCCACTCCAACCTCGTTCACTTCTGCCGCAAAGCAACATGCTCCATCTGGGTCATGCCTGGGCCCTCAGCGAGTCAAACGTCTCCTTGATTTTGTCCATGAAGGGCTCTGTGTACATGTACTGGTCGGGAGTGACCTGCAGGCAGGGTTGCAGTACATGGCACCGGCGGCAGCACATCAAGGACAGCACGATGCCGCGCCGGGCGGCGGCGGTGGCGCGGCCGCGCTCCAGGGCGGCGGCCCACACCAGGGGCGTGCCGGGGCACTGCTTGCCGGGGCCTCGTCGCGCTGTGCTGGCGGGCACCCGCCCCGCTGGCCGCCTCCTCGCCGATGGCGCCCACCCGTGCATGCAACCGACGGCATTCACCCAGGCGCGGCGCAGCAAGCACTTGCCTTGGTGGTGCCGTGCACGCAGATGGCCAGGTCCTTGGTCATGTGCCCCGCCTCCACAGTCTTGATCACAGCCGCCTCCATGTCCCCGCAGAACTTGAGCAGCTCTACGGGGTAGGGGATGAGCGGGGTGGAGGTGAAGGACTTCGGATAAGGCCGAGGAAGAGCGTGAGCAGAGCAGGCACAGGCGGCTGCGCTGCACTCGTTTTCGCAAGGCTGTCTCTCGCTCTGGCCCGTGCCGCAGCAGCCAGGAGCAAAAAAGCGTGCAGCGCAGGACCGCGCAGCACGCCCCGCGTCGCCTTGCCCCGCCTCACCCTCGTTGCCGTCCAGCTTGGCGCGATGGGCCAGGCCGCGGGTCCAGGCAAAGATGGAGGCAATGGGGTTGGTGGAGGTGGGGTTGCCTTTCTGGTACTCGCGCCAGTGCCGCGTCACCGTGCCTGCAGGCACGCGGCCAGGCAGGCAGCAGTCGCAGCCGTAGCAGTGGCGGAACGTTTTGCTGGCAAGCAGGGGTGTTCTGGGAGGGTTTATGCTGCCGGCCCATTGGCTGACCCGCCGCGCTGGCTGGCAGGGCAGCTGCCAACACCAGGGGAGCAGGTGCGCACCGTGCGCCGCCTCCGCCTCCACGGTGCGCCCGTCGGGTGTGACCAGTACCGAGGTCATGAGGCCTAGCGAGCCGTAGCCCTGCAGGGAGGGGGGGTGGAAGCCAGCAGGGGTCTAGAGGAGAGGAGCGGTACCATGGCATGACGTAGCGAGCGTTGCTGGCGCCGCCCATCCATGCAAGCCCAGCGCGTGGCGCCTCTGTTCTGGGCTGCCCCCTGCCCCGGCCCGCCTTGCTCTCTCAGACCAGCCCAGCCGCTCCACCGCCTCGCTGAGCTGCCTTGCTGGCAGCTGTTGCCGCGTTGAGCGCCCCACCTGCGCCACGATGTCGCTCTGCACGTCGCCGTCGTAATTCTTGCAGGCCCACACAAAGCCGCCGCTGGACTTGAGGCCCTGGGCCACCATGTCGTCAATCAGGCGGTGCTCATACCTGGAGCAGGCAGGGGGGTAGAAGGGCAGGGGGCAGGTTGGCAAAGGAGGTGGCAGGCAAGGAGGGGCCGACACGACATGGGCAGGGTAGGAGGTCAAAGGTGGCAGGCAGGGAAGAAAGCAGGCATGCACGCATAGCGGTATCGGGCAAAGAAGAAACGGACTAGAGTTCAGGCCTGGGAAAGGTGCTAGCGCCATGCCCACCCGGCCCAGCGCACCACCCCAGGGCCCCACCCAGCCCGCTGCCCTGTGCCACCCACCAGATGCCCAGGTTCTCAAATTGCGTCTGGTACTTGGTGTGGTAGATCTCGTCAAAGATCTGCGCACGGGCAGGCAGGCAGGGCAACGGCGGTGGAGGCAAAGGCATCTTGAATGTGCGGCCCAGACAGCGGGCGCTGTGCACTGCAACACGTGGCACTGGCGCGGCCAGCCCCGCCAGCCCAGCCCGGCCCTGCCCACCTGCATGAACCGCCCATCGTATTTCTTCAGGATCGTGTTCTTGGTGGACAGGTACAGCGGCCTGCGGGAAGAAAGAAGGAGGACAGACGCCAGCGGCGGCCTTGGGTACGGCAGCTGGCACCAATGCCGCCCGGCGGTGCAACGAGGCAGCCGGAGCCAGCAATGGCAGCAGATGCCCCGGCTGGCGATGCGCCGCTCGGACCCCCTGGGCCCGCCTCGAGCACGGCCATCAATTGAGAAAGAAAGCAGGCCAGCTCACCACTTGCGGGACAGCGCGTACTGGAAGCACGACTCTGCAAAGCCGCGGATCGACTCCTCTGTGTTGTACATGCCCAGCGCCACGCCCGCCCCTGCAGGGCGCAGGAAAGGAAGGCGGGAGGGAAGGAGGAATGAGACGGACGGCAGCGGACCGCAAGCAGCAGCGCGGCTGGCGGGCTGTGGCCGCCGACCTGCCAGCCAAGCGCGCCAGCGGCAGCACAAGCCATCGGCCCAGCCGGCAGCCCACTTGCGCCACACAACAAGCACGCCCGCGGCCAGGCCAGCCACCACCAACAACAACAGATCAAGCCAGCGGCGCGCTTGCCCTTGAAGTCGTAGATGGTGAACTGCTGGGGCGCGCCGCCTCCCTCCGGCGTAAAGATCATCTCCAGCTTGCCGGGCCCATCCACCACAAAGTCGGTGGCGCGGTACTGGTCGCCAAACGCGTGCCTGCAGGCGGTACATTGGCGGTACAAGGGGAGGGGGCGTTGGAGGGGCAGAGGGAGGGGTCAGGAGGCGAGGGAGGGAGGTGGGCAGGGAGAGGTAGGGAGCCAGGCGGCAGCTAGGGAGGGGGCAGCCAGGGCAGAGAGGTGCGCAGCATGGCATCCCAGCCCCGCACCATACACCCGCACCCACGACAGCAACCACGCGCACCTGCCCACAACGATGGGCTTCTTCCACCCCGGCACCAGGCGCGGGATGTTGTCGATCACAATCGGCTCCCGGAACACGGTGCCGTTGAGGATGTTGCGGATGGTGCCGTTGGGGGAGCGCCACATCTGGGGGCGGGAATGGGGGGCAGGACAAGACGGGCAGGAGTGTGTGGGTGCGTGGCGTGGGGGCGTGTGCATGGAGGTGGTGGCTGTGACCTCTGCGATGTGTGTGGTTGGGCAGCGTGGGAAGAGGGAGAGGGAGCGGGAAGAAAGAGAGCGTGCACGCAGCCAGCAAAGCGCAGCGTATGGCAGCCGCACGGTCGCACCGCAGGTCGCACCGCAGCAGCCGCACCTTCTTCAGGCCAAACTCCTTGACGCGCCCCTCATCGGGGGTGATGGTGGCGCACTTGATGCCCACGCTGTGCTTCTGCGGCAGGGCACAGCATGCGCAGCATGCGCAGCATGAGAGCCCTGCTTGCCCGCCCGCCTGCCACCCCGCGCTTACAACCACCACCGCTGCATCCTCCTCCACCACCGCCCTCTGCCGTCAGCCAGCACATCACAACCCACACCTGCCTGCCCTCGTGCCCTGGTGCCCGTGCTCACACTCCAGCCCCACGAACCCTGCCACCATGAAACCCCAGCACAGCCCCGCGCCGCACCTTGATGGCATTGGCGGCGTCAATGGTGATCTGGTCGTCGGTGGCGTCGCGGCTGGGCAGCCCCAGGTCGTAATACTCCAGCTTGAGGTCGACGTACGGGAAGATGAGCTGCGGGTGCGGGTGCAGGAGGGAGAGAAAGGGAGGGGCAGCGGGTGGAAGATTGAAACACAAAATTGCAAAGTAGGCTAGCTGGCGGAAGATGCGCTGCGGGTGAGGAGGCCGTGGGACCGGTAGGTTGCGCGGTAGAGGCTACCGAAGGCAAAGCGAGCGCCCGCCGACGACTGAGCGGGTTTGTAACCAGACAGGCAGGGCAGGCGCTGCAGGCCCAGGCCCCCGCACCTTCTCCTTGATCTGGTTCCAGATCACGCTGCAGCCAAGGCGCAGGCAGCGGGCGGGAGAAGCGGCGCCATGTGAGTGGCAGCCAAGAGCAGCGGCCGCATTGCACCGAGCATGCCGGCAGCGAGCCAGCGGCCTAGCACGGCCCTCCAGCCAGCACCTCCACGCCCCGACCCCGACAGCCAACGGCTGCTCCCCAGCCTGGACCAAGCTGCCGCACACTTGACCGCACTTGCCTCTCCCCCTGCTGGCTGGCAGCCACTGGCCGCCGCCAACCGAGTTGCTACTGCCTGCCTCACCGGGTCATCTCATCCCCATCCAGGTCCACCACCGGGTTCTCAACCTTGATCTTCCCCGCCGCAGATGCCATCTCCCTGAAGCCTGCACCCATGGGGCACGCAGGCACAGGCAGGACGGATAAGAGAGCTGCACACTGTGCGTGCAGGAGTGGCGGCGGCGAAACGGTGGCGGCGGAAGGGCGCGGCAGCGCGATGCTGGGCTCACTGGCCAGCGCGCATCCGGCGCTGCGCCGGCGGCTCCTCGCCCTCAGCCAGGTACCCCGTGCGCAGTGGCACAAGGCCAAACGCCTGCCCACAGCTCGCCCCGCGCCAGCCTGATAAGCCGCCGCCGCGAAACCCGCCGCCGCTGCACGAGCCCACGGCGCCATCGCCCCGCATCACAGATCATAACGTCTGGATCGGCCCTGGTGAGGCTGGAACAGGGCCCAGCACCGCAGGGGCCCACTTTCGGCAAGCCTTTCGGCGGGCCTGCTCGGCGCCGACAGCACTCACTGGAGGCGCCGCAGGGGGCCAATGACGCGGCCCTGAGGTATCCCTTGCTGAAGCTGCGGCCCGCGCTGGCCAGCGAGAGCATGTCAATGAGATGGGGACGCTGACTGCAGCCGAAGGGGGGACCGGTGGCTTTGAGCACGGCTCCCTGGCTGGCAATGACACAGGCGCTTCGGGTTTTGCGCCCTCATAATGATATGCCCAAACCGGGTCCCCATGCGGACCCGCCTGGCGGCGGCGGCGGACCAAAATGACAGCCGCTGCACTCGTTTCAATGCAGCGGCAATGGCAGGGAAACAGGGCCTGTCGCGCCACCGTTCCAGGCTAAAGCAACAGTGCCTGTGGCTCATGACTGTGGTCACAACCAGCAGGTGGAGAACCAGGAGCTGCGCAGTGCGACCAGCAGCGACCCAAGCGCAGCGGCAGCAGCACGGGATATCATAACATATGCGCTGAATGAATACATGGACAGACAGAGAGCAGCCCGCATCATGCATACATGCGCACAGCACATGCAGCCGCTACTTGCCTGCAGGCATGCGGGTCAGGGCCCCGCGTCCGAAGGGCACGTGGGTGGCTTCCCGGCTCCACTGCTGCCAGGCCACATGGTGGGCTGCTGTGCAACCCCGCGCTGCGGCTCGCGCCCATTTAGATACACCCATGGTTGCACCACACGTCCGACTGCCTGCATCCATAAGAACATGCGCGTGATGTGGCGGCAGTGGTTCCCGCCAGCGGCAGCGGCGGCCAGCTGGCAGAACCCTGTTACGTTACGATTGGGAACCCAATCCAGGCATGCATACGCGTTTGCAAATCACGTACGAGACAGGGATCAGGCAGCTGGAGCACAATTGCAGCGGTAATTTGCCTTGCGATGATGAGAAGTTGCCTTCTCGCAGCGTGACCCGCCCTCCTCTGCTGCTGCCCAGTGCGATCGAACGATGGCACGCCGCACTTGTGCACTCTGTGAAATCTTCTGGCCAAATCTTCCGAGTACTTCTGTACCCCCGCTTGAACTTCGCGCGCCAAAACCTGAGGCCCCAGGCTTCGCCCAAACACTCCACTGCCCCGCCCGACACTGCTGACTACCTGCCCGCTACAGATCACGCCATGCTTTGCGTCAGGACTCTGACTTCAGTCTCCGCAGTGCGCCCCTCGTGGCGTCGCGCCTCCTCCTCCAGACCCCGGGGCGCCAGCGTGATCAGCGCCCGTGCATGGAACAGCTGGGACCAGCCTCAGCTCGAGCCGCCCGAGCGATTCCAGTCCTTGTTTGCGGTGTCCCACCTCCCGCCCTCTGACAACCCCCTGACGGTCTACGACGCCAGGTGAAGCCCTCAGCGTCTGCACAGGCGGGAGGTAGTTGGGTCCCAGTAGCTGCCCACCTGCCGCCCGCCCCCTCAGAGCTGGAGACCCGTCAGACCACCCGCCGGGCGCCTTCCTGCTGGCTGTACTACTGGCAGAGGCATGCATCAGGCTTCCAAATCCCCTCGCACGCTCGTTTGCTGTCATGGTAGTGATCGCCGTTGCCGCGCCCCCCCCCCCCGCCGCTTGAGTGCAGAGACGCAATCGAGGCGTGCACCGGGCTGTGGGGCGAGGAGCGGCAGGAGTGCCTGTCTGTGTTTGGCGTGGATGCTGGGCGGGTGGACACTTTCTACAGCACAGTGTTCAGCCTGGAGATGGCCCTCAGCCAGGACACAGGTGAGCAAGGGCCCTGCGGGGCGGCGGGGGCTCCAGAGCTGCAGCAGTGAAGCAGTAGCAGAAGCAGCAAGGAGGCCCAAGAGTCCAGCAGCAGCAGCAGCGGTTGCCATGCATGAGAAATGAGGCATATCGTTAAGCGCAGCCAGTTGACGCCATGTGCGCCCCTGCTTGTGGCTGCTGCAGACCCTGAGGAGGAGGCCTCACACGGCGGCCTGGAGCGCTGCTGAGCGAAGGTGGCAGCAAAGCACTGCTGCGTTGCCACTGTTTCGCACGTTTTGTGACCTTCCATTCCAATCCCCATGGCAGGCTGTTGTGCACGCCCCCACCACTGCGACGGCCACGGCTTGCTTTTTTCCCAGCCACACCTGTACTCAGATTTTCAGTCGACAACACCATTTCCGTCTGTTGTGCAGTTGTTTTGTCCGCCCAGTCCGCAGCCCTGTATTCCAGTTGCTCAGTTGAACGAATCTGCCGTCCGGCTTTTCCATGTTGCGCCGCACATTGCTCCTGTCTGCACCATGTGCTGCGATATGATCCCCCTGTGCTCACCCTTTTTCCCTGCTTTCCCCGTTTTGCCTACCTGACACATACCCATTGCTCCGGCTGCCACATGTGGCATGCACCCTACCTCCTCCAACACACGGGTACCCCATTGCGCAGGCTGCCACGTGGCATGCACCTTCAACCAACCCCCACACCAAGCGTGCCGCCTAATGTATGCATCCAGTCACCTCCACCGACTGCCTATTTGATTTTAGCGCGCTGCGAACAACACCCGTGCCTTGAGACCTGGCACTGTAGACCCTTTGCACCTTTTCCACATCCCTTCCACAGTTTTTCCATGGCTTCTGGAGAGCTTCTGTAAACCACAGTATGCAACAGAGGCTGGGGTGATAGTGAACGACAGGCGCTGGCTGCCAACTTGGCTGCGCCGAGAGTGGCGGTGGCGGCATTCTCATGTTGCCTTCGCCTCGATGCATCTCCCTGCTTGGTAAGCTGGCTAGCCACGACAGTCTGACCAGAGGCAGTCTCAAAACAGTCGTGGGAGAGCAAGAGTGCAGCAGCCATGGCATGTATGGCCCAGGCCCACAAAAAATGAGGTACTGCGAATGAAATGCACAGAAGGAACGTAGAATAGGGGAGAGAATACAAGGTGCAATAAGCTGCGGCCCAGGCAGGAGGAGGAGGACCGGGAGGGCCCTGTCCCGGGTCCGCACAAAAGGCTGCTCCTCGGTTTCGGGGCCACCGCTCCCCGCCGACGCGGGCAGCCGTGCACGCACGGGAGCGGCCGCCAGCCGGCGCCGCCGCCCTTGCGCGGACCCCAACCATGCCCCCCCCCTCACTCTGCCAGGCTGTAGAGCTCCTTGGCGCGCAGGCGGGCCGCGTGGTTGGCGGCGCCCATCATCACCAGCCCCATCTCCTCCTGGTGGCAGTCCTTGCGGAAGCGCATGCGCAGCGCGGGCACGTTTGTCTTCTGTATGTCGTTGCCCTCGGGGCCCAGCTTCCAGTACTCGGTGTGCACCCAGTGCATCTTTACCTGCGGCGGCGGCGGCAGGGTGAGGCAGGGTGGGATGGGGATGGGGCCAGGCGCAGGTCGGGAGGAGCTGGGAGCAGGAGCAGCCTGGCCAGCCGTCGCTGCGTGCCCCAGCGGACCACCACCGCCGCCAAACATACACATCAATGCCGCCACCCAGGCCAGGCACCCCCCCACACACACCTGGTGCGGGAAGCCCGAGTGCAGCACGCTGTTGCGCGCCACCTCACACAGGTCGGTGGCGCTGAGCTTCCACACCTGCGGCGCAACCCCACAGCCACACAACGCCAGCGGCGAGGTCAGCCACGGGGGCGGCCGCAAGGAAGCGGCCAGGGCAGGGAGCCGGCTCGGCAGCTGCGGTGCCTGGGTGGGCGGCCGCATTGCCAGCCAGCACGGCATCTGCTCCCACCAGCAAGCGGTGCCAACGATAAAGCAATACCAGCGGTACCGCACCTGCGCCGCCACCGAGTACTCCTCAACCAGCGGCTCCTTGGTGAGGTGGATCTGCGGGAGGAAAGTACGGGGGGCAGGGAGGAAACCATCAGGGGCAGGCCGGGAAGGGCATGCGGAGGTGGACAAGTGAATGGGTGGCTCCACCCGTTTCCTGGCGCTGGTCGACTGGCGTCGCCCCAAGTAATGCAGAAGCTCCCAGCCTCACACATGCACTCCCCACATGCATGCCGGGCTCGTGAGCCCGGCACAACAACCGTGCGCCCCCACCCGCCCCGCCCCGCACCTGCAGCGGGTCGTCGGTGGAAAGGGAGACGGAGAGGCCGCGGGCAAAGAAGGTGGGGAAGGGGTTGCGATGGTAGTCCAGGAACAGCGAGTTGTTGGACAGAGGGCTCATGCAGAGCCCGATCTGCAGCGGGCGGGGAGATGGCAGAGGCGGGGGCCGAGGCCAGACCGGGGGTCGGCGCCACCTCCCCGCCACAAACCGAACCCCGCAACGCCCTCCTAGGCCCCGCCCGCCCCCGCCTGCACACCCTCTCACAACAACCACGAGCACAAACACACACACACAATCCACGCCCTTGCAAATCCATCCACTCACGCGCACATACCCACGCCTGCTGGGGTGCTGCACACCCACCCACCCACCCACCCACCCACCCACCTGCGAGATGTAGTACAGGTACTGCAGGGAGGGCGACTTGCGCAGGTTGATGCCGTGCGCGATGTTCTCGGCCAGCATGTAGGAGGACACCAGGTGGTCGATGTCGCCCGCCTCGCCTGGGGGGGCGGCGCAGGGGTGGGTGGGAATCAATAATTAATTCTCATAATAAAGAGAGTGTGTGTGTGTGTGTGTGTGTGTGTAGGCGCGGGTAGGCCCGATGCAGCCGCGGCGGCAGCGCTTCGAGTGCAGTGGCCCACAGCCGCCGCAGCGCTCCCGCGCCGCCCCGCCCCGCGCCCACCCACCCGCGTGCGGCCGGAAGTTGAAAGTGTTGAGGCCGCGCGCCTCCCGCATCTTGTTGAGCACATACAGGTTGGCATACATGTAGTAGGCGTAGTACGCGTAAGCTGCGGTACAGCAGGGCAGTACAGCAGCACATCAGGCGGTACACGATGCGGTGCATCAGGCAGCACATCAGACACGGCAGCGGCCAGGGTGGCTGCGGCAGGCACGGTGGGGTGCGGCACGGACCCATGGACCGCCGCTGCCGTCCTGGCTGGCTGGGCGCCGCCCGTGCCGCACGCCGCACTCTTCACTACTCTCCCCAGCCTGCCACCAAACCACCCAGCTCTGCCACCCTATACCTGGGTTGTGCTTGGAGTTCCAGTCGCGCGGGTTGGGCATGTGCTTGTTGGGGCGCCGCTCTGGCTTGGACTCATCATCAACCAGGTCGAAACCAGATACCTGCGCAGGATGCACGTGTGCGGTGGCCAGTTCACAGCAGGTGCAGACACACGGCCGCGGTCGAGGCCAGCACGACGCAGCGCAGCAGCCTGGCACCGCTACCAGCCAGCCAGCCGCGGCAGCCGCCCTGTAGGCGGCCCCGGTGCCCCGGCACGGCGGCGCCGGCAGGCGCAGCGTGCGCAGCGTGCCCAGCGCAGCGGGCTCACCCCTCGCAGGAAGAGGTGGAGCTGCGGGTGGGAGTTGGGGTCGCGGGTCACCTCGAACAGAGGCGTGAAGATATTGGCCAGCAGCTGCGGCAGGCGGGAGGCAGGCGGGCCAGGGGTGGGGTGGCGGCGAAGCTCCATGCAGTGCCAGCAGGGCGGCAGCACCAACCGGCATCTCAAGCCACCGTGCCACCCAGCATGCAACCCCACGGTCACCCAGGCGCTGCTGGCCAACCTGCTCGAAGTTCTCAATGATGCCCTGCTCCTTGTACACATTGTACAGCCGCGGTACCTGCGGTACACCGGTACAGCAGTGCACCCAGCCCGGTCGTGAGGGCAGCTGCCCGCCCGGGAAGGCAGCTCCCAACCAGCCAGCCTCCTTCCTGCCTGCCTGCCTGCCTGCCTGCCTCCCCAGGTCGACACCCCACCAACACCATGCACACAGCCTGCCACCACCACCACCCACCCCACCTGGATCATCCACATGTTGTTGTCGCTGTACAGCCGGTTCTGCACCACCCAGGCCGCCAGCGTGTCCCACTCCACAGGCTTGCGCCCGTACACGCTGATGCGGTACTCTGCGGGCGGTACACGAGGCGGTACGGGTGGCGGTACTGGGTGCGGCACGCACGGCCGGCGGCCGCCAGCTCCCCAGCCGCTCCCTGCCTGCGGCCGCAAACCGCTGCGCCGATCGCCCAAAACACACCACACCATCCACACACAGACCGCCACACACCCTGAGTAAATGCCGTACCACCACCCACCCGTGTGCTGGTATTTGGAAGCCTCCAGGTCTGCAAACATCTCCTTGGTCAGCTCAGCCAGGAAGCGGCCGTGGATGAGGTTGTCCTGCGGCGGAGAGAGGACAGGGGAGAAGAGGAGGGAGCAGGCAGGCAGGCAGGCAGGCAGGCAGGCAGGCAGGCAGGCAGGCAGGCAGGCAGGGGGTGAGGTGGGGTGGAGGCTGGGAATTAACAAGTCCCAGCATGCTTCTCTGCAGGCCGGCACGGCCCAGCGGCCAGCCTCAGCAGCAAGCACAGCGGCAAGCACAGCGGAGAGCAAAGCATGTGAGGCCGCCTGCTTGCCTGCTTGATGAAGATCTCCCGCAGGCGCGACTGGCCAAAGGGGTTGTACTTGAGGTTGAACTTGTCAAACCTGGGGGGCAGGCGTCGCAAGACGGGCGGGGAAGCCGGCACATCAGGCAGCGCATTTGCGCATGCGAGCCGCCGGCTGTGCCTGCGCAGCGACCCGCAGGCGCCACCCATTCCTGGTTCTGTCCCCCCCAAAACACCCCACTACCACCATGCATGAGACCCCACCCACCCCCACCTGTGGAAGATGTTCTTGTCGGCATGCACGTCCAGGGTGTCGACGTTGAGGTGGTAGGGCGTGAGGTTGAGCGACTCAAACACCTCCCGCAGCGTGAGGTACTTGCCGTCCCTGCGGCAGTACGACGAGGCGGTATGCACGACGGCACTATGTCAGCAGCCAGCGGGTCAGCTGTGGCCGGCGCTGCAGCAGGAGGCGCCGTCGTCTGCCCGCAGCAAGCGGGGTGGCAGCGGTCGGCCAGCGGCCCTGGCTCTGCAGGCAGTATAATGTACACATGGGCATGGTTTTTCCACCCACCCCAGCTCGGCCCACTACCCAAAGCACCTCACCTGAAGATCACCACCTCATCAGGCTCCTTCCGCAGCTTGCTCTTGATGAAGCGCAGCAGGTGCTTTTGGTGCATGCACGCGCTGCAGGCAGGGGGGCAGGCAGGCAGGCAGGCAGGCAGGCAGGCAGGGAGCAGGGGCGGCGCTGAGGGCGGCGGCAGTGGTGGCACGTGTGGTGGTGAGGCAAACCCCCTTCACTCTGCCCCAGGAAACATTCTCTCTCTCTCTCTCTCTCTTTCTCTCTGTCTCGCTCTCTCTCTCTCACACACACACACACACACACACACACACTACCATCCACACACTCTCCACGCACACACCACACACACACACCACACCACACGCCCACACCACACCACACCACACCCACACCCACACCCACACACCCACACACCCACCACACACCCACCCACACACACACACACACACGCCCACACCACACCACACACACACACACCTCCCCACCCCTCACCTGTGGTGCACGTGCGTGTCCACCTTGCGAACGTTGTAGAAGTCGCGGTGCGGGGCGCTCTTCTGCGCCAAAAACTCCTTGTCTGCGGCAGCGGGGCGGCGCAGCGCGCTAAGCGCGGGACGCGTGGTACTGGGTGTGCCGGTGGAGGCCGCGGCGCGGCGGCGGCGGCGACTGTCACGCCGCTTGATGCAACTCCGCAGCCCCGTCCCATGCGGGCCAGCCCCTGCGGCAGCTCACCGGCATTCAGCATGACGTGGAGGTTGAACTTCTGCTCCAGCAGCAGCAGGCGGTGGTGGGTGAAGGTGCGCACGTGGCCCAGGCTGATCACCTTGAGGAGCCAGTGCATGTCTGCACGGGCAGCGGGCGCAGCAGGCACAGCAGGCACAGCAGGCACAGCATGAGAGGGCAGTGTGCTTGCGGTACGTGCGTGGCCTGTGGTGTGGTCAATGTGCGTGGGGACACAGGGAAGCGGCGCGCACGAGGCGCTGGCCGCAGCTGCCAGTTTCTCCCACCCCCTGCCGTCCCTGTGCCGCCTTGGGCCTCGCCGCCCCGCGGGCAGCGCGCGCAGGCGGTGGCGCCCCTGCCTCCCTCACCCGAGAAGAACTCTGTGGCGGTGCCGGGCGGCGCAAACACCTGCTGCTCCCTGCTGTCGTCTGCCCACATCTGCATCACCCCCTCCACCATCTCCAGCTCGCACGGCAGCACATCCTGCAGGAGGGGAGCACCGCACGGCGACGGGCAGTGGGCCGAGTTGGAGAGGCAGGGCAGTGGCGGCACCAACGCGCGCAATCTGCCACACCAACGGCATCGCCAGCCCAGCCAACGACGCCCTCAACACACACACACACACACACACACACCAGCCTGGTGCAGCTCCCAGCTCTCAATGGTACACAACACAGCGAGCAGGTGCCGCACTTGGTGCGGCACGGTGCATGCCACGCCAGCCCTCAGGGGTCGTTTCATTCCCTGAGCTGAGCCCTGTCCAAGGATGAAAGCTGCCCTGACTGGACCAGGCATCAATGTCTGGACTGGGCCCGCGCAGCGCCCCGCCCCCGCACCTGCTCCTGCCAGCTGAACGGGTCTCCGTACACCTGTGTCACCGTCACCGCCTCGGGCAGGTGCGCCAGCTGCTCGGGGCTGTACTGCTGGCGGAACAGCCAGCGGTGCCGCATGTCCAGCGCCTGGCGCAAGAGGTGGCACACCTGGGGGCGGGAGGGAGGCAGGAGCAGGAGCAGGAGGGGGTGTGGGAAGGTGTGTGTGTGTGTGGTGTGAGCATGGCGTGTGGTGTGTGTTGGGTGTGGGTGTAATGTGGTGTGTGGCAATGAGCGGGCAGGCCGGTAGGGGACAGGCCGGCACACTGCGGGCCAGACGAAAGGAGCGTTCCGATGTGCGAAATGCGCGATCTCCCCACAGCCCCCAAACACCCTGGCGTGCTGGCCGGCCGTGCCGCACGCTGCCGCGCCGCCCATCCCCGGCGCACCTCCTCGGTCTCCTCTGTGGGCGTGGGCTCCGGCGTGATCACCCGCACATACTGCTCATGCATGGCTGCATCCTCTATGATCCGGCCCTCAGTAGCCATCGCATCTGCGGTGGTGATTGTCTGCATGGCTGGCGGCGCCTGCGCTGTGATGGCGGCGGGGTAGGAGGCAACCACCATCTGGGTTGGCGAGGCGGGGGCGCCGCCGGGCGCCATGCCCGGCTGGCCCGGCCCGCCGCTCGAGGGGCGCGACTCCAGCGTCAGCGGCGGCACCAGCTGCTGCAGGGGAGGCCAGGCCGAGGAGGGGCAACGGAGGGGAGGGGCCGGGAGTCGGCAGCAGCGCGGCAGGGGCATGCCGGCATGGCGCGGCGGCAGGGGCCTGCACCGGCGCATCCAGCCTGTGCAGCGCAGCCGGGGGGCTGGCAGCGTGCGTCTGCGAAGGAGCTGCAGAGAGGCCTGCATGCATCCCCAGCACCAAACATCGGGCGCCGCCCTGTGCCGCTCACCCGCGGCGCCGCCTGCAGCATCTGCGCCTGGCTGGGCGAGGCCCCCGCGGCCAGCATGGTGGGGAAGGAGAAGCTCTGGTTGCGCAGGTAGCCCGCGGCGGCCTGGTTGGAGCGGTCTGCGGGGCCCGCGTAGATGTGGGCGGGCCGCTCGCCGCGCCCCACCACCGCCCACGCCTCCGACTCGCTCACTTCGTTGACCTGGCGCAGCCGCTGCGGCGGCAGCCCCGCCGCGTTGTCCTCAGACAGCAGCGCCTCTGTGTCGGGGCCGTCGTGGTGGTGCTGCCCCGGCGCCAGCGGCTGCATGAAGCGCGGCGACTGCTTGCCGCGGGAGCCGCGCGGGTCGAGGTGGCCGTTGCCGGCCTTGCCGCCCGCCGCCTGCTGGCCCTCCGCGCCCTCCTCTCCATAGTAGAGGCCTGTGTTGGCGCGGGCCAGCGGCTTGCCGCTGGGCGGGTTGTCGGCGGGGCCGCGGGCGGCGGGCCTGCGGGGGCGCAAGTCCGCATCCACCTGGGTTCAGCAGCGGCGGCATCATGCGTGCTGCTCCTCCGGCTGCGCCTGCCGGGCCCCGAGACGAGGCACATCAGCTGCCTGCGCCTGCCCTGCCCTGCACCGACCCCCGCGCATGTGACGGCAGGCCCACGGCGCAGCCCTCCCTGCTGCCTCACCGTGGTGGACGGCGCCTGCCGCCGGCGCTCGACGCCCGCCGCAGGTCGTCTGCCGCCGACGTGCTGGCATAGCGGACGGCCAGGTAGGCCGCGCCTGCCGCCACGGTGCTGCCCAGCAGCACGCCCCCTACAAACAGCCCCCACCCCGGCTGCGAGGAGCTGCTGGTGGCGGGGGAAGTCGCCTGCACCTGCGCCATGCACGCCTCTGTCCCCTGCTGGCCGTGCTGGAGAACGTTCCCCGATCAGGGCAACGTCGCGGGGCTCCGCCGATCGCACCGCCGAGAGAGCCCCACCACTGGCTGTCGCAAGGTCAAGAGGAGGGGGGCTGCAGGCTGGCCGGCGATCACTGCAGATGCAATGCTTCCATTGCAAAGCCCCTCTCTTCCATTTGCTCCACTGCCATCTGGCCCAGCACGCAGCAGGAGCCTGACCGCAATTGCCCTCTGCAAGCCTTCCATCCGCCCCTCCTGTATGTGTCATAACGTGCAATGACCATGAAGCTGTCCCTGGAGGAGGTGGTGAGGCAGCACTTTGGGGCCGGGCCCAAGGAGCGCCCCCAGGAGCTAGACGCCAACCTGCGGTGCGTGTAGCGTCTCATCTGCGTGCTGGAAGAGACGCGAAGGGGGCCGCAGGCACTGCAGCAGGCCGGGAAGTGCAAGGGGCAGCTGCCGCCGCCGCCGCTCATTTGCAGCAGGTGCGACGGGGCTGCTCCGCTGCTTGCAGGCGCCTCAAGGCCGAGCACCTCAAGGCCCGGGGGGATGAGGCCATCAAGCAGGGCAACTGCCGGCAGGCCTGGGAGAGGCAAGCCCCGTGTGCTTGCTGCTGGATGTGGAGGCACGGCAGCGGAGCCCGCTTTGTGTTGATAGCCGCTTTGTGTTGAGAAGTCACAGGAAGGCAAGCCTCGGCAGGCTCCCATGCCCGCTCCTCCCTGCCTCCCCGGCCTGCAGGTACAGCGAGGCTATCGACCTGAAGCCCGACAAGGCAGCCCTGCCCGCGCTGCACAGCAACCGCTGCCTGGCGTACATGAAGGCGCAGCGGTACGGCGACGCGCTGCGGGACGCCGAGGCGGCGGCCCGACTGGCGCCGGGGTGGAGCAAGGCGCACTGGCGCTGCGGCACCGCGCTGCTGGCCCTCAAGCGCACGCCAGAGGCTGTGCTGGCCTTCCTGGAAGCCTGGCGGCTGGCGGCGGGCGACGCCAGGGCGGAGTGCGAGGGGCGGCTGCGCCAGGCGGTGCAGCGGCTGACGCGGGAGCAGCTGGGGCGCGGCATCCTGGCGCTGATGGAGGGCCTGCAGGGCGAGGGGCGCATGGAGGCTCCACAAGTGGAGGAGGCGTCAGAGCAGGAGCTGGCAGAGGGGATGTTCCGGCACCTGAAGGAGGAGCACAGGGGCCAGCCCAGGCCGGGGCCATACTACAAACGGTGGGCCGCCAGCAGCATGCGCATCTCGGCAGCCACTCCCCGCAGCCCTGTCGGCAGCCATGCGGCGCCTCGGCAGCCAGTGCGCAAGGTGCCTGCCTGCCATCCGTGCCTGCAGATACCTGGGCTGGCTGCGGGAGGGCTTGGAGCCTGGGGAGGCGTACATACTGCGCGCGATGGCGCACATCCAGGCCCGCTGCTACCTGCAGGCGCGAGCAGACGCGCAGGCGGCGGTAGGGGCCCTCCGTAAGGCACAGCAGCAGCAGCAGCAGCAGCAACAGCAGGAGCAGGAGCAGGAGCAGGGTGGCGGCAAGGGCCCTGCAGGGGCTCGGCCTGCGGGCCAGCAGCAGGCAGCGGAGCCGGGCGACTCGCAGCGGGGGCAGGGGCAGGGCCTGGGTGCGGAGGTGCTGAGGTTGCAGCTGGCGACGGCATACCACAAGCTGGGAGAGGCATGCATGGCGGAGCCCAACCATGCAGACATGGACTGCCGGCAGGCGGCCAAGGCGTTCCTGCAGGCTGCCGAGCTCGACCCCGGCATGGACGGCCTGGGCGAGCGGCTGCACGACGCCAGCGAGAAGCTGAGCAGCAGGGACCTGGACGAGGTGGGCGCATGGTACTGCGCCTCCCGCTGGTACTGCCGCATGCAGGGGGTGGTGATGGTGCAGTCGGGACTCCTCCTGCTGTCTCAGCACGATGACATGCACGTCCGCCCGCACACGCATCTGCTGGTGTCCTATTGCCTGCCTGTACCGCCTGTCCTGCCTGCCTTCCGTCCCCGCAGATCCAGCTTGAGATCTACCACGAGGGCGCCACCGGGGCCTCCTCCCGCAGGGGCCTGGGCACCGCGGGCCGCCTGCTGCCCGGCCAGCACGTGTTTCAAGCAGAGCTGCGGCTGGCCTTCCCCGCAGCCCGGGCCGCCGACTGCGGCTCCGCGGCGAGGGAGGCGCTGCGCGCGGGCCTGGCGGCGGCGGCGGGCGTCAGCCCCCTGGCGGTCAGCATCGAGCGGGTGCTGGCGCCCACCGCGGCTCGGCCCCACCTGGAGGTGCTGGTGCATGTGCAGATGGGGGCCGACCTGCTGGCAGCCAACGAGCTGGTAAAGGCGGTTGGCGGCGCAGCGGGGCCAGACGGCAGCGCCAGCCCCACCAGCAGCTGCAGCGTGGCCAGCAACGAGGAGGAAAGCGACATGGAGGCAGTCGAGCCTGAGGGTGCTGCTCAGGCGCCTGCGCCCGCAGAGCAGGAGCGGGAGCGGGAGGAGGAGCGGGAGCTGCGGCGCCGCCGGCTGGCTGCCCTGCTGGGCGGCGAGCAGGTGACGGCGGCGCTGGGGCTGCCAGACCCCCGGCTGTGCGGCGGCGAGATCACGGACGTGACGCCCGCGTGCGCTGGTGCCAACGAGGCGGAGCGCGCGCAGCAGGAGGCGCTCAACAGGGCCGATGCCGAGGTGGCGCCGGAGCAGGAGAGGCGCCTGGTTGTGGTGAGTTGTGTTCAGCGGCAGCAGCATTTTAGCAGAGGGCTCACGCAAACTGCTGCCCTCTCGCAGTGAGGGCCGTCGTGTGCAGCTGTTGCTGCTGCATGGGCCGTCACCCCTGGCGCTGCCGCTGGCCTGTACCGCCTGTACCGCAGCCCTCTCGCCCCAAGATGGAGCTGGAGCTGCCGTACCGCATGTACCGCCTGGTACGGGCCGACGGCTCGCTGGTGGAGCGCGTGGACAAGCACCCCTTCTGCATGAGCCGTGTCTATTATGACGTGACGGAGAAGCCAGAAGAGGTGGGTGTGTTGCTGGTGGCGTGGATGTGGGAGCATGTGTGACACTTTCATGTGGGGGGAGGCAGGGAGCAGTGGCAGAGGCACGGACAGGGGCCAGGCTTGCGGAAGAAGTAAAATTGGCGCTGAATGCGTGTTGAGGCGCCGCCTCCCGGCCCGCAGGTGTGGGCGGAGCTGGCGGACGGCTCGTGCCGCTGGCGGCAGACGGGGGGCGAGGTGAAGGTGGTGGCGCTGCGGGTGCCCCCTGAGCTCCCCAACCGCCAGCTGGCAGTCGACATACAGCCCTACTCGCTCAAGGGTGCGCCCATCCCGGCTCTCGCTGGCGGCAGTGTTGCGGGGAGGGGCGTCGTTGAGCGGGAGAGGGCTGGGCTACAGCAGCAGGGCTGCGCTGGAGCCTGCCGTGCCCTCCCTCTGCCTGCTGTGCTGCATCCCTTTCACACGTTCCACCCCATCGCCACACCAACCCTGCCCCTACCCACACACGCACACATACTTCACCACCCACCACTGCCAACCACCACCGCAGTGTGGAACCGCGCCACCGGGGAGGTGTATCTGGAGGGGAGCCTGGAGCGGGGCGTCGTCCCCGAGGACTGCTTCTGGACGCACTGCGGCGGGGAGGGGGAGGACGGGTGCGCCATCTACCTGCGCAAGATGAACCTTGAGGTGCTGAAGAAGTGAGTTGGGCCGGGCCGGGCTGCTGTGCATGGCGGGCTTGCTTGCGTTTGTGATGCAGCAGCTGCTCTCCCGCCCGTTCTGCGAGCCTGCCTGCCTGAACGGCGGAGCCAGCGTCAACCCCGCGCCCTGTACCAACAGTCAGTTGCAGGACCCTCACAAGCTCTCTCGCCCCGCCCGTGCTCCCTTGCAGGCACTGGTTGCACTCAGAGATGTGGTGGCCGCGCCTGTTCCGGGAGCACGGCGAGATTGCGTGGGATGATTATGAGAAGGATTACAGTGACCTGCCCGAGGAGGTGCTGGACAAGCACAGGTGCGCCTGGCTGGCGCTGACGTGGCTGCCGGCAGGCGCCCAGCTGCCCGCCGCAGGCCAGCCCACCTCCTTCACGACCCTGGCAGCCTGAGCGGCTCCCTGCGAGTGAGGTGGATGCGTCAGCCACGCGGGGGCTTCAAGGTGGGCCATGTCGCGGCCTGCAGGATTCGTGAGGCGATCCAGGAGCCGGCCAAGCGGATCGAGGAGGCTGAGCGCACAAGGCGGGGGCGGCTGCAGGTGAGGCGCCAAGCGCTACCGAGTATACCGAGGCATCCAGGGGCAGGGGCAAGCCACAGCATTCATGATGATCAAGTGATGTCGATGTTGCGGTACAGCAGGGTACAGCCAGAAGATACCGGTGAGGTAAGGCAGCATTAGCATTGCAAGAGATGACGGCTGTTGCTTGAAAACTGCAGGAGGTGGAGGACTTGCGCAAGCGCACGCGGCAGGAGCGCCTGAACGAGCTGCGCAGCGGCAGGAAGCTGAGCTGGGTGGAGCTGGACCGGGGCCTGCCAGCTGCCAGCCAGGCCTAGCCATGGCGGCCGCAGTGGCGGCGATGCCCGCAGCGCCTCACTGCAGCCCCAGGGCGCCCAGCAGATCGCCAAACAGGCCGGCGAGCAGTGAGGGCAGCCTGGGGCTGTCGGGAGCTGCCGCCGCCACCTGCTGCAGTGCCAGCGGCGGCGCCAGCTGCACGGCACGCTCCAGCTGCTCGGCGGTCAGCCTGCTGCGTGGCGGCAGCCTGCCACCGTGCAGCTGCGTGCTGCGCGCCAGCAGCGCGGCAAAGCTCTCCTGGCTGCGCAGCTGGAGGGGGCGGATGTCAGGGTGGCTGGCGGTGCAGGCCTCCTGCCACACGCCCGCCGCTGCCATGTGCTGGCCGATGATCTCGAGGATCTGCAGCAGGACGCCAGGGGAGAGCAGCGAGCGGGCTTTCATTCAAGGCGATGTGGCTCTGGCACGCCGCCTTGACTGTGTATTGTGTATCGTTCTGTGGAGCCCAACTGTGAGCGCCCATCAGCGCACGCCAGCACCCACACACCACCCCGGCATGCTGCCTCACCAGGTCAAAAGAGAGGCTGCCAAGGTCAGCCGGGGAGGCAAAGCTGGCCGCCGCAGGGCAACCAGCTTGGCTGCCGCTGCCGGCGGCCGCGCCCAGCCGCTGCCAGCACAGCACCAGGGCCTGCACCTCGCTGCGGAGCTGCCGAGGAAAGGCGGCGTGGGTGTGCTCGTTCCAGGGCAGCATGGGCGGGTCTGCGATGGTGGCCAGGTGGCCCGACGGGGCATGCGCCACCACCGCCTGAGCGCCGTCGATGCACATGCGGCGGGCGGCGCCCAGCTCCCGTACAACCCAGATGTGGTCGGACCTGCTGGCACGAGGAAAGTGAAAGCACGAGGATCAGAAGGAAGACGTTGGGGAGGGGCTGCGCAGCGTGGCAGCGGCAGCAGCACTGCGGGGGTGGAGGCAGCGGGTGGCAGCAGGCGGCAGCCGACCCACCAGCTGCTGTACTGCGCGCGCTGCCCCGGCTCCAGCACGGTGTAGGGCACCTCTGCTCCGTCAAAGTCGACCCAGTTCACTCTGCAAGATTGGGATTGCATGTGAAAAGGCGCAACTGTCACAAGCAGCCACTGGCAGCATGCAAGCCCCAACCGCCTCCGCGGCTGCCACCGGCACCGCAGCCGCTCCCGCAACAATCCTCGTGCCCTGGTGGCCTGCAAACCTCCCCCTCACCTCACGCTGCGCTCAGAGGCATTGTAGAAGTCGATAGATGCGGGCTGGCTGCCGCCGGCGCGGGTCGTGGACGCCAGGCACAGGCGGCTGCTCCTGTCACCATCAAACTCGCACTCCTCCGCCTCCTCGAGCGACCTCTTCCTCCACACGGCCCGGGGGCGCGCATCTGCCAGGCTGAGCAGCGGCTGGGCCAGCCCCAGTTGCTGCTGAACGGGCCCAGCGGGCTCTGGAGCAGGAACGGCCTCTTGCATGGCTGTGCGAATTGAAGCAGCCAACGAAAATGCGCGGGGTGAACAGTGAGAGTTGAAGCTGAGGCCGGTCAAATGGCTTTCAAACTGAGTGCATCGCGCTTAGCATCGCAGCGTGCATGTGTTGACGTGGAGTCGCCGTCACCTCCAAAAACCACTGCAATCAGCACTCCTGCTCTTCTTGCGACACCTCCCTGCTGTTGCAATGGCCTCCTTACTGCCCGTTGAGGGAGTGGTGGACAGTGTCAGGCGAATTCGTCTCGGCGATCGAACGCACGAGGAGGTCGCCGTTGCGGCGCTCACACGGCTGGTGTGTGCGCTCGTCGTCAACGACAGCCCCGTGATAGAGAGTTCGCTGCAGGGTTCCGACCTCCCCGTGAACAGGTCAGAGCTGCTGGCGTTCGCCAGCACAGCCGCTCCCGCTGCCGGTTCACATACTAACTCTGCCCCACCTGCAAACCTGCCTGCAGCAAGGTGTTCACCCCCTTTGGAGGGGCGCACCTGTATCCGCTGCAAGCAGCAGTGTGCGCGCCGCTGGAGCCGACGTCTGCCCTGGCGGTGGCGCGCCGCCTGCTGGCGCTGGGCGCAGACCCAAACATCCGCTGGCGCGACTGCGGCGGCCAGCACACGCCGCTGGGCAAGGCGCTGGCCCTGCGCAACTTCCAGCTGGCGGAGCTGCTGGCAGAGCACGGCGCCGGTGGGTGGGCAGGCGGTGGTGGTGGCTCCGAGTCGCGCTGCCCAGGCATAGCCAAGCTGAACTTGCGCAAGGCAACCAAGACAGCACTCGTGCCCTGCTCCCCTGCAGACTGCACCACCACGCTGCTCAGCACCGATTTTCTGGAGGGCAGCCACTTCGACCCGCTGCTGCTAAAATGGCTGCTTGACCGCGGGGCTGACGTGGTGGGGCCTGCCATGCCCAGCAGCAGCGCCGACAGCGGCGCCGGGCCCGCTGTGGCCGTGCTGCTGCGCAAGCTGCGGCGGGAGCTGCACGTGACGCGCCAGCTCAGCAAGCTGTACGCGTCGGCGGGCAGCGGCCAGGAGCAGGGCCTGCTGCGCTGCGCGGCCGCCTCACTGGTGCTGCTGCTGGCGGCGGGGGCCACCCCAGCGGGGGCCCCAGACCCCTCGGGAGCCATGGCCGCAGCTGTGGCGGCGCTGCAGCCTGGCAACTGGGCTGCGGTGCAGGAGGCCGCCACCCGCCCGCCTCGCTGGTCTCCCGCCACCCACCACCTGTTCCCAGCCGCATTCCACAGAGCAGCCAGGGTGGTCCTGCTGGCGGCGCGGCGAGGATTCGCCACGCCGTGTGCCGCTCACGGCAGCGGCAACTACGACGCGGGAGCTGGGGAACGGCAGCAGCAGCAGCAGTGCGGCAGCGGCCGCCCTGTCGGCCAGCTGGTCGCACATGGGCGGGCGGGAGCGGCGGCGGTACCGCAAGCGCCGCCCGGGCAGGTGTACCTCGATGGGCACGTGGTACTGCACATCATCAAGCACATGGCCCCTTGTACCCAGCTGTGACATGCGTGCCGTGCTTGCGCCCCTTGTGGGTAACACTGAAAGGCATAAGCGCTCACTGAAGTACAGGCACCGAGCATTGAGGGGGAAGCAAACAAGAGTTTAACAAAAGGTCAGCGAAGTGCGCAGCGAAAACAACAGAGGGTGCACAAGCAAACCGCAGCAGCTGTGCTTGCGCCGCTTCACAGCTCGGCGCCCGCATCCCCAGCCTCGGACTCCGCTGCAGCCTCGGGCTCTGCTGCGGCGTCGCCGGCTGCCTCTGCCGCTGCCTCGGCCTCAGCGGCCGGCTCGGTGGCAGCTTCCGCGGCGGCGCCTGCCCCGCCTGCCTCCTCGCCTGCCGCCGTGGCATTCGCCGCCGCCGCGTCCGTGGCGTTGACGGCCGCGGAGCTGTTGTTGCTGAGGCGCTGGTAGCCCTCGCGCTGCACTCCGAGCCAATCCATGAGGTCGTCGCGGTACCGGGTGGCCTCGTTTCCGATGGATGCTGCGGGGGCAAGTGGTGGGGCAGCAAGCGGGTGAATGAGCGGCCGGCAAGGGTGCTTGCATTGGGGGTGGCCGTGCTGTGCTGTGCCGTGCCGTGCCTTGCTGTCTGTGCCGTGCCCTGCTGCGCCACACATGGAGGCTGGAGCTTGCCTGCGTTGGGCGAGTGGCTGTACAGCACATAGAGAAAGCCGCCCAGCGCCGCCCCCACCGCCACCCGCGTCAGCGGGTGGCTGCTCCACTTGCTGGCGTTCTCAGCGGGGTGCTGCACCGAGAGCAGCGGCTTGAAGATCTGGGTGATGGGCAGCTCCTACGGGCAGGAAGATGGGCAGACGTGGACGGCGCAGTGAGTCGGGCGGAGCTAGAGAGAGGGTGGAAGGAACTGCGGCCAAGTGATCGCACCATGCCATGCAGCTGTATGAGCAGCACAGCAGGCAGATCACCCGGTGTCATTTAAAGTACTGCACTAAAATTGCCTCCACCCGGGCGCCACCCACCTCTGACAGCAGGTTGGGCAGCAGCCACAGCGTGCGGCCGCTGACGATCCACGTCACCGCCGCCAGCGTGCCGCGCAGCAGCAGCAGGCCCAGGATGAGGATGAGGAGGCCGGAGGAGAGGTAGAAGACGGCCACCTTGGCCCAGTTGGGGGCCAGCGGGAACAGGCACGCGCCCAGCACGCCCACTGCGGGACGACGCGGGGAGGGGAGTTGCGCGGCAGGCGCGGGCTGGGAATCAGGGGCAGGCTGGCGCGGGGACATTCGCGACACCCCCACGCAGCAGCATGGCAACATGCAGGGCAGGCGACCTGGCCGGCGTGCGAGGCAGCAGACAGTGTCAGCCCGCGCCAGGGGTGCCAACAGGGCAGGCCGGAGACTCACGTGGGATGAGCGCGGTCCAGACGTATGTCCACAGCGAGGTGGGGCACTCACAGAGCCACACATAGAAGCCGTCCTCAGCAAACGCCTGTGGGCAGCGTGCAGGCTCGGTTGGCAGCTCTCAGCAGGCGGCGGCACACGGGAATGACGGCCTCCTTGCCCCGCACCCCTGGCAGCATCCCATCCACCATTGACAAGCGCTGCTGCGCCACTCTTTTCCCCTCCCTCGCGGACGCCTCACGTTGGCCTGCTCCGGCGGCAGCGGCACCAGCTTGCGCGGGAACTTGACCATGCGCTTGCTGCCCGGTAGCGGCTTCTTGTTGAGGCGGTCGACGCGCAGTGCCAGGCGCCGCCGGATCAGCTGCTGGCCCAGGTACTTGGCCAGCTCCTCACCCTCGCCACCCTTGACTGTGGCAGGCAGGGGCGTGGCGTTTCACGCGCAGGGACCCAGCGGAAGGGAACACCCAGCAGCATGGGCAGGGAGCGGCAGCAGCGGCGGCGGCGGCGGGCCCCACCCACCTCCGCCTGCCGCTGCGCATTTCTCGGGGTTGGCCTTCACCCACCGCACCAGGTCCTTGCCGCGGAACAGCTCGAACCGCTCGCCCTGCAGCACACCAGACCGGTTCTCGATGCCGCCCTTGCTGCGCAGCGCCTCGGCAAACTGCTTAATCGTGTCCACGCCTGCTGGCTCCCCCTGCAGGAAAGGCAGCAGGGCATCATGAGAACGCCAATCGCCAGGCCATATTCCTGGCGACGCTGGGCAGCCAACAGCACCTTTGAGCCCATCTTGAACCAGTGCCGAGTTGAGCGCAAACCTGCTCCACCAAGACTGCATGGGGGTTGGGTGCCGCCAAGCGGGCGGGAGCGCACAGGATGTCAGCGGCATGGCCGTTATGCCCATGCACAAGTGCAAGTTTCAGCCCATATGAGCCAGACAGACAGAGATGGTTAGCAGCACTAGGGAGGTGCAGTAGTAACATGCCGTGCCGATCATGCTGAGCAGTTCACATATAACCGTCGTGGGCCCAGTGCCGCCGCACATGCGTGGCAGGCATCTTGTTGAAGCGAGCCTGCCAGATGAATGCATAGCACATGCCCGCACCTCCCGCGGAATCGACAGCAATGCTGCATTGCAGCTGCCGGCTGCATTGCATCATGCGGCATGGCCACCCGGCCACCGCCGCCTCGCTGGCGGGCGGCATGATGAGCGGCTAGATGAGCGACTCTCCACGGGCGGCGTGCTAATTGCCGATGTCGCCCTCCTGGACTCCTCGCCCGCCAATCAGCTTCAACGCCGGCCTTGCGCATCCCGAGGCGCGCAGCTGGTTTCGCTGTGTCCCCTGCGCTCGCCGCCCCGTTGTGCTGATCGATTGGATGGAATGTGATCTGCACGTTGAACCGTGCGCTCGGGTGTTCGCTCGGGAGAAAACCCCCGACATGCCTCCGCCGTGGTGCCGCCGCCTGCGCCACCCCATTTGCAGGTCGACCCACAGAGCCTGCCAGCGGTGCAGCTGCATGTGATCGACCATCCGGATGGCCAGGGTGAGCTCCAATTCTTTTGTGCCAGTACCACACCTGTCCATGCTTCGACCCACCCCATGGCCTGCCTCCCGCCTTGCAGGCCCCGCCCTGATCAGCCGCAGCACCGCAGCGCAGCTGGGCATCGCAGATGGCAGCAGCCGGGGGTTCCTGACCCTCGCCTCTGGCAGCGACTGCGTGCTGGCCACGGCGGTGGTGCAGGATGGCCGGGTGGCGCACGGGCAGGTTGCGGTGACGGCGGTACAGCAGTTCAACCTGCACTTAGGGGCCGGCATCTCAGATGACTTCAGGTCGGCGCCGCTGAGGCCTACATGCTTTCTGTTGGCTTCCTGCAGGAGGATAAGTATCAGATGCAGCTGAGGTGGCGCTGCCATCGATGCAAAGGAAGTGTGCCAGCGTGCTTTGCCCCGGCGTCTGCCTGCAGGGTGTTTGTGCCGCCGGCCGGCGAGCCGTTTGAGCTGGTGGATGTGGAGGGCGAGGTGTCGCAGCTGGGCAAGTCGGAGGAGGCGGTGCAGGCAAGCCACGCAGGCGGCCACGTCCAGCAGTGGGCAGACGGGCCGGCGACCCGAGGCGGCGCTCCTGCGCCTCCCTGCCCACCCACTGGCAGCTGCGGACCTGCCGCCAGCTGCTGTTGCCCATCCCGAAATAAACTGCTTGGCGGCACTGCAGGTGGATGCCCGGGCGCTGACCCGGGAGCTGCTGCGCCTGCACTTTGGCCTGGTGCTCGCCCTCAACGAGGCCTGCGTGCTCGAGGTGGGCGCCCGCCAGCTGCTGCTGCGCATCACGGCCACAAACACGCTCGATGCAGAGGCGCAGGAGGAAGCGGTCGCTTACCACTGCTACCGAGGTGAGGTGCGAGGCGGGAGGGGACGGCAATGTGGCGAGGCAGGAGGGGAAGGGGCACTGGGTGGACCCTCCCATGTGGCATGCACCCGCAACAGTTCCTAGCAGCCCTGGGAAGCCTTGCTGATGGCATAGCGTGCATGGCTTTGCTGCCTGCGCAGGCCTGCTGACCCATGACACCCAAGTCTACCTGCACTCGACAGCGGGGCAGCAGGGAGTGGCATCTTGTGGTGGAGCAGGCGGCACTGGCAGCGGCGGGCCGCCTGCTACGTGCACAGCGTCGGCGGCGGAATCGCTGCCACAGAGCATGGCCACTGTCCGCGGCAGCGTGGTCCTGCAGAACGCCAGGTGCAAGGATCGCCCTGGAATGGAGGCTGAAGGGTGGCCCAGCCCCTGTTTCCACCAGCACTGCCCCCAATAGCTGCCACTGTCGCCTGCCTGCCTCCCCCGCCCACCTAGCTGGTCCTCCCCGCAGGCAGCGCCCCGCCAGCGGCCCCTCCCTCAGCAGCGTCAGAGTGCTAACAAACGATGGGGAGTGGTTCCCCGTGAAGCGCGCGCTGCTGCGGCCGTGCATCGCGCTCACCAAGGCGGTGCGGTCAGAGGGGGAAAGCGTGCCCGAGGTGGCGGTGGATGTGGACACCCTGATCTTTGACAGGTGGGCTGGGATGCTGGGAGGCTGGGAGGTGCCTGGCACGTGCCAGGGTGGAGACAGGCTGGGGCTGTTGCTGGGTGTGGCAGAGCGGGGTGAGCTGCTGGTGGGTAGGTTGGACCCGCTGGTTACGGGGCCAGTACAGCAGCCCGTTAGCTTGGTTGGGCCGCAGTTGATGGGATGGAGCGCATGCAGTCTCTGCCTGCTGGCTGAGTGTGGTCGCTGCCCGCCTGCAGGGTGCTCATCTTTCTGGAGGCGCTGGCGCTGGGGCGCAAGCCCCCTGCCTTTGGCCTGCACCTCTGCTCCCAGCTGCTGGCGGCGGCGCAGCATCTGGGCTTGCGTGCGCTGGAGGTGAGGGTCACTGCCGCCTGCCGCCGCTGCCGGTTGCTGCCGCTGCCGCCGCTGCCGGGATGCCACGCGCTTCTGCGGCTCTGCCCGGCCCACTGCCACCCAGCAACCTTGCAGTTCACCCCTGCGTCCATGTTACCGCCTGCCCTCCCGCAACAGGAGTATTGCCAGGAGCGGCTGGGCGAGTGCAAAGACCGCCTGCGCTTCTTCAGCTTTGAGGAGGTCAAGCGGCTGAATGCGGCGGGCGGGTGCTGGCTCATCCTGGATGGCATGGTTCTGGATGTCACGCGCTGGCTGCCTGAGCACCCGGGGGGCAGCACGATCATCCCCAGGCAGGCACTCAACCTGGACTGCAGGTGAGCTGGTGCATGGCGGGTCTGCAGGCGCGCCGCCGGCGACGCTGTGCATGGGGTGGCCGGCATGCATGCAAGCAAGCAGTAGGCGTGCCACAGCTGCATGCCTCCTCGCATACCTGCGCACGCGATTTGACGCCGCGGCCTGTTGCTGCTGCAGTCGGTTCTTCGAGCTCTACCATGCATCCCGCGAGAGCTTTGTGTACATCCGCCAATTTTACCACGGGGAGATTGCGCCAGAGGATGTTGACCTGGTGCCTGCGCCAGAGGAGCCGGCCAGCCCTGAGTTCCTGCAGCAGCTGCGGGAGTTCACTCCCTGGCGCCTGCAGCCGGAGGTGGCCAGTCACCTGGGCAGCAGGCAGGCAGCGGAAAAGGCCTGACGTCGACAGGAATTGGCAATCGAACATCAGAAATTGACAATTAGAAACAGGAATTGACAGTCAAACAGGAATTGGAGAGAACCCGCCGCCCGCCTTGCATGCCATGTCATGCATGTCATGCATGCCAATGCATGCCATGCAAACAGCCTGCAAATTATTTGATTGCTCAATTAGACTACCTCTTCTTGGATTTCAGGTGAGCGGGGCAACGGTGGTGCACTCGCTCAGCAAGGGGGCGCCTGCTCGGGCGCCCTGAGTCCCGCCAGAGCCTCTGCACAGCCCCAGATGACGCTGTGCGATTCCTGGCAGGGCTTCCAATCGTGGGCGGGGCTTTAGCAGGAGCGCGGCGCACGTCTGCCACCGCCTCTGCCACCGCCCGCCGCGAGCCTCACGTTTCGCCCGGCCGGCCTTGCAGGCTGCAGCCGGGGCCTGTCGGACCAACATGATCCCGCCGGGCCACGTGCCTGGCAGCAGGGCGCCGGTCGCGGAAGGGGAGCTCTCCCACAAGCAGCGGCTGCTGGCAGGGCAGCCGTATGATGCTTGCGACCCGGAGCTGACAGACGACCGCATCCGGGCGCGCAAGCTCATGCACCAGTTCAACACAGCGCTGCCGTATGACGATGTGGAGGGGCGGGCCGCGGTGCTGAAGGAGCTGCTCGGCAGCTTCGACCCAGGTCGGCTGCCGTGGGGGGCCTGCCCTGTGTACCTGCCCGTCTGTCGAGGCGGCGGGAGGGCTCCTGGCTCGAACGTTTCCTGCCTCTCCCCGTTGCTCCAGAGCATCCACCTTTCATCGAGCCGCCATTCTATTGCGATTTCGGGTGGGGTGACAGTCTGCAGCGTGGGGAATGCCGCTGTGCTGAGCGGTGGGGCCTTGCGTGCCACGCGGCTTTCTGGTGCTCACTGTTCTCCTCTCCCCTCCCTCATTTGCATCGCAGCTACAACATCCATCTGGGCAAGCGCTTCTACTGCAATTTCAACTGTGAGCGTCCGCTGCGAGTGCCTGCTCGATTTCGATCGCAAGAAGTTGCTGCCTGTCAGAGCCTGCCTGCTGCCGGCTGTCCGTCGTGCCCCTGCCTGCCTCTCGGCCTGAAGCCTAGCGCGCACACCCCTGCAGGCGTCTTCCTGGATTGCGGCCCTGTGCGCATCGGCGACCGCGTGCTGCTTGGCCCCGCAGTGCAGCTCTACCCGGGTGCGTGGAGTGCAGTGGGTGTGTGGCGCCGGTGGGCTGTGCGCAGGCGCTGCCTGCCCCACAGCACCCGCGCCACGGACGCCTGCCGTGCAGTTGGGCATGACGTCGACCCCGCTGCCCGCTCTGGCGTGCATGGCCTGGAGCACGCTAAGCCCATTGTGATAGGAGATGACTGCTGGATAGGAGGAGGCGCCATCATCATGTGAGCTATCGGCCTTCCCACCCTCCTACCAAGGCCCCGGCCGTGCCATATGCTGCATGCCGCGCCACCACGCGGCGCCCAGCCGCGCCACCGACGCCTGCCTGGGCCGCTGCCGCGCCTGCCCCCCTTGCCCCGCAGGCCCGGCATCACCATTGGCGAGGGATCCACTGTGGCGGCAGGGGCAGTGGTGACCAGGGATGTGGAGGCGTACTCGGTGGTGGGCGGCAGCCCCGCCAGGCTCATCAAGCGCCTCCCGCGGCCAGCAGAAAAGGCGTGATGGAACTAGGAAGCATCCCCTATGGGGGCAAGATATCGGTCACCAACGTCTGTGGCAGCTTGCTCTCCTGAATCTCCTGATCAAATCTGCTGCCGGTCCTCTCCTTGAAAATCAGCCCTGAGATTCTTTCCGTGAACTGTGTAATTAATGCGCCAGCAAATGGCAGTTTGGTGCGGAAAGAGAAACGGACATTAAGAAGGAAGGAGGAATATGTAGCAGCAGCCAGAGGAAAAACACACACGCTCTGCAGCTGCGCGCCGGCACGCGCTGGCTCACTCGTGTCGGTCCCGCTCCACGCCGGCGCCGGTGCCGGCCAGCGTGAGGGGCAGCAGCCACTTGCGCGACGCCAGGCGCAGGGGCGGGCCGCGGCGGCGGCGCGAGCGCGACCACGCCGCCCCTCCCGCCACCGCCAGCAGCAGGCACGCCTGCACCAGCGACACGTGCAGGAAGGAGCCTGAGCGGCCGCCCCGCCCCATGTCGGCCGCCTCCAGCGCCGCCGCCGCCTCGTCGGCATCCTGCTTGTGCATCAGGCTGGTGATGCGGGCGGGGCCTCCCTCGCCCCGTGCCTCTGCATCCGTGCCGGTGGCAGCGCCAGCGTCGCTCTTGCCGCCGCCCTCGTTGCCGCCGCCGCTGCCAGCCTGGCCACCGCGCTCGCCATCGGTGTGGGCCGGCTCCAGTACCTGTTCCACCTTCTCCACATGCTGCGGCTGCCCCTCTCCAAACTGGGCCAGCCCGCCAATGTCGGGATGGTCCCGCTCATCGCCGCTGGCATCCCCGGTGGCATCCCCGCCGCCAGCCGCGCCGCCACCGCCGCCCGCCGGCTCCTGCTGCTGCCTGCCGCCCGCCTGCCCCTTGGCCATCTCTTCCTTGCGCTTCAGCAGAGCCTCCTCCTGCTTCTTGATCTCAGCCAGCTCCTGCTCCGAAGCCTTCTGCTTCAGCGCCTCGGCAGCCTGCTGCTCCTGCACCCGCTGGTCAAGAGGCACCTGCTCCTGCTGCTTGACCGCCGGCTGCTGCTGCTGCTGCTGCTCCTGGCCGGTAGCCGTCTGCTGGCTGACGGCGGTCTGCGTGGACTGCTCCGACCCCGTCTGCTGCTGCGGCTGCTGCTGCTGCTGCTGCTGCTGCGAGGTGGCTTGCCCAGAGCCACCCGCCGCCGGCTGTGGCTGCTGCACACCCGTGCCATTTGCACCGCCGCCGCTCAACACCGCCTGCTCCTGCTGCTGCTGGACCGACTGCGTGGCTGCCGTCGTGTCGGGCTGCACCGCCACAGGCTGCCGCACGGGGCGGGACACAGGGACCTTCCACCGCTCGAAGCTGCTGCCCTGGTATGCAAGCGGCGCATTGGGGTAGCACCTGCGCGCCGCGGTGCGGCAAGCCAAAGCAGAAGGCACCCAGCCTCAGCAGGGGGCTTGCTTGTGCTGCTCAGCGGCAGGCAGCGGGGAGGCAAGACACAGCGTCGCGTCTGCCCCCGCTCAGCCCAGCACATCCCCACCACCACCACCAGCCGCTGCGCCGCTCACCTGAGGGCGTTCTGCAGCACGGGCGAGGCCTCTGTGAAGTTGAAGTCGCTGCGGCGCTGCGGCAGGACGTCGAAGTCGCCAAAGTGGTCGTGCAGCAGCGCCTCTGGGGGCGTCAGCGCCGGCACCGCCTGCGGGGAGCGCGGGATGGGGCGCCGAGGCGAGGGGTAAGGCAGGGGAGGTGAGGAGGCAGATAGGTAGGCAGATAGGCAGGCAGGCAGCGGAGCATACAACGGCGACCCGAGCAAGAGGAGCGAGGGACGGGCTGAAGCAGAGAGGGAAGCGTGCAGCCGAACACAGCCAAGCGAGGAGGAGCAGCGCGGGGGAGCGCGCGCCGCACCTCGCCGGCTGCCCATGCCGCCATCTTGATCAGCAGCTTGAAGCACTTGCTGCGGCTGTGGGAGCTGTCCAGGCAGTTGGAGTCCCCGTACAGGCCCACCCGCCCCGCGCCGTGCTGCAGCAGGCCCAGCACGGGGAACCCAGGGGCTGGCGACTGGGCTGCAGCAGCACACGGGGAGCAGCGTGGGAGAGGAGTGAGCGATGTGCTGGGGGGGAGAGGCTGCGAGCATGCAGCCGGCATTGCTGCCATGCAGCTGCTCTGTCCGCAGCATCTCAACCTCAGCCGCCATGCCTGCTGCGCTGCCGCGATGGCTGGTGACCGCAACTCACTCCCCTCCTCCCCCACCTCCACCAAACCAGCTCACCGTCCCCGGGCTTGGGGTCTGCGCGGTGCATCCAGCTGCCCACCGGCAGCGTCTTGAGCGGCACGCCTGATGCCATGTGGAAGGGGCCCTGCACGCCCTTGATGTGCACCTCGACCTCCAGAGCGCCTGCAGCAGGTGCCAGGGCGGAGACAAACAAGGAAAGGAGGCCGCTACGTTTCTGCAGAGCTCGGCATCAACACAGCTGCACAACACGCCCCGTGGTCTTGTGCAGGCAACCAGCGACAGATGGGCAGGCGCGTGGCGGGGTGGCAGGTGTGCGTCCAGCGCTGCAACAGACCCAGATGCTGACCGCCCCACCTGACTCAAAGGCGACGCCGTAAGGCGTCAGCATGTCGTTCAGGGCGGGCACGTTGGCGCCGCCTGCAACAGATGCACACGGGGCGAGGGGAATCCATGAGCATGGCATCATGGCCGAGCATGCGCAGGCCGTGGAAGTCCTCCCTGCCACTGCTCAGGCCCTGCACAGAGCCGCCAAGCCAGCAGCCGGCAGCCCCTGCCTGCCCCTTCAGCACTGCACACATGCCTGCTCTGTGCAGACACGCACCCGTGCGCCCCTCCCGGCCTCCCCTTGCCCGGCCCCGTCCGGCCCACGGCCTGCAGCTCACCTGTGGCAGCTTCCCACCAGCTGCGCGTGTTGTCATCATAGAAGCGCAGGCGCTGGATGGACTCAAGATGGTACCAGTCGGCAAACACCAGCAGGCCTGCAGGGGGCGGCCACACAGAAGCGCAAACACGCAGCAGCAGCCGTGACAGCGTCAGAGGGTCGGCAGGAGGCTCGAGCCGGCGCCAGCAGCTGCCCACCGGTGAGCCCCGGGGCGCTGCCAGCTGCCGCAGCCAGCGGGCCGTCCGCTGGCTGGGCCCCGACAATCTGCAAGACCACCCAGGGTCCCATAGGGATAGCCAGGCGCACCTAGGCCCTGCCCCTCCACATCAGCCGCCAGCTTGGCCACCTCCTCGGGGTACCACTCATCCTCGCTGTCCACCACCAGCAGCGAGCCGTAGAGGGAGGCGTTGAAGCAGGTGGCGGGGGAGGCGAGCACCTCCAGAAAGAAACCCTCGTCGCTGCGGGGAGGCGGGAGGGCACGGGGGAGGCACAGGCGGTGTGGGGACTCGGGGGTGGGGGGTGGGGGTTGTTTGTTGTTGTTGTTGTTGTGGTTGTGGTGGTGGGGGTGGGGGCACAGGGGAAGGAGACAGCTGCTGCAGCAGCGGCATGCCGGCATGCCCATGCAGCTGGCTGGGCATTCCTGCGAGCGCGCTGTGCGGGCAGGCAGCCAGGCAGCCAGGCGGGCGCCGGCCCTGCCAGCTGGCGCCCCTGCCAGCTGGCGCCCCCGCCAGCTGGCGCCCCCGCCAGCTGGCGCCCCCGTCGCACCGTAGCGCATTGAACATGTCGTGATAGTTGGTGTGGGGGTGGTCTCCATGCCAGTCCAAGATGTCGTGGCGCACCTGCAGGCGCCCCGGTGGAGCAGGCAGGCAGGGTTGAGGAGTCAGGGGCTACAAGCATAGCGTTGCAGCTGGCGGCTAGGAGGAGGGGAAAGCCAGGAAGGGAAGAGGCAGCCAGCGGGGAGAGAAGGGTGGGAAGTGGCGGTGTGTGCGGGAGGGAGGGGAGCTGGGCAGGCACGGGAGGTGGCGACCATGCAGGCCAAGAAGCAAACATAAAGCGCTGCGTGCTCAGCGTGCCGCGCCTGCAGGTCGTCCCGCGGGAAGTAGGCGGGCGGGTAGCGGATGGAGTGGAACTGGTCCCACAGCAGGCGCAGCTTCCTGCGCAGGGGAGGGTGCAGTATGTTGTGACGTCTGTGTTGTGGATAGGAAGGTGAGGGGGAAGCGGGAGAAGCGGGCGCGCGGCTGAGAGGCACGGGAAGGCTTGGGACAAGGCTTGGGACACGGCGCGGAACGCTGGGCCGGGGTACTGAGGAAAGGGCAGTCGCGACGCAATCCACCCACACCAGGCGGGAGCGGCGCCCACCTGTCGGGCGTGGGGATGATGCCGACGGTGAGCGGCACCCGCACGGTGGAGCGGCGCGGGGCTGCCTCCCCGGGCGCCGGCGGGGACACCACGGTGAAGGCCACCTCGCCGCCGCCGCTGCCCTGGAAGGCGGCGCCCTCGTCCCTGACTCGGATGAACAGCGCCAGGTAGCCCGACCAGGGCCAGAGCTGCTCCGAGTACTCAAAGCGCACATCCAGCAGGCGGCCGCCGTCGTCGGCGGGCGTCCAGGCGGGCGCGCCCTCCAGCCTGCCGGTCAGGCCCAGGCCGTTGAGGATGGTGGCGTTGAACATGAGGGGCATGGCGGTGGCGTACAGCGGCTGGCGGCAGAAGGGCCACATGTAGGGGCAGTCTGCAGGGGCGGGATGGTGGTGATGTGTGGTGTGGTGTGGTGCAGGAACTAGGATATGCCTAGGCAGGGCAGGGGCGAGTACTGGGCAGCCGGGGCTGCAAGGACCGCAGGCCTTGCAGGCGGGCAAGCGGGTGGGGATGCCTCTCCTGCAGGGCAAAACAGTTCTTTCAGGCAGGCAGGTAGGCAGGCAGGCTGGCGCACCTGTGAAGTTGAGGCTGGCCGGGACCAGGGAGGCGCGTGGCACGTACTGCTCCAGTACCGCCTTGGAGTTGACCACGCTCAGTTTCCCTGCCCCCTGCTCGTACAGGTTGAGCCCCGGCAGCCGCACAGCGCCCTCCACCAGCGCTTGCTTCATGGAGGCAGGGTTGAGCAGCTGCCACCTGCGCGGGCGCAAGCGCCAGCGCGGCGGCGGGCACGCGTCAGCGGCGGGTAGGGCGAGGCAAGGGCAAGCTCCTGGCAGGCGCTCGAGCAGCACGCTGCTGCAGCATGTGCCCCCAACAGCGCCACCTGCACCCGCCCTCCTGCACAGCACCCAGCCGCACGTGCAGCCCGCCTCACCGCTTCTCCTCTGGCACGACGCTGGCCAGCAGGCACACGGCACCCGCCACCACCGGGCTGGCCACGCTGGTGCCGCTCAGGCTGCGGCAGCCGCCGCCAATCTTGGAGCCCTGCAGGCAGGGCAGGAGGCAGGCAGGCAGGCAGGTCGGCAGGCAGCTAGTGTGTAGTGGGGTATGCAGGTCGGTACGTAGGCTGGCAGGCAGGCAGGCTGTGGAATCTCCCCTGCTCCACCCCCGGCACCACCACCCCTGCTGCACTTGCTTGAGGGCATGCCCGCGAGGCTCCTGGCCCCTGCTGCCCCCTGCTTCCCCCTGCCGCCCCCACCTGAACGTCTCTGCCGTACGCCATCACGTCGGGCTTGCTGCGGCCGTAGCCCAGGGGCACCTCCCAGGTGGACATGCCTCGGGAGCTGAAGGGCGCGATTTGGTCGGAGTAGTCGATGCCGCCGATGCCGATGACGTCGTTCTGGTCGGCTGCGGGGGCGGGGCGGGGTGGGGGATGGGGGGGTCGGAGTCGGGGCGGGGAGGAGGATGGGGCCAGGGGCGGGCCAGGCTAGTCGGCAGGCTGGCGAGCCGGATGTGGGCCGAGGTCGGCGAGCTCCTAGTTGCTCCTGGCTGCCTGCCTCGGCAGCGGCCCAAATGTCCCATCCTACCAAATGCCCCCAGCATCGGGCAGACCCCACACACGCCTGCCCTTGCCCCCCCACCCCCCCCCCACCACCACGCCCCACGCACCCGGGTTGTTCAGCGTGCCGTACAGCGGGCCGTCGTTGCCGATGGCGGAGACCATGATGATGCCTGCGCTGGTGATCTCAGCCACCTTCTCCGCAAACGGCTCGTCCAGGTAGTCGGGGCCGCCTGGCGCAGGCGGTGGGGATGGTGGCGAGTTGTTGGTGGTGGGGTAGCGGTGGCGGTGGGGAGGGGAGGAGGGATGAGGCGGGCAGGTTTGGAGCAGGGGGCCACAACGGCAGGTGGGCAGTGGGGTTGAGGGCAAGGAATGGAGCACGAGGGGCAGGGGACAACAACCACACCACCACCACCGCCGCCACCGCCGCCGCCGCCCAGCCGCACCCTTCCACGGCCCCACCTATGGACAGGTTGACCACGTTCATGCGGGAGGCGATGGCGTAGTTGAAGGCGTCCAGGAACCAGGAGGTGTACGAGACCTGGTCGTTGGTGAAGACGCGGAAGGTATAGAGGGAGACCTCAGGGGCCAGCCCGGGGCAGGTGGGCTCTGCGGGGGGCGGGCGCAGGCGGGGGTGCGGTGCAAGCGAGGGTCGGCGCGGTGAGGGGCAGCGAGGTGGATGGGGAGAGGGGCGGGGCGCCACACATCTTCCAGTGCTGAACTTTGCCAGCGGTGCTGGGGTGGCTGAGCGGCTGGCCGGGGCAGGGCAGCCATGGGCCAAGCACCAACAGCAAGGAAGTGCAGCTGTTGAGGCCAAGGCAGAGGCCAAGCGTGGCTGCCCTCCCACCTGTGCCCGCAATGACGCCCGCCACAAACGAGCCGTGGCCCAGGCCGTCATCCAAGGTGGGCTCGTGCGTCCAGTTGGACCGCTCCCTGCACCGGCACGGTGCCACAGCTGGCACGTCAGAGCACAAACAACCCGCAGCCTGGCCCTGCGCAGCCGGCAGCAGCGCGGCGATGCGGCTGCGCCTCAAGCCGCGAGCCAAGCAGCAGCCAGCAACCCAGTGGGCAGGGTTGCACAAGCGACTGGCAAGCAGGTCCGCCAGCCCCGCCAGCTCACACTATGTGCTTCACATCTGGGTGGTCTCCCTTGATGCCTGTGTCAAACACGCCCATCTTCACGCCCTGGCCGCGGAAGCCCTGCGCCCACAGGCTGTCTGCCTGCAGGATGGAGGCCAGCGTGCCCTGCTGCAGCAGCTGGCGCCGGCGCCGGCCCTGCAGGCGGCGCCGCAGGCGCCGCTGCTGGCTGGACTCCGGCGTGAAAGTGTCGTTGCCTATGCGTGCCGACAGCGCATCTGCCAGCTCCTCCTCCTCCTCTGAGAGGTTGTCCTCCAGGCTGAAGGTGGGCCGTGTCTGCAGGCGGCCCTGTCGCTTTGATGCGCATGCCTGCTCCAGGCTGCCGACGCCCCCGCTGCTGCTGCTGCTGCACGGCGCAAACTGCGTGCCAGGGCGTGCGGCATCGGCGGCAGCAGCATCCTGTGCGTGCTCCTCCTGCTGTTCTGCCCCAGGCTCTGGCGCCGCCAGCAGCGAGCGCGTGAGGCGACGCTCCGGGTGCACGCCCTTCACAAACGGCAGCTGCTCCAGGCGGGACTGCAGCATGACGTGGCACAGCAGCGATGAGCTGGCACGCACTCGCTGGCGGTACCCATGCTTGCTCGCTGCACACAGCCGCGCCATGCATGCTTTGCCGGCCATGCCGTGCTGCCTCAGGAATGGGCGCTGGGCAGCGCACTGTGCCCGGTCCCCTGAAACGCAACGCACCTTGAGGGCAGCCTCTGGTGCCGCCAGGCGCAGCAGGCCAAAGTCTGTAGGGAAGGCGGCAGCGGGGTTGTGGCGCTCCACCCATTGCCAGCTGTCAGGCGGTGAACCATAGGCCAGTGCCGCCTGCAGCGCCGCCAGGTGGTCGGCTGCCATCCTGTACTGCCTGAACCGCACAATGTACAGGCCGTCCCCAGCGGGCTGGCTGAGCAGCGCGCCTTGCGGCGGGCCGCTGCCAGGGGTGGCAGCAACGCCGGTGGCGGCGGCGGGGGCCGCAGTGGTACTGTTGGGCGTGGGGCGAGGGCGCGAGTAGCATCCCGCCTGCAAGCAGCCAGCCCAAGTCTTGGGCAACACTGCCATTCCTGCATTCACAGTGCCAGCAAACACGCACAAAGCACCCAGCCCACCTGCGGTTGTGTTCTCTTGCCCCCGCACGTGCCACCTACCGCCTGCTGCCCGCCGCCGCCAGCGGCGCTGCCCTGGTGGCTGACTGGAGGCGCCGTGGGGCGCAGCAGCACGCAGGCCACCGCCAACAGCAGCACGGCCGCTGGGCCCAGCCCAGACTTCAGCATACGGGAAGACTGACTGGGCTACCGGCTCCCCATTGATGGCCTCTGCCCGCCGGATCCTGCCGGCCTGAGGGATCCTACTGCCTGCAATCCACGGCTGGCAAGCTGTCTGCCCCGGAAGCACGAGCCGCGGAGCGAACGGCAAAGCGCTGGTTGGCTGCAAGGGCCCCGGAGTCGTCAAATAACAACAGACAATCAGATGAGAGCATGCAACGGCCGGGGAGGCGAAACAGGCACGGTGTTGAGCTGCCGGGTACCCCCACGGGCAGTACACCAGTTTTCGAGTGCGTTCCCCTCGCCCAGGCCATCCAGCCACATTTGCTGCATCGGTGGTACGTAGAGGAGCCGCTCAGCCTCTCTCCCCGGGGGTCAGGCTGGACTCAAACAACAGACCGCGACAGCAGCAGCGGCGATGGTGACGGCCGAGCGCTGACGCTTGTGCAGCGTTGACAGCAAGACGCGGCGGACGATGGCATTCGGCGCTCGGGCCCCGCAGGCCTCCCACGCCCAGTTCCATGGCGAGCTGACGGCGGCGCTGGCGGCACGACGCCAGCCCGAGCTCGACCCCAACTACCAGCTGCTCACTACCGCTGTGGACTACCTGCATCGCAGAGGTGCTTTTATGGGTGGCAGGCGATCTTTCTGCGATGCAGTAGCATACGGCAGGCCGGGCTGCCCGAAGGAACTCCGCATCGGGCTGCCGGGCGGCACCCTGCCGCCGCCTCTAACAAAACCAGGCCCACCACCCGCCCCCTGTATGTGCAGTGCACCCCAGCTCCGCTCCGGAGCTCTTTGTCAGCCTGGTGCAGGGGCAGGCACTCAAGCATGCCGAGGCAGTGCTGTCGTCGTCGGGCAAGGGTAGGTGCCGCTTCCGCAACTGGCGTGCTGTCGCAAATATTGGATCATGCTCGTTGCGTTGTCGGTCTCTGCCGCCGCTGCCTGATGCATCTGGTGCGCTGCCCCACTTTGCAGCAGATCTGACGGCTGTGAAGCTGGACCCGCTCGCGGTGTCTGTGGTGGTGATCAAGAGCCTGAGCATGCTGCACGTGCCGCTGCTGGGCGCTGCGGCACGCGCTGAGCTCTTCAATGCCGCCATCGGCGACTTTGCCGGCGAAGTGCGCATCAGCATCATCAGCGACGTGCTGCACCGGCTGCCGCCCAACCAAGGCCGCCTGCTCAAGGTGATACGGTGGCGAACAGCCTGGCAGCCGCCACGCCGCTTCTCTGCCTCTTCCTGACCTGCCACACCAAGGAACCGTGGCGCTGATGTGAGTGCCACCTGTCTGAATGTGTGTGTGTGCAGGATCTGCTGTGCTACCTGGCCCGCCTGTCGCGATACGCGCACAGCTGCTCGGCAGAGGGGCTGGCGGGGGTGCTGGGCCCTGTGCTGCTCGACCCTGAGAGCGCCACGCTGCCTGTGGATGCCGACAGCCTGACCATGGCCGCCATCTGGGTGGTGCAGGCGCTGATTAGGTGGGGATGTGCGCCCTGAGCAGTGGGCATGTTGCTGCACCTGGACGAGTCATTGCCACCCCCCAGACCTCTGACTGCCATTGCCTCAGTTGTGTCGCTTTGCGCCGGACAGCATGCTGGCCTGTAGCCCTGAGCCCGCCATCTTCCTGTACTGCCACATGTACCGCCTGCTGCAGCCACTACGAGGAGCTGTATGGCGAGGCGCTGCCGTTGGAGGAAGCGGTGCAGCGCAGCAAGCAGGAGCAGCTGCAGGAGCAGATCCAGCGGCTGATTGCCAAGAAGAAGCCGCCCGCGGGCGGCGGCGCCGGCGCCCGCGGCCCCGCCCCGGCCAAGCCAGCCATCAGCGGCGGCAGCAGGGCAGGCAGGGGCCCATCGCGGCTGGTCAACCCTGTGTCCACCATGCCAGGGCAGAAGGCCAGCCAGAACTGGATCAGCAGCGGCAGGCCGCTAGCAGACGGCGGCATGCACGGGCGGCACCCGTCGGACGAAAATGAGCACCCAGCTGGCAGCCGCCGCCCACCGGTGCCTCCCCTGCAGCTACCCACCGCCTCAGCGGCGCAGCAGCAGGAGGATGGCCGGGCCGCGGGGCGGCTGTGGAGGCCGCAGGAGGCGGTGCGCAGTGGCAGCGTGGGCGAGACGCCGCGGCAGGGTGGGCCCGCGACCAGCGGCATGCCCGGCTCGCCCAGCTGCTCGCTTACCACCAGCCGCGGCACTTCTGGCTTCTCGCACCTGGGAGCTGCTGCACCTGTGCTGATGCGCCAGATCGAGCTCAAGGCGGCGCTGAGGCCTCCCAGCGAGGAGCTGCCACACAAGTCGCCCTGGCGCCCGCCGGGTGAGGCTGCCGCAGAATGCTCATCAGGGGCAGGTGGCAGGTTTTGGCCTGCATGAGGTTGTGCAGTGTGGAATCTCATTGATGGCCGCCCTGCCCATTGGCATCCCAACAAACCATGTGAATGGGTGCCCTGCGCCTCACACCTGCAGGCAAGAACGACAAGGTCATCCACACCAAGCGGCAGCGCCCGCAGTGGTCGTGCGTTGTGCCGCTGTACCGCCCAGGCTATGCATCCCAGGACAACTCCCCTGCCGGATCCGAGGTTGCGCTGTCCGACACCGCATCCACACAAGGGTCGCCACACCTGGTACGCCCAGCGAGCTGCGCAGCACTTGGGCATTGCGGTGCCAGCGGCGGGGAGGGAGCCATGCCACAGCTTGCAACAGCTGCCGGCAGCGCAGTAGTTTGCCGGAGGCATGCCCCTGACGCAGTGCCTTCGCTGCTGCCATGTGCAGGGCACATCTCGGCTCAGGGCCTCCAGCAGCAGCCACCCCTTTGCCGGCTCCACGGCGGCCTCGCCACGTGCGCACGGCGGCAGCGGCGGCAGCCAGGTGCTGAGCGCTGAGGAGCTGGATGGGCAGGTGGTGTATGAGCTGGGGCAGTCTGGGGAGCACGCGGTACCGCTCAGCGCCGGCATCGGCGCCAAGCGCTCTTTGGGAGACGAGATTGAAGCCACCGGCCAGCATGTGCCTGCCGATCTCGGCGACGGCGCAGACCCTACCAGCGGGGCAGGCGGCGGGTTCGGCTGGGGCTGGGGCGCGGCTGGCGCCGGCGGCGCTCCTGGCGGCGAGGCTGCTGCTGCCGGTATCGTGTATGGCAACTCGGGAGCAGCTGTGGATGGCATGCACAGCACGGGTGGCGCCGGCGGTGCAGCAGGCGGCGGCGAGGCAGGCAGCGGCTTCACCACAGCCGGCCTACAGCACATTGCTGCCAAGCTGCGTAACGGCAGCATGACGCCGGCCAGGGCGGCGGCGCCACCTGGCGACGGCCGCTATGCCAGCTACGAGGGCAGCGTGGAGTCCAGCAGGCAGGGCGCAGCGCCAGGCTCGCTGGGTGTGGCTGCTGCCGCCAGCGGCGCCGGCGGACGGGTGTCCGGCACCCTCCGCCAGGCGGCAGGCGGCACACGGGGGCGTCCCACCCCGCTGCACATCAGCCGCGTCAGCGTGGCAGACTTGCTGCAGGGCTCGGGCGGGGAGGCAGGCAGCGAGCCGCAGCCTGGGGAGGCCCCCCAGCTGCATACCATGTCCAGGCAGGCACAGGCCAGCATCAGCAGGTTGGCAGCATCCATGCACGGAGGCGGTATGCAGGGGGTCACGCCCAACGACATCCGCACCGCGCTGTCAGGTGCGCGCACCTCCCATCCTTGCCAGCGCTCCTACTGCTGGCCTGCCTGCCCGTTCAGGCCTCCTGCCAGGCCAACTGCTGCTGCCTCTTGCCGGCGATGCACACATGCTGTGGGCCCGGCCGCTCACCCGCCGCTGCCTGCACCGTGCTGCGTGGTCTGGTGCAGGCGGGCGGGCAGGCGCCGTGCCGGCGTCTGCCCTGCGGGATGCGGCCGTGGAGTTTACCGATATCACCGGGCGTACATGGAGCCATGGAGTGGCACAGAACCTGGCGGCGGCTGGCCTGTTTGCCACACCAGAGGTCTCCTCGCGGCCCCCGGCCCCAGCCGAGGGAGAGTATCCCAACCTGGGCTTGCCGGCGTGGACGGCAGGCGGCGCCGCAGCCGGCGGCTCCTCGGCGGCGGCCTTCGGCTCAGCGCTGGCAGCAGAGGTGAGGGCTTTGCCGCAGGGCGCACTCGGCGTGGCAGCCGCGCAGCCAGTCCAGCCGCTTGATGCATGCGCTGCAGCTGCGTGCTGCGGCCGCTTGGCAGCTGCAGGCGAGCAGCCGGCGTGTGCTGCAGCAGGGCTGCATGAGCTTGATGCTGCCGCCGGCGCTGCAGCTGTGCATTGCGGGGACGCTGCTGTCAGCGTGCCAGATTGCCTGCCGGCCCAGCACCTTGCGATCCCTGGCCCTGCCGCTGCTGCCAGCGGCCCCTTGCCAGCTCTGCCTGATGCGCTGCCAGCAGGCCTGCCAGCAGATGCTGCCGCCGCGCCGCCGCCGCCGCTGCTGCCGCCAGGGCAGCATGTGCTCAGTGCCGGCCCGGTGCCAGCCTGGCTTGAAGCGTCGCTGGTGGATGTGTGGCCGCAGGCCGCGATGGCGACCCCTGCGGCGGCCGCCCTGGCGCAGCTGGGCAGCCTCTACATCAATGAGAAGACAGGGCAGATCATGCAGAAGTGAGTGGGAGGGCGGCCTGTTGTCCCTTGTGGGGTGCCGCCTGGGCTTTGTCAGCTGTCCCTGTTGCACAGCCGAGCTGCCTGGGCTTCTGCGCTGGCCTGCTTCCGCCTGTCCTGCTGCCGAGTGTCACATGTGCTGAGGTGGCCGCCTGCCTCCCCTGTGCTGCCGCAGGACAGCGGTGGATGAGGAAGGGCACATGGCCTACCTGCCGGCAGGCATCTCACTGGAGGAGCTGCTGACTGCGGCGGAAGACCTGCAGCAGATGCTGCCCACGCCCATGACCTCCCGCCCTGGTGCGGCCGTGGCCTGAAGCCATTGCCTGGAGCCTTGCCTGGAGCCATGCAGCTGTTGGCTTTGTGGGCGGCCCACTCGTCTTTTCCTGCCTCTGCATGCATGCACCGGCAGCTGGCAGCGTGCTGCGTGGCTGGCGCTGGGGAGGATGGGTTGGCGTGTGACATCTAGACTGCCCGTCTCGTGCCTGCAGTGTCGCCGACGGCGGCGGGGCCGCTGGATGGCGGCGGCGAGTACACGCCCCTGGACCTGGCTGTGCTGATGGCGGCGCATGCCAAGAAGTTGAAGAAGGATCAGGATGCCAGGCTGGAGCTTCGCCTGGTGGAGAAGCAGCTGAACCAGCAGCACGGCTTCCCCCGGCCGGCAGCCACGCCACGGCTGGGCAGCGGCGCGCCGCCGCCACCGCCGCCGCCGCCGCTGCCCCCCGGCTGCTCGGCGAGCAAGCCGGCGAGGCCAGCGGGTGGCGCGGGCCCGCCCCCTCCTCCGCCGCCTCCCAAGCTGCCTCCCGGCTGCTCGGCCAGCAAGCCGGCCAAGCCGGCAGCTGGAGCAGGCCCGCCTCCTCCTCCGCCGCCTCCCAAGCTGCCTCCCGGCTGCTCCTCTGCCAAGAAGGCTGCGGCACCGCCACCCCCGCCACCGCTGCCACCCAAGCCAGGGGCCAAGGGCGCCGCAGCGCCTCCCCCGCCACCCCCGCTGCCGCCAAAGCCGGGAGCCAAGGGTGCCCCTCCGCCGCCGCCGCCTCCAATGCCGCCCAAAGGCGGCGCCAAGGGCGCAGGCCCGCCCCCACCACCTCCGCTGCCACCCAAGGGCGGCACCAAGGGAGCGCCGCCGCCGCCGACGATGCCCGGCGGCAAGCCAGGAGGTAAGCAGCAAGCGGGCAGCACCAAGGGGTGCCCGCCCCTCTCCCGTGCACCGGCCCCATGCGTCCCTGCTTTCTTCCTGCATCCCTTATTGCAACTCGCTTCCACGCTGTGTGCTGTTTGAGTGCAGGTCCGCTGCCGCCACCGCCGCCACCTCCCCCGGGCACCCTGGGCAAGAAGCGGGCCGAGAATGCCGACGCAAACGCCGGCCTGCAGCCCGGTTGCGTGGTGCCGCGGTCGCCCACCTCAGCCGCCCGCCGAGGCAGCTCTCTGGAGGAGGAGCAGGCCAGCGAGGCGCAGCGCCGCCGCCTGAAGCAGCTGCACTGGGACAAGCTGAAGCAGGCTCGGGAGGGCACGGTGTGGAGCCGGGCCAACCGCGACAAGCTGCACCTGGATCTGCGCCAGCTGGAGTCGCTGTTCCAGGTGGGACGAGGCCGGCGGGAGCTGCCCACCTGCCTAGGCTGGCTGTCATTGAATCGCCGTGGGCCAGCTGGGGTTGGCTGGCAGAGGGCATGCACACATTTCCACACTCTCCTTGCTGCCCTAATTTGCCCCCCATCATGTTGTCCACGCTGCCCCGTCTTCACTCGTTTGTTTCTCCTTGCTGCCCCTGCACGCGTCTCACTCCTCTTCTTCTCCCTGCTGCCCTGCCCCCCCACCCCCCCCACACACCCACACACACACAGATCATGGAGGCCAAGGCCATCAAGCGGGGCGGCCCCAAGGAGGACGAGGTGCGCCTGGTGGAGCACCGCCGCGCCCACAACATCCTCATCGAGCTGTCGGGCATCCGCAAGCCCTTTGACGAGATCAAGGTGTGTGGTGGGGTGGGGGAGGGGGCGGTGAGCGTGTGTGAGTGTGAGGCGATGCGGCAGTGTGTGCTGTGTGGCTTGCATGGGGGAGCTGGCTGCATGCTGGGGCAGGGCTGGGCTGCTGTCGGAGCTGGCAAGGCGCTGGCTGAGGAGGCGGCTGGCGGTTGGGAGGCGGCTGGGGAGGGATGGCCATGCGTGATCAACCGATCGACTGTGGCCCGCAAGCCTGCCCCCCGGCTTCCCCTTCTTACCTGCAACCTCCCCTTTGCACTGCACCTTACAGGACGCCTTGCTGCGCATGGATGCCGCCGCCCTCAGCGTGGAGCAGCTGTCTGTGCTGTCGCGTGCCGTGCCCGACGACCAGGAGCGCAAGGACATTGAGCTGTACCTGGCTGGCAAGCACCCCAAGTACAAGTGAGGAGGGAGGCTTGGTGGGCGGGTGGCGTGGCAGTGCGTGAAAGGAGGAGGCATGCATGAATTGTGGCCCGCACCTGCTGAGCTTGCCATGCCTGGTGACCTGTGCCGCTCCCTGACCTGCTGCGCTGCTGCCTCTGTCTTCCGCACATATACATAGGGGCAAGAGCGAGGTGGAGCGGCTGGGCACCGTGGAGCGATACTTTGTTGAGGTGAAGGACATCCCGCGCCTGGCCGAGCGCATCCGCTGCTTCATCTTCTCCCGCACCTACAGGGCCACGCACGGCAAGGTGGGCGCAGGGAGGAGGGGGCGGGGCAGGGAGGAGGGTAGAGAGTGCAGCGGCATCCCGCCGCACGGGTGGCTAATGGCCGAGGGGGAGTGTAAGTGGAGCGCAGGCCTGGCCGAAACGTGCGGCAGGCAGGCATTTGTAGTGAAAGGAGGGCTGCCAAGAGGGAGGCACGACTCCTGAGCCCCGCCCATGGTGACCGCTCCCCTCCCCTCCTCTCCACCCCTCCCCCCAACCTCCCTTCCCCTGCCCCCGCCGGGCCTGCAGTGTGTTGAGCACTTGGAGGTGGTGCGGCAGGCGTGCCGAGAGCTGCAGGGCTGCGCCTCCTTCTCCAAGCTGCTGCAGGCGGTGCTGGAGCTGGGCAATCACCTGAACCAGGCAAGCAGCCCGAGTGGTTTGTTGGTGGTGCTGTGTGTGTGTGTGTAGAGAGTTTATTTGAGTCGATCGATGTCATGGCCAGGCGCCACACAGCAGAGGTGCCAGCAGCCCTGCCGTGCCTGCCGGCTCATGATTCCCCGCTGCCCCTTTACATGGGAGCACATGCGCCTCCTCTGCGTCTGTTGCAGGGCACCCAGCGCGGCGCGGCGGCCGGCTTCAAGCTGGACACTCTGCTGAAGCTGGCAGATGTGAAGGGCACCGACCGCAAGACCAGCCTGCTGCACTTTGTCATCACGCAGGCACGCCCCCGCCAAGTTACAGCAGGGGCCACCTGCCCCCATCATGCCGCCCGTTCCTGCCAACTCCTGCGCCCAACCGTGAAGCCGTTCTGTGCTATACTGGTGCGCCGCCTGACCCACAATGCCCCCCTCCCTGCTTCCTCCGGTGCAGCTTGTGGAGGAGGATGAGGGCATGAAGGAGATGAGCGCTGAGCTGGAGCACCTCAAGCAGGCCGCCAACATGCAGGCAAGCAGCCTGGCGGCTGACAGGCACTCAACACCCGCGGTCCTGCCCGTCAACACTCCCGCAGCCTCCTCTGCCGCCCCACCCTACCTCCAACCATGCCCGCCTGCTGCCTGCTGCCTGCTCGTGCCGTGCCCATGCCCCGCCCCGCCTGCAGCTGGCTGCCCTCAAGGGCCTGATCGGCGAGGTGCGGCTGGGCCTGCGCCAGATCAACACCGAGGTGGTGCAGGCGGCCAAGAGCCGCGACCAGGAGGGCTCCGGCAGCCGCCACTTCAGCGAGATGATGGCGGGGTTCCATGCCGAGGCGGCGCAGGAGTTCCGGGAGCTGGAGGTGGGTTGGGCGGGGCTGGGAGTGCGTGGAGCGGGCGCTTCTTGCTGCTGCCAGCTGACTTGCATGCCATATTTGGCTCCTCCGCAAAGCCCTCCCCACACCCACCCGCACCCAGCCACCCAAAAACTACACATTCACCAACTACACACGCACACACGCATGCCCACGTGACATCCGCTGCCCCGCTGGTTCAGGCACTGGAGAAGCGCATGTATGAGGAGCTGTGCGAGGCGACAGAGTACTTCGGGGAGGAGTATGCGCCGGCCGACGCCACCCGCGTGCTGCGCACCGTGCGCGACTTTGTGGTGCTGTTTGAGAAGGGCCTGGCCGACATCCGGGTGGGTTTGGACGTGCAGAACGCGCAGGGGGGTCTGGGTGGCTTTGAAGCGCAACTGTGGATGACTTGCCATGTTGGCCAGAAGCATGCCCGGCTGGTTGCACAGTCGGGATGTGACGACGCTGCTGGCTGCTGCTGCTGCGCCACTTCCTGCCCTGACCGCCTGCCGGCTGGCTGGTGGCGCAGGCGCGGGAGAAGGCGGCTGCCAAGGCGGAGGAGGAGGCTCGCAAGCGGGAGAGCATCCAGGCTGCCATCCAGGCACGGCGCACCCAGAACGCTGAGCCGCCAGCAGACCCCATGCACCTCATGCAGCTGCGCCAGTCGCGGACCAGCAGCCAGGGGGAGGCGCCCGGCGCTGCAAAGGATGCAGCGGAGCCGGCAGCAGGCACTCCAGGAACAGGCGCAGCAGCAGAGGCCCCGGCCACATTAGCAAGTCAGGCCAAGCCTGTTGGTTCCGCAGGAGAGGGCAGCTCGGCTGCTGTGCCACCTGTCGACAAGCCAGCCGATGCATCGACAGCAGCTGCAGCAACGCCAGCCCCAACATCACCGCCGGCAGAAGCGGGCGCGCCGGCGGCAGTGGTTGGTGATGCAGCAGAAGCCGAGCAGGCACCCAGTGCTGGTGAGGCGGCAGGGCCCCCAGCTTCACCCGTGGCATCAAGTGCTGACACGCAGCCAGCGGGAATTGAGCAGCCTGCTGCGTTAGCAGCAGTGACAGCCGAGGGCAGGGCTGAGCAGGAGGCGGCTTCTGCCTCCACCGAGCCAGCAGACCAGTCAGGAGGACCAGTTGCTCGGCAGGAGGAGCAGCAGGCCAGTGCTCCTGCCGACTCGCTGGCGCCGGAAGTTGGCGCCGCTGCAGCCGGCTCGCTGGCAGCAGCGGCCGAGGAGCATGCACACCGGGAGCAGCAGGCTGCTGTGGAGTTTGCACTTGCAGAGGCTGAGGTTGCCTCGCGGCATGGGGTGGCTGAGGAGCAGCAGCCGCTGGTGGTGGACGTGCCGCTGCCTGCAGCAGACGCGCCCGAAGCAGCCACTCCGCCTGAGGCGGAGCCAGCAGCAGACGGTACCCCTGCCGGCAGCGCCCCTCCCGCCACCCCTCCCAGCCTTCTCCAGGCTGTCATGCAGCTGGCTGATGACTGGGGCAGCATGTTTAGCGGCGGCATGAACCTTGCAGCAGCCGCCACGGCAGCTCCCCCGCAGGCTTCCGCGGCAGCAGAAGTCTTGGAAGCGGCGGCGGAAGCCACCCCCAGCAGCTGGCAAGGTGGGTCTACGGCGACGCCTGCGCAGATCCAGCAGTCAACGGCAGTGGCGGCAGGTGGCGAGGAGCTGGAGCAGCAGCATTCGCAGCAGCAGCGGCAGGATGGCTGGGACAGCCCCGGCAGCAGCCTGGACGGGCTGCTGGCGGTGACTGCTCACTCGGAGCTGCCGCCTGGGTCTGTGGGCATGACCACAGCGGCTGCCTCCCGGCCGCCTCGCCAGCTGGAGGAATTCATGACCCCCATGCCGCAGCCTGACTGGCTGGAGGAGGAGGGCGTGGCATCGAGCGGCAAGTCCTCTGGCAGCAGCAGCGGCTCGGCGGCGCCCGAGGGCGCCAGCAGCGCGGCCAAGGCGGTGTGTGAGCCGTCAAGCCTGGTTGAGTTGAACAGTTGATTCTGATTACATGTATCTTACAAAAACATTGAACAGTTGCTCGACGAATGACAGTGCTGAACAAATCGGGCCTCCCGGCGCTTTCGCAGGCAAAAGTGCTGCCCTCAGTTTGCTCGACAATGCTACATCGATAACCAGGCACAGGGGTTCTCACGTGGCAGATTTAGCTGGGAACAGAGCTGCCCTGAGTTCCTTCTTGTTCACCTTGCCCATCTGGTTCCTGGGGATGGCCTCCACCACCTTGAGCCGCCGTGGCAGCTGGTAGGGCGGCAGGTGCTCCTTCAGCCATGCCCGCAGCTCTGGCAGCGACAGGGTCGGCGCCGCGCCGGCGCTGCCCGCCTCGGGCTGCGGCTGCGCCGCCTGCGCGGCAGGCTTGAGGGCCACCACCGCAGCGATGACCTGCGCCGGAGCAGCAGCAAATGCGTGGCGGTGGATGGAATGTGGATGGATGGGACGGGTAGGTACGGCATACACGGGGTGGTGGGGCCGGCAAGGAGAGCCGGCACGGCAGGGGTGCCAGGGGGCGGGGGAGGGCAGCGGGCACCCCCTCACCTCGCCGTATGCCTGGTCTGCCAGCCCCATGACTGCGGCCTCTGCAATCTTTGGGTGCTCCAGCAGCACCGACTCGATGTGCAGGGCGGAGATCTTGTAGCCTCCTGACTTGATGACGTCCACAGAGGTGCGGCCAAGCAGGCGGAAGTAGCCACCCTCCTCCAGTACCGCCGTGTCCCCTGCGCCAGCCAGCAGCGGCGGCGTGCCAGGCGCGTGGCAGAGCGCGCCATGGGCGCGGTGCCACAGGTGCTGGACTGCTGCCAACTGCCTTGGTCAGTTGTGATCCAGGCAGCTGCTCCCCTCACCAGTCATGAAGTAGCCCTGCTCGTCAAACGTCTCGGCCGTGGCCTCTGGCCGCTTCCAATACTCCCGGAACAGCTGGGCGCTCTTCACGCGGAGCTCGCCAGGCCCTGCAGCCCCCCACACCAGCCAGGCCGGCAGGCCAGCAGGTGCCGAGCAGTTGGGATGAGGAGTGGAGGGCTGCAGCAGCTCGCAAGGAACCGCATCCACACGCACCTGCGCCGGCATCGCCGCCATCCTTGTCCGCAATCCGCGCCTCCACCCCGGGGAAAGGCTGCCCAACGGCGCCCGGCCGCCGCTCCCCGCTGCAAGTTGCAGAAAGAGAGCAGCACCACGCATTGGATCAAAAGAATTGTATAAGCTAAGCACAATGAACAGAATCAACAGGAGGCGCAGTCAATGAGCAGGCCCATTGCGCTTGCATGTAAGGGTTGCCCAGCAGCATGCCAGTCTCCGTCATTCCGTAGCGCTCCAGCAGCCGCTGCTCTGCAGCAGGAGGAGGGACCCGGTCAGAAACAAGCCTTGCACCAGCTCATCGAATGCCCTGAGCTGGTGCCAGGCAGCTCCCCAGGCAGGCCAGGCCGCCCAGCAAATAGGCGCTCGCCTGATAGCTGCTCCCAGCGCTGCATGATGGGCGTGGGGCATGCCGCGCTCCCGCTCACCGTCAGGCGCAGCTGCAGCAGAGCAGGAAACGAGCATAACATTTGGTGGCCAGCACACTGCAGCTGCGGGGCTCCAGCGGGCTGGCCACTCTCTCGCTGCCAAGCTCAGCAGCTAGGTCCTCACCCTCTTTGCTGCCGCCTCAGCCTCCTGCTGCTCCGATGGCGGCATGGAATCGTAGAGACTCAGCAGCTGGCTGTACATGGTCGGCACTCCCATGAACACACTCACAGCATCGGGAGTCCGCTGCAAATAAATGTTGGAAGCCAGCAGGCACGATGGCCACCAGCGCATGGCTGCCACTCCAATGCAGCAAACCACAGAGGCACAGGATCTTGCCTGCAGACGCTGCCAGACATCGGTGGGCATGAACTTGGGAACCATCTCCACACAGGCGCCTGCAGCATGAACAAGCAATGCCACGCTCAAGTGCGGCGGGCAATGGCGTGGCCGTGGTATGCCAGGTTGGCGCCCACCTGAATACAGCGGGCACAGTAGGGCATTGACGATGCCGTGGATGTGGTGGAGAGGGAGCGTGTGCAGGATCCTGTCCTGCTGCTGCCACTGCCATGCAGCGCACAACGTGCCAATCTGCGCCGCCAGGCTGCCGTGGCTGTGCAGCGCGCCCTTTGGCTTGCCTGCACGGCAGCAGCACTGGGGCTTGGCGGCTTAGAGACCATTCGCGGCAATGTAATGTGTGCTGGCCAGCCTACTGTTTGGGAGGGTGGCCTCACCCGTGGTGCCGCTGGTGTAAATAATCAGGGCCCCATCCTCCGCCTGCTGGCCCTCCAACCTCTGCTGCACCGCCGCCCCCTCCTCCTCTCCCTCTGGCGCCGCCGCTTGCGCCTCCACAACAATCACCTCGGCTCCCAGGGGCTGCAGGGAGGCCCAGGAGGAGGGGCAGCGCTGGTGGCACCACAGACAGAGCAGGGCACACACAAAGCAGGGCACAATGCATAGTACAGGCAGACTATGCACCAGCAGCAACCAGCAGCAGTTCGCTCACCTGTGCCAGGCTGTGCAGCCTCTCCGCGTGCTGCTCACTGACGAGAACAGTGGAGCACTCTGCATCCTCCAACACATACGACAGCTCCCTGCGATGCTCAGTGCGGAGATGGGACGAGGACGAGGGAGCCCGAGGCGCCGCAACAACGAGCGTGACCGGCGCGGCAGGCAGGCAAACGCCCGCACCTGTCTGGGTGCTGCGCCGCCAGCGGCACCGCGATGCCGCCGTGCATCCAGGCGGCGTACATGCCAGCCACATAGTCCACGCCAGGGTCACAAAACAGCGCCACCCTCGGGCCATCGCGCCTGGTCGACGCGTGGCCGGGTGTGGCCGGCGGCGGCGGCGGCCCGCTGGCCTCCATCTGGCGGCAGGCAGCCAGGCCGGAGGACACGAGGTCGGCATAGCTGCAACCCAGGGAGAATACAGGACTGGTTACCTTCTGATTGCCTCCAACCCATGCACGAGAGGGTGGGCAGCAGGCGCCGGCGCCAAGCGGACGGGAGCTGGCAGCTACTGCTGGCGGCACACAGCCAGCCGGCTAACCCAGACGGGTACAATGGCGCGATGATCAGGCACACTTGCCGATAGGCTGTTCTCCCAGCCACCAACGCTGTGCGCGGTGAGAAGGTCAGGGAGCTCCGCAGCACCTCCATGTCGCACGATGGGCCGTGGTAAGTGCGCTGATCGATTTGATGAATCAACAGCACCCAAACGGCGCGGCAGGGCGAGAGGGCAGCGGTCTAGGGCATATGCCTAGGCCCTAGCAATCCGTGGATTGCACCTTGGCGTTGCTCAGAGCACCACAGGTCAAACTTTTGAATGCCAGGTCAATCGGGTTTGGGTCGGCAAGGCATCGGCGGTACGTCAGTACAGCGGCAGGAGCAGCGGGCATCAAGCCTCTCGCACCACCGGTCATCCCCAGCCTAAGGGCATGTCATCGCAGTCGAATGCATCAAATAAGCTGTGAAGAGCTCCCTATTTTGTCTCCAATTCGGTCAGGTCCACAGACTCTGTCGCTGCCGCTCAGGCCGCTGGCCAGTCCATGGACTCGCTGGCAGCAGCTCACAGGCACGTTGCGGCAGGGAACTGGCACGCCGCCACCAGGATGACGTTGGCACCTTCCAGGTACTGCAGAGAGTTCCAGGCAGTGCAGGCGAGTCGATCTAGCAGGCCGGTTGAGCGCATGGCATGAGCGGCTGGCTGCGGGCGCGGTGCGGCGCAGCAGCTGGCAGCAGCTCTGCTGCCTTCACCTCACCTCTGGAGTCAGGGTGGGGTCGACCTCCTGGATCTGCCCCCGGATTTCCAGAAATGCACTGCAGGTGCCCAAAGGCATGCACACCGGTTGCCGGCCAGGGGCAGCGACAGCGAATGCGCAAGAGCTGCAGCGGCAGCCCACTCGCTCAGCCACGCGTGCCGGTGCACGGCGTCGCCAGCCGTGCCGCATTGCTCTCACACACTTGCCTGTTGCAGCCGCACTGTGCCTCCACAACTCGGGCAACAGCCGGGCAGCACCTGCATCGCGCAGGCGGGGGACATGAGCCCACCATCATGGATGATCCTCAGCGCAGGTGGCACCGTTGCCTGCCGCCACTGACCCGATAGCGGGCAGACCGCCTTGCCGCAGAGCCGCCAGCGCATCTTCGATTTGCTGCTGCGTTGGCAGCTCGGTGGAGCCGCGTGGGAAGGACTGTGCCAGTCGATCGATAGACACAGAGCATGTGTATCCTGCCTGCCTGTTTAGGCTCAGGCATGCCTCGCCAGCCTCCACCTCCGTGGCCGGTGCGCTCTGTGCCGGCAGCGCCAGGGGCAGCGTCGACGAGGTGGGCGTCAGGGTCAGCGCAGGCGCCTGCTGCAGCAGCCTTCCAGCCAACGTGCCAGCTGCGAGGTGGGCAAGCAGGGTGGCGAGCAGGGCCTGCCTGCAGACCAGTGCTGCATGCCGAGGTGACATAGCCACGTCTGTACACTTCACACAGCCAGTACTTCACACAGCACGGGATGCATAACCGTTCAGAGAACGTCTGGGGCAGGGCTGCGACCTGATGACTCAGCCCCAGCAGGGCTGTGCCTGTCCAGCTCCCTGGGGCTCGCCCCTGGGCAATTCGCTTGTTTACAAAAAGCACGCCGCTGCCTTAGGCCACTTACATGTAGCTCTGCTTCCCCTGGTGCTGACCGCTACCGCCACCCCGACCGCCGATGGCAAGGGCGGTTCAGACCCCCGGCCGACCGCTGCTGGCTGCCCACGAACCCGCCGGCGCTCTCCGCAGCAACAGGATCTGAGCCGTCCATTTGATCCCTAGCGCTCCAGCGCAGCTGCCTCAGCGTGCCTCCCTGCCGCACTACCGCCGCCACCGGCCTCTTAGCACACGGCCTCAGAGGCAGGATGTGTCGGCCGCCCGGCAGGCAGTCGCGAGGATGAGGTTGGCGCCGGTGAGGTAAGCCGGTGTCAGGGTGGGGAAGTCGGCCTGCAGCCCGCCCCGAATCTCCAGAAAGACACTGCACAGTGGGGCACGCACGTCAGCAACCCCAGCTGCTGAGAATGCCCAGCCACTTGCGGCGGCTTTGTGAGGTGGGGCTGAAAGGGTGGGGCATCCGCTCCCTCTGCCTGCTTGCCTGTTGCAACCGCACCGGGCCCCTAGCACTTGCTCGACTGCCTGGCAGCACCTGCGGGGAGGGAGGCGGGATGGCGCGATGCGCCGTGACGCAAGGCAGCCTCCAGTAGGGTGTACAGCATGCCAGCAGCCAAAGCACGCAGCCTTACCCATCTATTGGCAGGCCGCCCTCCACCAGAGACGCCACAGCCTCCTGCTGCTGCTGCGGGGTGGGCAGCTCTGTGCTGCCCCGTGGGAAGATGCGAGCCAGGCGGTCAATCGCAACCTGGCAGCTGCCGCCAACTGTGATCTGCAAGTCTAAGCAGGCCTGGCCAGACTGTGAATCTGCATCTTGAGCCAACAGCGCTGGCGACTCGCCTGCTGGCTCTGCAGGCCCCTCGGTCGTGGCTGCCGCCGGCGCCTGTGCCAGCCGCCTCCCGCTGGCCCACCTCGCCAGTGCTACCTCGGTGCTGGCTGCTTGTGTGCTGCTTCCGCGGTCGGTGCCCGGCCCCAGCGGCAGCCTGGCACAGCCGCCAGCTGCCAGCAGGGTGAGCAGCAGCAAGGCTGCCAGGGCTTGCCTGCTGCCTGATCCTGTGAGGGTCAGATCCATTGATGGCCCTCACACACAACCGCTTCGACCAAGCTCAAACAATGATATTGAAGAAATTCCTCTTCAGTTCCCCCGTGGAGAGGGCCGGTCCTGCTTGGCGCCTTGTCACGCAAATGGGCGACACCTCCAGCAAGCAGTCCCTGAAGTTCGTGGCCTCCCCTTATGAGCATGAGAAGCACAATGCATCCTGAACTGGAGCCATGGAATGCATCTGCGCCCCTCGACAGCTCCTATCCAACACGCGCGGCATCCTACCACCGCCGCCGCTGCCGCCGCCCGCCAACTTTCTTCACCATGCGCCGTCGCTCATTTCGAGCCATCAGGGCGCCATTCACCAGGATCGGCGGTTATCGAACGTTTGTGAGGCTGCCGCGAAGCCATTTCTGAGGAATCAACCCGCCCATGCACGGCCAGTGCAGCGTGCAGCGCGTCAAGGCGCTTGCGCCGGCGCATTGTGGAAGAGGCAGGCATTCAGTGTGTCGACATGCGAATGCCGCGGCAGCAGCTCTAGCCCCCGCCGCCGCCCGCCGCCGCCGCCGCCGGCGGGGCGTGCCCGACGTCAGCGCCGCCGCTGCTGCGACGGGGATGCAGCCTGCGCCGCCGGCAGCCCCCGAGATCACGGGATCCAAAAACGTGGTGATCCTGGGCGGCTGCGGCCGCGTGGGCTCCAGCACCGCGGCGGCGCTGGCGGCGGCGGTGCCCGCCGCCAAGCTCAGCCTGGGCGGCCGCTCGGAGGAGAGCTTCCGTGCGGCAGTGGCGCGGCGGCCGGAGCTGGCGGGGGCCAGCCCTCTGGCTGTCGACATCGACGACCCCGCCAGCCTGGCCGCAGCGCTCAAAGGGGCAGACCTTGTGATCCATGCGGCAGGGCCCTTCCAGCGCCGCACCGACTGCAACGTACTCGAGGTCGCCATCGCCGCAGGGGTGCCCTATATGGATGTGTGCGACGATACCGACTACTCGCAGCGCGCCAAGCAGCTGCACAGCAAGGCGCAGGCAGCAGGCGTGCCAGCCATCACCACCACCGGCATCTACCCAGGTAGGCGGCCGTGGCAGGCGGATGCCGCCGATGCAGTCAGCCGGTACCATGGCAGCGCTGCTGCCTGCGGTTGCAGCTCCCGACCTGCTAGCATGGTTGCAGCTTGCGACCTGCGCACCCGCCCCCATGCGCTGCCGCAGGCGTGAGCAACGTGATGGCGGCCCACACCATTGCCATCGGCCGGAAAGAGTACAACGCAGACGGCAGCCTGCCGGAGCGGCCGGGGGAGGGCGGCGCCGACCCCAAGCGCGTGCTCTACTCCTATTTCACCGCAGGCAAGCAAGCAACGATAGGGACGGTTCCCATGGCAGCGGCGGCAGCTGTAACCTCCCGAGCAGCAGCAGCGCCGGGCCTTAGGGCGGGGCCCATGCTGTGTTGCTGGGGTGTGCCGCATGGCGCCACTGTGCCCTCCTGCCCCACGCCTGTGGCTGGCTGCGGCGCGGCGCAGGCACTGGCGGCGCGGGGCCCACCATTCTGGAGACCACGCTGCTGCTGGCTGGGGAGGACGTGGTGGCTTTCAGGTGAGCGGGAACCAGGTGGCTGGCAGCACAGGTTGGGGTGAGCTGACGGGTGATGTGATGGCGCCTCCCGCCCTCCCTCTCCCTTTGCTATGTGTCGCTGCCCCCCGCCAGCAGCCTGCCTTGGCTCCCATGCCGCCTGCCTGCCGGGGCATCTGCCCCGCTGACTGGCTGCTGCCGGCTGGCGCCCGGGCGGCTGGCTGCGCAGGGACGGCGAGCGAGTGGTGCTGCCGCCCGTGAGCAACCGGCGGGTGGTGGACTTTGGGACGGGGGTGGGGCGGCGCAGCGTGTACCTCTACAACCTGCCAGAGGTCTCCTCGGGGCACCAGGTGCGGCAGCGGAGGCGCGGAGCCTGCGCCGCACACGCCTGCATCGCACCGCCCCACCAGCGTCGCCTGCGCGCGCTGGCGGGGTGGGATCCCAAGGCTGGGCGGGGCGGGGTGACCCCCGTCCTGCGCGGTGCAAAGGCTTCTGGCCCCTGTGCCCTCCCACCTCGTGCCTGCCACTCGCACCCGCCCGCCTGCAGGTGTTTGGCGTCCCCAGCATAAGCGCCCGCTTTGGCACGGCGCCCGACCCCTGGAACTGGGGCATGGTTGCCATGGCACGGCTGGCTCCCAAGGGTGAGCAGGCGCTGCTTGCCTGTTTGTTTGCATTGCAACCGCCGCCAACCCCGGCAGCGGCTTCCCGCGCCTCGCGCACCTGACGCCAGCCTGCGCTCTGGCCACCTGCGCATTTCACCACCACGCACACGCGCCGACAGACTGCTGGCACACGCTCCCGCCGCAGGCATGCTGGCAGACCGGCAGCAGGCGAAGCAGCTGGCGCGAGTGATGGACCCCGCGATACGGGCTGTAGACTTGGCTGTGGGGGAGAAGGTGGCGATGCTGGTGGAAGTCGAGTATGAAGGTGAGCGGTACCGCCACCCTCGTGCAGCCACGGCTGCCGGCTGTGCTGGCGGCGCTGCCGCCGCTGCCGCGGCTCTGCTTTGCTGGCCTTGCCCTTGCGGCCTCCACACATTTCCACACATGTGGCCTGTCTGACAGTCGGCCTCGCCCTGCCGCCTGCCGTGCTGCCGCAGACGGCAAGATTGCGGCGGGGCTGTACGTTCACCAGTACCTGTCGCAGGCGGTGGGCACGTGTACTGCTGCCTTTGCGCGGTGCATGCTGGCGGGGCAGACGCAGCCGGGGGTGTGGTTCCCTGAGGAGCAGGGGGCGCTGGGGGACCGCCGTGCGCTGCTGGGCATGGCGTCCCAAGGCTGCACCCGGTTCCTGCTCAATCGCACGCCCTGGCAGGTGGGTGGGCGGCAGCCTGCTGTGACGGGCTGTGCTCGATGCCTGCTGCTGTGGTGCTGGTGCTGGACGCTGGGCGCGGCGCTGCTGTCACTCAGGGCTGCGTTAGGGTGTGGCCGCCAATGTGCAGAGCTGCCCTGCCGAGCTTTGAACGCCTGTTTGAGCTGTGCTGTTTGGCCCTGCTGCAGCTTGAGACGGATCCAATGCAGCTGGGCATGGGACTCTACATTTACTGAGGAGTGCGAGCAGACAGCCGGCGGCCTGGGCGTGTTGCCTCGCTCGCCCGCCCTCCCTGCTCGCCCCTTGCTGCCATCCCTGTGGTGGGGTCCGGGAGTGGGCTGTGACAGTGAATTTCATTTTATTGACCATACATATGTTGTGATACGCCTGAATCACCGCTGGTTGGGCCAACAAGAGTGGCAGGAGACGCGTGCTAGGGTTTGAGGCGGGGCCCTTGCGGCGTGGGCGGGAAGGCGACGGCGGGCCTGGTGCAGCCCGCCCGACCCGGCGCGGTGTAGCCAAGTGGAATGCCTATGCATCAATTGCAGTCCAGCGAGGCAATAGGGATGAGTTTCCGCACTCTTTGCTGGCATTTTTGGTGTCCCTGGGGCCACCTTGCGGCCTTAACTCTCTCGCCCCTGGACACCACCCACACTCATTCACCTCCTCCCTTCCACCCTCGATCCATTCACAATCGTCTCGGAATCCAGAAGAGCTCCCAGCCCACCAAGTGAGCGATCACGAGCCTGTAGGGGGCTGCTGCGTTACCCGGCCAATGCCTGTATGTCTGTGGGACGCAGTGAGAGTTGGTTGCGGTGTGTGGCCGCTCTCCCGGAGGCCCACACCAGCCATGCCATTCTTCAACCTGTTTTTGGCTGGGAGGGCGCCCCCGGCCGTCTGCCTTCGTTGTATCCCCGGCAATGAATTTTTTTAAGCGGACTGGGAGGCGGGGCTGCTGGTGGCGGCGCCTCGCCCCCCCCCCCCCATCACCTCCGTTTCTGTGGCTCCCCTCCCTCTTTATGAGTTCTGATGCAACGGGACGCCTCATGCTCGGCTCTGGGAACTCATAACACACGCTGCTAGCTGCTCTTCTCGGAGCCACTAGGGTTCGTGTTGGTAGCTCTGCTGTGGTGGGCTGTCCACCCGTCTCCTGGCCTCTTTTTCGCCTCCCAGTGCTGTGAAACCGACTTTTTAATTAACTTTGATTCCCTATCTGCGCTGAGATGCACCACTACTTCTGTGGCCTTCCTGCTGACCTGCGTGTCGTCTTGTTGCCACATGCGTGCAGAGACCATGCCTGCACACCTCGACAGCGGCGCCTCGCTCAGCTGTGAAAGCGCGCCGTGGAGCGAGGTGATGTTGGCGACTCCCTGCAAGCGTGCCAAGCGCACACCGCTGCCAGACGCCACCCCCGCGCCGCCGCTGAAGCTGGCGCCATTTGCTGGCGCCATACCGGCTGCCGGCTGCGCCCCAGCCAGCGCGGCAGCTGATGCAACCCAGTCAGACAGAGAGGCAGCTGATGCGGCGTGCTCTCCCCGCGGGGCGGGCAGGAAGCTGTTCCCCCGCTCTACAGCCACGCCGGTGGCTGCCAAGCAGATGCAGCCCGAGGAGGCGGCAGCCAACCCCAGCCTGTCCCCAGGTGCCCCTTTGGCCACGCCACCGCCGCCACCTGCCGGCGCCGCTGCCGGCTGCTTCATGCTGCCGCGGAAGCCGACTGCTCGGCGCCTGTTTGACGACGAGGAGCCGGTTCAGGCTCAGCAGGCGCAGAAGGCGACTAACGACTTCCTGGCTGAGCTGGAGAAGCAGGTAGGCAGACGGGGCTGGCTCCTGCACCTTGCGCTCCGCCTTGCTTGCTGCTGGCAGCGCCGGCCTGCATGCCGCCGCCTGCAGCCGGCCGCCTCCCACACCGCTGGCCTGCTGCGCTGCTGTCCCCGGCCCCCTGCCTGCAGGGGCGTGACCGCTTCGCGGAGCGCTGGGGCTTTGATGTGAAGCTGGGCCAGCCCCTGCCCAACCACTCACGCTACCAGTGGGAGGCCGTCACCTGCACCTGATGTGCTGCAGCAGCACTATTACGCTGGCCGCTGATAGCCAACGACTTGATACCTGGCCCGCAATGGCGGTGGCAGGGTTTGCCATTAGCATAGGCTTTTCGCCTTGCGTTTTGCGCACACTTCCAGCCCATTTTTTCTCTTCCATTCTTCTTTGACGAGACTAGCCATGGCTGTACACTACATAAGTACCGAACATCTCCTTTATTTACTTAGGATTTCGTTCTCCTTTTGGCGCCCCCCTTAGCGGCCCTCTTCCATTCTCTTGGGCACTGCTGTCTGTGCGGGCAGGCTCGCTCAATGTTGAGCGAGCCTGGGTATCATTTGGTTAGATCAATAGTGCGCCGTGCGCCTTGCGGGCCAACGGTTTGATGAACCTTGCTGCAACATGCAAACCGTGCTTTGTATCTTTAGGGATTCTGAACTCCCCCTGGCACGTGTGTCTCATCTTTTTGCCGATTCAGCTTGTACCTCCACCTCATTTCTTTTCCTCCATTGGCACTCGGGTGTCTATTGGCATCCCCTGTTGGTTTCCTGGATCAGTGACGTGCACACCATTTCGTCCGTATTAATTTGCCGCAGGAACGCTTGCCCCCCCTTCTGTTTATATGCCTGCTCTCTGCTTGCCGTCGGCACAACTCCGCTCATACCTCCTCAACCTCCCCGCATGTCAACCTGCTTTCTGCTTGTCGTTTTTGTTTGCCGCTCGGAGCGCTTCTGGCACCTTATCCGCACCCGAAACCGAAAGAAAGTGGGTCCGCCACCCTCCGCCCCTTCCATATTAGACTGGCATGGCTGTCCCGTGCCCGTCCGCTTTGCACTGAGTATTGAAACGAATGACACCTCCCTCTGCCAGGGCGCCCTGCACGGCCTGCCCCTTCCTCCCCCCTCCCCTGTTCCCCCGTGACCCCTCCTGTTGCTCACGCAACTCTCTGTTTTCTGTGGAACGTACTACGCCCCGCTTGAGTTGTGTTCCCTCAGGTTGGCTTCTTTTCACAAGAAAAATGATACGTACCGCATCAATGGATGCTCATTATGATATGTAAACTTGCCAGCAGTGAGCACAGCCGGTGGTGTGGCCCGCCAGGCAGTGCAGCGAGGATGAGCAACGCACAGGGTGGCTGCCCTCACCCTTGGCTGCTCTCAGGGGGTTGCCACGGCGGCTCCCAGAAGAACAGCGCCACCAGCTGGCCCATCGCCACCACTGCACACACGCCCACCAGCCACATCACCGCATACTCGAGGCGCGAGTAGTAGCTCTTCTGCGGCAGCAGGCAAGGGAGGCGAGGAGGGCAGCGGGCACGGCGTGGCTCCCGGCTGGCAACGCTCACAGGCTGCCCTTTGCCCTTCCCTCCTCTGCCCACCCGAAGCAAGTCCCCGCCACCCCGCCGTCGCCCCGCCTCGCCCCATGCAGGCTGCCGGCCGCCCACCAGCACACCCACGCACCAGCAGGCCGCGCCCTGGGCCCCGCTCGCTGCCTGCCTGCCTCAGCATGCCATTCCCCACCTGCACATGCACCCTCAGAATGTCGAGCAGCTCCTGCATCACGCTGAAGCGGTCGTTGAGAAGGTGCACCCGCTGCAGCACTTCCAGGTACTCATAAACCTGCGGTACAGCGGTACAGCAGCGGCTCCTGAGGCAGGCATGGGCAGGCAGTGAGTGGGCAGCAGGCGAGGCTGCAGCTGCGGGTGAACCAGGCACGCAACAGCCCACTCTTGGCCTGCCCTGCGCCTCACAGGGCGCCACCTGTCCACTGCCCTGCCTGCCAGGCCGTTTCTCTTCACCCCACTGTCCTTTGTTGCCTCCCAGCTTCCACCAGCCTCCTGCCTCACCGACTTGTACAGAGAGCCAATATTGTCTGGGGCGGAGGTGATGGAGTCGGGCGTGTCCAGCACCCGCCCCAGCAGGTTGACGGCAGACATGGACTGGAACAGCGTGCCCATGTGCTGCAGGCACGGCGCGGGGCGGGGCGCGCGGCATGTCGCGGCACATCGCGGGGCGGGGCGCGCGGCACGGCGCGGCACGGCGCGGCACATGCCGGCGTGCTGCGCGGCGGCGGCGGGGTGCCCGGGCGGAGCCGGCCTCCACGCTGCCCAGCCGGGCGGCTTCCTCCTCATCCCTAGCCCCACCACACAGGCAGATACATACACGCACACACCTTCATGATCTGCTTCTCGCTGACCGGGACGTCCCCGGTCTCCGCCAGGTAGACGGGCAGGCGGCTGAGCTGGCGCCCCAGCACGCGCGTCCGCTCCTCCAGCACGCTCAGCTTGGTGCTCTGCGCCAGCGCAAAGCTGATGGCCAGCTTGACGAGGGGGTCCTCAGCAAACCTGCGGGGCGGGTGAGGGGGAGGGAAGAGGGGGAGGAGGGGAGGGATGGTGGGGTGTGGGTGGGCGAGAGGTGGGGAAGGGCTGCTAGGCCAAGGGGCACTCAGGATGCACCCTCTGCCTGCGACCATGTCTGGAGCCGCACGCAGCGCACAGCCAGCAGGCGCGCGCTAGGAAGGTGGCCTGCCCGGACCCTGCAAGCCACTTAATCGCTCAGCTGCCCTGCAGCCCCGCTGAGGCGGCAGTACGCCCCGCGCGCCTGTAGTGCAGCGCCAGCGAGTCGTTCTCGATGTGGTGCTTGGGCGCTGTGGAGTAGACGACGCGCAGGCGGTCCACCTCACGCACGTCTGCCGGCAGCGGGCCCGTCATGCACGCATCCACCACCTCGCGCAGGATGTAGCTGCGGGCAGGGGGCGCCAGGCGGGCAGGCCAGGTCGGTCCATCGGAATCACTGGCTGCTGTGCACAGCTGCGCTGCGCTGTGCTGGCCTCCACTCTTTCTCGCAAGCAGCTTCCAGCTGGGCAAACACAGCCGTGCCGGCGGCTGGGGGGGGCTGCTCGGAAGGGGAGGGGGCAGCTGGGTCTGCTCACCGCTCTATGTCCTTGCTAAGGCCCCAAAACACCAGCACACCAAAGTCGAAATAGAAGACGTGCCCCGCACTGCAGCGATGGGCAGCAGGGCAGGCAGGGACCCAGCTATCAGCAGCTTTCTAGTCAGGCCACAGCAGCGATACACATCAGCACAGGCCGGCAGGGCAGCAGCAGGGAGGCACGGGTGGCGAGGTGCCGGCCGCTGCCTGCAGTTCTGGCCGCACCTGTCGTCCCCCGCGCGATGGAACTCGCTAATAAGCACCTCGGCATACGCCTGCAGCGAGCCCTCCCGCCGCAGGATGGCGTCCTGGAGCGCGTAGCGGTCAAAGCCCTCGGCCACCGCGTGGCACCGCACCCGCTCCTGCCGCCCCTGCCCCTGGTACTGCGCCGGCACCTGCGCCTGTCGGCAGGGCGGCGGCAGTGCAGCGACAGGTGCCGGAGTGGGTGCCGCCGCAAAGCAGCCGGGGCCCGAGCATGCGATGCCGCAGCATGCGCCTGTGCAAGGCGGAGCAGCAGCGGGCGGGCAGCTGGCAGGCAGGCAGGGGGCCCTCTCTCCAGCAGTATACCGGCACTCACCTCCAAAGGGTCCACCTCAGGAGAGTGGGAGGTGGATGGCTGGCTGGGGTACATAATCTCGCCTTCCTTGTTCAGCTCCCAGCCTGGCCCCAGCGACACGTGCCTGCCCAGCGTGCGCCCGCTGACGGGCAGCTGCACCGGCGGCACCGGCACCTCGCGCGCCAGGTGGCTGCGCTGCCGCCGCAGGTCTCGCGGCATCTCGCCCTCCAGCGCCCGCAGCTCCCGCTCCAGCGGCACGCTGCGGCTGCGCCCGCTGCGGTCATCCAACTGCTCCGCCGCATCCGACAGCACCAGCACCTCTGGCAGGGCAGCGCCAGCGGGCTCCATCGCGGCGCTCCACCGCCCTAGGCGGTGGCAGGCGGCGCTAGGGCTCCGGACCTCTAGGGGAGCAAGCCGTGAGGCGTTTCTTTGTACTGACTGGCTGTGCTGGGTGCCTCCTCGTCGCAGCAAGGGCTCCCCTTGCCCGTTTTGGTCGTCCTGCAAGGGCTGCTCGTGGGGGCGTCTGTGCAGCAAGCTGGGGTGGCGCAATTAATGTGTACTACACGAGCGCAGTCTCCGAATTCGACTGGCGGGGCTGAGGGGCTGCCGTTTGGGCGCAGGAGCCAAAAGAAAGTGGGCTGCGTGGCAGCGGGCGCCAAAACGGCATGCCAGGCTGCGATCGGCCTTTGCATGTCTTCATCGCTGCTGGGGCAGGTCTGACAGGCTGTGCACAGGCTCTGCTACAGGGGCCACGCTGATCGCAGACTTGGGGCGCAGGCGGCGCTGTAGAGGGACTGCCAAGCGCGCAGACAGCTGAACCGCGCGGTTGCAGCCCTTGGTGGCAGCCCCCGGCGCTTGCATCCCGCCCATCACCGTGCCCAGCGGCTGCAGCACCCTCAGTTGGACGCGGAGACAGTCGAATAGAGCAAGATGGTGAAGCTGGTTAGGTGCGTGAGGCTGGGAGGACGAGGAGGGCGAGGCGTGGTGCACGCCGCTGCACGCCTGCGCCGTCTGCCGCTTGTGCTTCTGCTGCCGCAGGCACCTCGCTGACGGCTGGCTGCTGTCACCTTGCTGCAGGTTTTTGATGAAGCTGGCGAATGAGAAGGTGCAAATAGAGCTGAAGAACGGCACGGTCGTGTATGGAACAATCACCGGTGCGTGCCACCGCTGCTGCAGCTGTGTGTTGTTGTGGCTCCGCTGAGCCGTGAGCCGCTGCGCCGCATGCCTTGCACGCCTCTTCCCCGACCGGCGCACGTCCTGCCTCACAGCTCCTCACCCCACCCCGCCCCCTCTCTGGGATCCTGCCCTACGCAGGCGTGGACGTGGCCATGAACACGCACCTGAAGACGGTCAAGCTGGTGCCCAAGGGGCAGAACCCCATCACCGTGGCCCAGATGTCCATCCGTGGCAACAACATACGCTACTATATCCTGCCAGACTCACTCAACCTGGACACCCTGCTAGTGGACCTGGATCAGCCCAAGACGCGGCCCAAGCGGCCCGAGCGGCCCGCCGGGCGCGGGCGGGGCCGCGGACGCGGCAGGGGACGCGGCCGGGGCAGGGGCTGAAGGCGCGCGGCGCGACGCGGCCCAGCGGCCAGCGGCTGGGGGCGTGCGGCCAGCGGCACCGCCGCCCTCCGCCTGCCGCCGTCTACAGCGCTCGAGATCCCACCTGCTGTTGCCCTTCTCGCAAGCATGAGGCAGGGTGCAGACGGCTGTCACCACCACTGCCCGCTCCGCTTCTGCATCGCACTCCCAATTGCCTCTTGTTTCCAGCCCCCTCCTTTCCTTTCCTCTGCTTCCGCTCCCGCATTCGTTGACCTGTCACTGACTCTCTGCAACACTCTCACACATCCGTGTGCATTCACAAGGCCGGGAAATCAGCCACACTGGCACAACAAGGACAGCTGTTGTTTGCCGTGCTGCACCGCCAAGCAGCCGGCAGTGGGGCTACCGCCGCTCCGCCGCGGCCCACTTTTGCAGCTCCCGCACGCGCAGCAGCACCAGGCTGGCTGCGGCCCCCGCCACCGTCGCCCCCTCCTCCCGCAGCAGCGCTTTTGGCAGCAGCTCCGCCGTCGCCCCATCCAGCTCCTGTGCCTGCTGAATCACGGCGTCAAGGTTGAGCTCGTCTCGCAGAACAGTGCAGCCTGCGGCCTGTTTGACGATCGAGGCGGCTACGGGGCGCCAGCCGCCGGTGGCGGCGGCCGCCACGCGGTCGCAGTACAGGGCGAGGTACCGCAGCGCCCTCGCCAGCACCGGGCGCAGCCGGGAAAAGACAAACGGCGCCATCTGCTGCGGCAGGCGGCGGGCCAGCAGGTCGGGGCTCAGCGCGCTCAGCGTGCCCAGCGTGGCCAGCGCCGCCATGCTGCGGCACAGCGCCGCCAGCTGGGCGCCCTCCTGGCTGGCTGCGGGCGCCAAGCTGGAGCCACCGGCAGGGGAGGTGAGGGCCGCGTGGAAGCCCAGACAGCCTGCCATCACAGCCTGCAACTCTCCAGGCTCCAGCAGATCAACTAGGCCGCTGGTCAGCACAAGGGCACACTGCCAGTCCCGCGGCTCGGCTGCCACCTGGCTCCCGCCAGCCACAGTGCTACCAGCCTCGAGCAAGCGCAGCGCGGCGCTGCTGCTGCTGCTGCGCTCGCCGCCGTCATCCCTACTGCTTTTCTCCGCGCTGGCGCTGCTGGCACGGTCGGATGCCGCATCAGCTGAGCTGCCATTGAAGCCGTGCAAACGAGCCGTGTCAGGCAGCAGCAGGTAGTAGGCGGCAGCCTCCCCGCTGCTCTTCACATACAGCTGCGGCGTGGTGGCCAGGCCGAGCAGGCGGCTGCTCTCTACCGCCAGCAGGTAGAGCTGGGGCACCTGCAGGCCAGGCCAGGCCAGGCCAGCAGCCAACAGGCAGGATAGTGATTGCCAACCCCCTTCGAAGCCACCCCTTGCAGCAACGCTTGGAAGGCATTGCCTGAACTCTACTGGTGAGGGACCACAGACCCCAGGCTCTTACCTGGTTCTCTGCCAGGCGAAGCCCCAAGTCCAGCTGCGGCAGGCAGGCGCCCACCCCGCCGCCCAACACCCAGGCTGCCAGCTGCTCCATGCCAGGCACGCTGAGCGCAAGGTTGTGCAACTCTGCTGCCATGCCGTGCAACAGCTGGTCGGGGCCAGCAGGGCACAGCGCCGCCGACCGCCGGAAGGCCGCCAGCCAGCTGGCGCCGCAGAAGCGGCGCAGGGACGAAAGCGCCTCGCCATGCTGCAGCTGGGAAGGCGTGCCGCGGCGGCGGCGGCTGTGATACAGAACCAGTGGCACTGCGTCTGCTGCCGCTGATGGTGGTGGTGCTGCTGCTGATGGGCTGCTGCTGCCTGGGGGCCTGACAAGGATCGCCGGCGCAGAGCCTGGCGGGGCGGCATCCCAGTTCTCAGCCTCCTCAAGCATGCCGGCTGCCAGGCCAAAGAGGCCGACTTCCCACACCCCGGCATGCGCTTCGACGCTGGCCTGCAGCTGCTGCGCACGCTGTTGCACCGCCGCGCCCTCGGCGCCGTGCTGCTGGGCCAGGTAGGCGGCAAGAAAGTCAGCCAGAGGCAGGAAGGGGCGCTGGCCACGTGCCACAGCAATGTCTGCAATGGCCTTGGCCCGATAGATGTCCTGAATGGCCTGCCGCAGGGCCGGCAGCGGCAGCACCCTGGCTGCCGCAGCCTCCTCCTGCCCCTGCACCTCGACGCCACTGCTGGCATCAGCCTCCCCTCCATTCTCACTGGCCTCCCCGCTACCACCGCGACTGCTGCCGCTGCTGCTCTCCTGCGCAGCAGCCCACAGCACGCTGCCGTTGCCGCTGCCGCTGCCTGCCACGCACGCTGTGCCGTTGATGGCGCCGGCACTGTTGTGGCAGGTGCCAGCGGTGCCTCCAAGGTTGGACTCCCACAGCTCGCAGTACTGTGTCTGGACTCCCGCGCTCTTCAGCCCCCGCACAGCCCAGGACACTGCCTGCCCCTGATGCTGCGCATGCACCTGGCCCAGGCTGTAAATGGCATCCCGCAGATCTTGGGCCAGCTGCTGGCACTGCCCTTCCAGCTGGCCGCGTTGCTCCCGGGTGGCATCCAGGTCTGCCTGCACCACAGGAGAGGAGCAACGAGGCGGACATGTGCCACAAGGGCAGGGATTGACAGGGAGCAACATAAACACAGGGCAACACAGCAGCAAGCAGGACAGGCCTAGACACCCCTGTTGCAGCATGCGCCCACCTGAGTGGCTGCTAATTGAGTGGTCAGCTCAGTGGCAAGGTCCTGAGCCCTCTGCCGCGCCGCACGCTCCTGCTCCTGCAGCAGCACCGCCGCTGCCGCCCGTGCGGCATGCTCCGCTCCGCTGCGCACCAGGCGCTGCAAGTGTGCCTCCATCTGTGACACCTGGGCTGACAGAACAGAGGATGGAGGCTTCGCTGGCGTGGTGGCGGCAATGCGTGTGGTCCTATCCTGCTGCTGTGCTGCCTGGGAAGTCTTGGATGCTGGTGTTGGCTGAAGGCTCTGCTGAAGGCGGCTTCTGCTGCTGCTGCTGCTGCTGCTGCTGTTGCTGGCGGTAGCTGACTCTGGTCCTGCGGCTGCCATGGCAGCTCCCTCATCCAGCCCCAGCCGTGGTGAGGTCAGCAGCGAAGGAGGCAGTCCTGCCAAGTCCGCATCCAGCCCCTGCGCAATGCCATCTGGCACTGCTGCCAGCTGCTGCACCTCGCTGCTGCCGCCCTGCTGCTCCAGCAGCTGTACAGACACCTGCAGCTCCGTTCTCAGGCTCTCAATAGACAGAACTGCAGCCGCGACAGCTGCCGCCGAGCTGCCGGCAGCATGTGTGCCCGCCACTGCTGCTTCGTGCACGACCGGCAGCGCTGCTGGCGTTTGCGCTGCCTCTAAACTGCTGCTGCCACCGCTGCAGCATCGATCCGCCTCCAAAGCCGCCACCGGATCTGCGGCTGCAAGGGCCGCAGCCACCTGTAAGTCGAGGTGGCGGCACAGCTGCAGCAGCCACCTCAGTTGCCGAGCATACAGCTGGTGAAGGCCCGCCGAATGACCAGCCAGGCGGCCGTAGGCCGCGCCGTGCGCCACAGCGTAGCGGTGCAGGGCCGCATTGTGCTGCCGGGTGGCTTCCAGGCGGGCGGTGAGGGAGATGGTGGTGGCCTGCAGCTCAGCGATGATGATGGCCTGCTGCCGACACTCCCGCTCAAGATGCTCGTTCCTGTGGGGTGGCCAAGCGAGGGTGCACACACAAGGGCATGGATCAGCGCTTATCAAAGTGCGCAGCCGTTGAGTAATGATTCGAAGGTGACAATGCTGCCTTCACAAACCTGGACCTGCGCTGTGCATGCTGCTGCTTAAGAGCCTCCACAGCAGCGGCGTGGTCCTCCCGCTCCTGTGCCGCCTGTGCGCTGGCAGCCTCTGCGCCCGCCCTGGCTGCCTTCAGCTCCTTGCCGGTGGTCTGCAGTGCCACGTTTGCTTCATTCCACTGTTCCTGGAACCGCCGGCACAGTATCTCCTGCTTGTGAAGCTCCCGTTCTAGCTGCTGCTTGGCTGCCGCCAGCTCATCCACAGCAGCCTGGGAAGCCTGCCCTCGCACCACTGCAGCATGCAGCTCCCCCTTCAAGTCTGCCACCTGCTGCCGCTGCCCCTCCACCTGCTGCTGCAGTGCTGCCATCTGCTCCAGCTGCCTAGCCTGCTCTGCCAGGGAAGCTTGCAGCGTCTGCACATGCTCCCTGGTCCTGGCCGCGGCGGTGTCCTGCTCCTGGCCCGTCAAAACCAGCGCCGCACGAGCTGCCTCTGTCTCAGCACCTCTGGCCTCCGCCTGCTCCAGCTGCTGCTTCAGCCTCGCCTCTGACGCCGCCAAATCCGCAAGCGAGTCGCGCAGGCTGCTGTTTTCGTGCCGCGCCTGCTGCGACGCCTCCTCCACCTGCTGTAGCAGCACTCCCTGCTGCTCCACACGCCGCTCGGACGCCTCCAGCGCCCCTTCGGCTGCCACAATGCGGCCCGAATACTCGTCCAGCTTCACGCACAGCGAGGCAATCTCCTCGCCCTTGCCCTGCAGCGCCGCCCGCTGGCTGGCACACACCAGGCGCTCCTCGGCCAACGCCGTCTGCAGGTGGTGCTTCTGCCCCCGCTCCTGCACAGCAGCGGATGGAAACGCAGCTGGGACAGGTAACACAGCATTCCAAGCTTCTGATGCCCCATTGCATATTGGCGGCAAGGGGCGCTCGGTGTTTGGTGAAACTCTCAGCTGAGGGAACCCCCACCTGCTGCAGCTCGGCTTTGAGGCGCTCTGCTTCTTCGTGCAGCGCCCCTTGCAGCTGCTGCGCCGCCTGGCACTGCGCCTGCAGCCCCGTGCCCAGGTTCTCCCCTTGCTGGGCCCGCTGCTGGCTGGCAGACAGCGCTGCCTGCAGCTGGGAGTTGTGGGCGGCGAGGGCTGTGGCCTCGGCCTGCAGCGATCGGTGCTCGTCTGTCAGCTTGCTGAGTGCGGCAGACTTGTCCCTGTGGCGGGCAGGAAAGCAGGCAGGCAAGAATTGCGGGGATTTGGCTTCATGAGTCACAGAAGGCGTCACACAGAACCCCAGCCTGGGGCCAGCAGGCCCCCACCCAGCCAGCACTACTCACAGCAGGTGCTGCCCAAGCTCCGCCTGCCCTCGCGTCGCCTCCTTGAGCTGCGCCTGCAGCCGCTCCACCTGCGCCGCCAGTCGGCTGCACTGCTCGGCATCGGCATGCTGTGCACGCTGTGCAGTGTCCAGCTGGCGCTCCATATCGACATACTTGTTGCGCAGCGTCCTGCAAGCAGGCCGCGTGCGGGGGTGCCTGGCCGCTGGTGGGCCACCCGAGCCTGTCTCAAAGACAGGGATCCAACACCCAGAGGCATCCCTGGCAATGCACTGGAGCGGCGATACGTCAAACCAGTCCTGCCGAGTCTCCCACACTCCGCGCCACTCCCCACCTGGCCGTCATGGCATCCCCGCGGAAGGTGTCCAGCTGCTCCTCCATGCGCCGCCGCGCCGAGTCCGCGCTGGCCGCCAGCTGCTCCTCCAGCAGGCCCACCTTGACCTGCAGCGCGTGCTGCGCCTGCTCGTGCTGCTGCGCCGTGTAGCGTGCCTGCAGCGGGAGCGGCAGCGGAGTGGCAACAGCCTGTGAACCTGCGTCACACGAAATGGCTGGGCCTGCATGCTACTTGCTGTGTGCCGTCTCTGTTCACGCATGCCTGTGTCCCTGCCAGCCTCAGCTTGGCCCGCCAGCAATGCGACGCACCTCCTCCAGCTGCCGTTCGAGCGCCTCGCGGTGCTGCTGCTGCACCACCACCTGCAGCGCCGCTCGCTCGTGCTGCGCCTGCACATCCGTGACCGCCGCCTCCCCCGCCTGCACCGCCTCGCGCAGCGCCTGCAGCTGGGCGGTGAGCAGGTCGATGCGGCGGGGCAGGAGGGTGTCGTCTTCTGGGTTGGCTGGCCGTGCCGCCGCCGCCGCCTCCTTGCCTGTCGCGCCCGAAGCCAGGCACAGCTGGCCCAGGGCATCCGACACTGCCGCGCGGTCACGCTGCAGCTGCTGCAGTTTGCCCCGGCTCTCCTCCAGCGCCCGCGTCAGCAGCTGCAGCTTGAGCTCCGGGTTGCGGATGCTGGTTTCCAGCAGCTGAGGCGCGGTGTGGTGAGACCAAAAGTCGGGACTGGCTGCCCGACGCGCGGCGCTGGCGGCAGTGCCACCACGCGACGGGGCGCGCGAGGGCGGACGCAGCTGCGGCCCGCTGCTGCCTGCCTCCTCTGCTGCAGGGGGCTCTTCCATCGCCGCTGGCGTGACCAGCATCGTGCTTGCTGGCGGCCTGTCATAGAGCGGGGCAGCGCTGGGTGCGCCCGGTGCTGTGGGAACGAGGGAGGGCAGCGAAGCCATGGAGGGCAGGGAGTTGGAGTTGGCCAGGCTGGAGTTGGAGGTGGTGGCAAGGCTGGAGTTGACGAGGCTGGGCGGCGGCGGCGGCGGCAGGGGCACCGGGGCTCCCTTCCGGCTGCCGCTGCGGCCAGGCGGCATGCCTGCGCCGCCCTGCTTTGAGCTCATTGCGTAAAGGAGCTGCAGGACCGCGCCATTGGCGGAAGGCCAGCCGCTTTGACCGAGGCGGTCCGCCGGCACGTCGCTAAGCCGTCCCAAGTGGTTCGCGCAAACTGGAATGCTGCTTCATACGCCGTCCTAGGGCCCGGGGCAAACTGGTCTACCTGGCGCCAGCGTGCCGCCGCCGCTGCCGCCGCCGCCACGCCTGTATGGAGCCCCACGCTAGCCTAACACAGAGATTGATGAGCATTCGCTAAAGCATGACTTAGAATGTTCTTGTGGCAAGTGCAGCTGATGTGGGAAGTTCAGCTGATGTTGAGCTAGGCCTGCCACCTACGGCTCCCGTGAGCGGCGGCAGTCGCAGCGGCTTTTGGCGGAGCCCTTACCACTCCCCCAGCTTGCATGCCAGATCCTCCAATACTACATTTCAGTCATTCGCGCAAATTGAAGCCACCTGGTGCATTGAATGTCTGAAGGCGTGCAGCAGCATTGCCCAAAGCGCGCAGGGCGGCGGCGCCCCGCTGGCGTGCACCGCCGTCACAAGGGGTCACGGCTCGTCCCGCCGCATTCCTCCCTTCCTCACCACCACTCCCCGGCTCCTGCATACGCTCAGGGAGCCTGTGCAGTGCCTGCTGCCCCTCTCCCTCCGAAACCCCTCGCCCTCCCCCCAGCGCGCTACCTTCCAGGGGCGATCATGCGGCCCGCCGCGCTGCTCACGCTGCTGCTGGCTGGGGCCTGGGCTGCCGCCGCCCAGGAGCGCCTCACCGCGGAGCCTCTGTCGCCCAACATGCCTTGGAACGCCTCCATCACCGTAGACTTGGCGGCACGTAAAGATATTAGCTCCGTGCTCTTCGGCATCTTCTTCGAGGAGGTGAGCCCGCCCATCATGCCCTGCTGATGCAACCTAGTGGGCTCCTGCGCCCTGCATTCGCCCCTTTCAAGGCCACTCCCGGGCCCCAAGAGGTGTATGGCGCCGAAGACGGGCCGCATGGCAATCATTGGCGGCCGCCGCCCCGGCCATGCATCCCGCTCGCCGCGTCATGCATGCCCCACCGCTCCCATCTCTGCTGCCCTGCTCACCCTGCCCCTCCCCTGCAACTCCCCGCCCTCCCGCAGATCGGCCACGCCGGCGACGGCGGGCTGTACGCTGAGATGGTGCAGGACCGAAGCTTCGACGCGCTCGCCGCCGCCACCGGCTTCCTCGCCTCCCCCGCCTCCCGCCTGCCGCTCGACCTGCCCGCCCTGGCGGCCCGCCACCGCCACCCGATGCGCCCGCTGCACACGCCCTGGGACAATCCCTCCAACAAGACGCACAGCAGCAAGCGGGAGTATCTGGAGGAGCGGCGGCGCGACGCTGCCTACGAGCCGCGGTGAGCGGTTCCGCGGGGACGGGCGGGCCGCGCTGTCGCTGGCTGCTCCGCAGGCAGCGGGCCAGCCCCACGACCACACTGCACACCAGCAAACTCTCACGTGCAGGCATGAACAAACGTGCGTGCCCGCCCTGCCTGCCCCCGCCCCTGCAGCAACGACATCATTGTGGCGTGGCAGCCCATCCCCGGCACCACCGCGGTCCTGACCAAGGAGCAGCCACTGAACCCGCGCAACCAGGTGTCCATGGAGCTGACCGCGGGGCCAGGTGAGGGCGAGGGGCCATCAGGGCAGGGCAGGGGGGCGCTGCTCCTCCTCCATGCGCTGCTGGCATCCACAGAGCGCTGCTGGAGCGGGGAGAGGGCAAGGGTCAGCAGCCAGCGTTAGCGTATGCCTATCCTAGATCCTATGGAGTTGCCTGTGCGCCGACCTGGCTACTCTGCCCCCTTGCCGCCCACCTCCCTCCGCCCCCGCCCCGGCCGCAGGCCCTCGCTCCGGCATCGTCAACTTTGGGTACTGGGGAGTGCATGTGCAGCAGGTGGGCCTGCATGTTTGCGTGGAACGGCGGAGCAGGGCGCACCAGCAGAGACGCCTGCCTCCACCCGCGGCTGCAGCGGGCCGGCAGTGACTGCGGTGGTCCTGCTGCTGCCGACCTGACCGTCACTGCCCCTCCCTGCTGCAGGGCCATTCCTACACCGTTTCCCTGTACCTTCGCACTCCAGACGTGGGTACAGTGTATTGTGTTCATCGCCATCGGCCTGTCGCCTTGGTTTGCTGCGCTTCCTGCCAGTCCCCCCACCCGCTTGCCGCTGCCACGCCTGCCGGCCCTCGCCTGCTGCGCCCATCCCCACCTGCCCTCCTCCTGCCTCATCCCCTTGCCCCCCCGCTCCCTCCCTCCCCCTGCAGACCACCACCAAGAGCGTGACGGTCTCTCTGGTGAGCGAGGACGCCGCCACACACTACGCCAACCTCACCTTCCACGGCGTCGCCTCCGGCTGGCAGAAGTACTCGGGAGAGCTGGTTTCCAGCGCCACAGGTGGGGTGGGGGGTGGCTGGTGGGCGCCCGGCCGCTGGAGGAGGCTGTGGGGCCAGCAGCCCGGTGTGTGGTGGCTCAGCAGCAAGCGGGCCAGCCAGAATTTACGGGGGGACCTGCTCTGCCGTGCTCGCTGCCAGAGTTCCCTTCTCTGACTCAAACCCCCGCGCCCCAGCGCTCAACCGCTGCTTCATCCGCCCTTCTTGCCCCGCTGCCCCGCAAGCGCACTCCCTGCCCCGCCCTCCTGCCCCGCCCTGCCGCAGACACCAACGCCCGTGTGGCGTTGCTGTTTGAGGGGCCCGGTGCCCTGGCTGTCGACTCCGTCAGCGTCTTCCCCTCTGAGAATGTGGCCAAGGGGGCGGGCATGATGAACCCCTGGCCCTTCCGCGCAGACCTGCTGGGGGCGCTCAAGGCGCTGCAGCCCGCGTGGGTTGGGCTGCTGTGTCCTGCCGTGTACTGCTGTGTACTGCTGTGGTACTGCAGTACACAGCTGCGGGCTGCGGGGCGGGGCGGGGGGCTGCCCGCTGTGGGTTCCGGGCAGGTGGCCTGTGTGCAGTGGGGCCTGCTTGGCATGCGTGTGGCTGCGACGGTGCATGGCAAGCCGTCCACCCGCGCGGCCCAGCCCGGCTCCTGGCTTGTTCCCCGACGCACCCTGCCGCGCCAACCCGGCCGTCGTCCCCTTCCCCACAGCTTCCTGCGCTTCCCCGGCGGCTGCTACATCGAGGGCGACTGGATGCGCAACGCGTACCGCTGGAAAGATTCTCTGGGGCGCAATGAGGAGCGCAGCGGGCACATGAACGGTGAGGGCGGTACACGCGGTGCACGGCAGCGCCACGGCAGCTCAGCCCACCCACCCACCCACCCACCTCGCTCCTCCCCTCTGTGCAGGCGTCTGGGGCTATTGGTCCACGGATGGCCTGGGCCTGTTTGAGTACATGGTGCGACCGCTGCCGCCCGCTGCCACTGCGCTGCCAGCAGGGATGCAGGGCGCTGCACTTGCCTGTCCAGCACAGGACGCGTGCCCCGCTTGCCGGCATACAGCAGGCCGTGCTGCCTGCAGCGTGCGCCTGTGCACTTCGCCCCAGCTGCTGCCCCGCGCCCGGCCTGCAGCTGCTGGTGGAGGAGCTGCGCACAGAGCCGATCTGGGTGGTCAACAATGGCGTGGCGCATGGGGACAGTGAGCGCCGCTGCCGCTGCTGCTGCCGCCGCTGCTGCTGCTGCTGCTGCTGCTGCTGCTGCTGCTGCTGCTGCTGTCGCCGCAACTGCCACCTGCGGCCGCCGTTGCTTCTCGTGCCACCCATTCCCAGCAACCCCAGCTGAGCTGGCTGTTGGGGGTGCGTGTGCCAGCCGGCCGGCTTCAAGCGACCCCTCTCCCTGAGCGCCGCCTGCACACATGTGCATAGGTCAGCAGGTCACGCTTGAGCCTCCAGCGGTGTTGGCTGGCTGCAGGCATCCGCGCTGCCGATGTGTGGCCCCTGGTGGAGGACACGCTGGACTCTCTGGAGTTCATCTCGGGCCCGCCAGACAGGCGAGCTGCCACCTGCATGCAAGGGGGCACACCGCGTCGAGGGGCGTGAGCCGCCGGGCGGCGCAGTGCACACCCCGGCGTGCCACAGCCGCTTGCACACACACCTGCCTGCCATGCCATGCCATGCCATGCCATGCCATGCCATGCCATGCCATGCCATGCAGCAAGTGGGGTGCTGTGCGCGCCGCCATGGGCCACCCTGAGCCCTGGGAAATCAACTTCATGGCCATCGGAAACGAGGTGGGTGTGGATGGGTGTGGGTGGGTGGGTGGATGGGCCCAGCGGATGCCGGGTGGCGGGCGCGCCGTGGGGGTGTGGTGGCGGTAGGATACCGCAGGCGTGCGGTGTGCCAGCCAGACCCCGCCCCAAGCAGCAGCCAGCCCGCGGGTATGGCCGCCGTCTGGATCGTGTGCGCCGAGGTGTACCGCCCCCGTACCGCCCCCGTACCGCCTGTATCGCAGGACTGCGGCAAGTGGATGTACCTGCAGAACTACCTGCTGTTCTTCGGCGCCGTCCGCGCCCGCTACCCGCACATGCGCCTGATCTCCAACTGCGACATGGGCCAGGACGCGCCCACAGGTGAACGGCGGGGCCTGGCAGGGTTGGCGGGTTGGCGGGTGGCTGGTGTGATGGCTGGGCGAGCACGTGCTCCCATGCCCCCTGCCCCCTGCCCTCCGCAATCCGCTGCTCCCTCCCTCGTGTCAGCCCTGCTCCCTGCCCCCTACCAGCACTGCGCAATGCCCCACAAACACCCATCCCGTTGCTGCTGCAGACCTGTGGGACTGGCACGTGTACACCAACCCGCAGTCCATGTTCAACCTGCGCCACGCCTTTGACGGCAAGACGCCACAGAACTCGCCCTACATCTTCGCCAGCGGTGCGCGCTGAGCTGGCGCTGCTGAGCTGGCGCTGAGCTGGCCTGCCTGCCGGCTGGCACGTCGGCCGGCCGGCGGGGTTGTGCCGATGGCAGTGCCGGTGCTGGGAGGTGCCACCGCCGCATGCCCGTGCTGCCCCGCCTGCGTGTGCAGAGTACGCGGTGACCGACGGCGGCGGCTGGGGCAACGTGGTGGGCGCGGTGTCCGAGGCTGCCTTCATGACTGGCATGGTGGGCGCTGAGCGCCCTGGCTGGCTGGGTGCATGGTGCGGGCTTGCCCTGATGTGCGCTTGCATTGCTGCTTGCAAGGTATGCCTGCTGCCTGCCTGCCTCTGACCACTCTGCTGGTTTCCATGTGGGGCCTGCAGGAGCGCAATGGAGACATTGTGACGCTGGGCGCTTATGTGAGTGTGCCACCGGGGCAGCAGGCCGCTGTGCTGTGCCTGCAGAAGAGGGTGCCAAGCGTGCTGCCACACCAAAGCGGCTGGCCTCTGCTGGGCTGCAAAGACAGCCTGTGCTCCTGCTTGTCATGCAGGCCCCGCTGTTTGTGCACTGGAACAACCGCCCCTGGCCCACAAACATGATCGTCATAGACAACAGCAGGTGGGACGTGCTGCGCTGGCGGCCTGGCGCTGCGAGGGAGACGGGCAGGCACTGGCGGCCCCGGCCCGCGTGCTGCGGCTGCTCAAGGCAGGACAAGGGCCACCATTGCTGCCCTACCGCCTGCTCCACCACCACAACACACACACACACATGCGCATGCGTGCACTCTCCCTTCAGGTGGTTTGGAATCCCCAGCTACTACGTGCAGCAGATGTTCCGCCAGGCGCAGGGCACCGCCTACTTGGACACAACCGTGTTCACTGACCCGGCCTCAGAGGTGGGCCTGGCTGGCTGGCCGCCTGGCCAAGCTCGCCAGCGCATACCAGGGCAGCCCTGGCTGGCTGACACCACTGCTTTGTTGTCCCGTGGACCCCACCACCAGCACACCGCACACCACAGATGCCACACACCTCCCTCCCCACCTTACCACGCTGCTTGGCAGGTGCATGAGGAGAAGGTGGCGGCGTCTGCCACCTGCCAGAGCACTGCCTGCGACCGCATCGCTGTGAAGATCGTCAACTTCAGCTCCTACCTGCAGCGCATCGCAGGTAGCTGCGCAGGGGCTGCCCGTCCGTCTGCCCGTCAGCCTGAACGGGGCAGCTGCTGGGAGAGCCGTTGCTGCGGCTGCCGCCGCTGCTGGGTGAGACGTGCACGCTGCATGGCTGCGCCCAGCAGCCCACGTGGCAAGCTGCGCTGCCTGTTCTGCAGTCCTCCTGAGCGGCCGCGACGCTGCATCTGTGGCGGGCGAGGGGGAGATGGTGTACCTGTGGTCGGCCCACCCTGAGGACGAGAACAGCTTTGACAACCCAACCAAGGCGAGCGCGCACGAGTTGGGATGTTTGTTGATGCTGGCTGCTGTGGGTGACGCAGCACTCGCTGCATCACACTACTTGATGCCAGCAGGGCGCATCCCGGGTGCAGCCCTCAAAGCCCTCACGCCACGTCCCCGCCCCGCGCCGCCCCGCGCGCCGCAGATCGCGCCCGCCGCAGCCGCCGTGGACGGCCTATCCTCCAAGTTTGTGCTGCCGCTCAAGCCCTGGAGCGTCAACATCCTGCAGCTGCGACTGGAGCCCAGCCCCAGCCCCAGCCCCAGCAGCGGCCTGCAGGCCAGCGGCAGCGGCGGCGCGGCCGACGTGGCTGCTGCGTGAGCGGCTAGCTCTGTGAGAGTGTCCCCAATTTTTGTTTGCGCCCCTGCTCTGCCCCGCCCCTGCTTTGTGTCTCTGTTTGCTTGTGCCCCTGCTTTTGCCCACCTCATCCTGCCTGGCTTCATTGTAACATCCCTGCTGTGCATGCACCCTGGCGGTCTGGCAGCAGTTCGGCGGCGGCCAGCCTCCGTGTAGCCGCAACAGCAGCCGCCACACCGGCGAAACGACACAATCACTGCTGCAATTACAGCGCCTCCTGGTCCAGAGGGGTTGGAGAAATTGAAGAGAAAAAGCAGGGAAGCTACTCAGCAAAAAGACGCTGCAACTATTCCGACACAAGACTGAAGCCCGTGCAGGCAGGGACAGCTGGTCCCGGGCCGCATGGCGGGGCAGTTTGGTTCCAACAGGTGGCACTGCCGTGTGGCATGCGCTGCGCTCACTCCTCGTCGCTCTCGTCCTCTTCCGCCTCGTCCAGCCTGTGAGGTCAGCGCAGCAACAGGGCAGGCAACGTCAGATGGCAGCGCTAGGCTTGGGCGGGTCTCTCTCCTTCTCAGCGTAAGGCCGGGCAAGGGCGCGCAGGAGGGGCCAGCGCACGCGGCTGCCGCTCACCACTTCATGAAGGGCTCCATGTTTTTGAGGAACACGTTGCGGCCCTTGGGGCTGCTGCCCTTGGTGTACCTGCGGCACGGCAGGTGGTGATGGTGGTCTGTTGGCGTGTGGTGGTGTGTGAGGCCATGCTCAGCCTCATGCCGCATTGCAGCCCACAGCTGGTATCCACAGCAGCAAGGCAGCAGCGGTGCAAATGTCGCAGTGCGGCGGCGCTCACCAGAACCGGATGGTGTCCTCCCCCAGCACGTCTGTGTCGTACAGGATCTTGACGATGTCCGCAAACAGCTTGAGCAGGCGGCTGTCCTCGTAGCACGTCACCTGCAGAGGCAGCCAGGGCCGGCCAGCGCAGCAGGTCAGGCGCAGGGGCGGGCGGGGTAGACGGCAGGCGACCAGGCCCCGCCAGGAGGCATCAAGGCGGCCATGGAACCAGAGGGGTAAAGGGTGTGTGCGCTGCTGCACCAGCAAGCATTGCACCAGCTGCTGCATCAGCCCGCCTGTCGCCAGGCACACCAGGCCAGCGCCCCGCCTGCTCCCTTTCTCTTTTCTCCCATCCTTCCTCTCTTCCCTCCTTCCTTCTCCACCTGCCCACCTGGATGGTGTTGAGCAGCGTGGCCTCCATGCGCCCGCTGGTGCAGAAGGCGGCCAGCGCCTTGGAGTACGTCTTGATGGTCTTCAGCACGCTGAACTGCACCTGCTGCGTGTTCTTGGAGCCAATGTGCGACATCACGCTCTGCACCAGCCCCAGGAACAGGTTCTGCAGCAGGCGCGGGGAGGGCGGAGGGGCAGGCAGGCAGGCAGGTGACGGCTTCAGCGGGTAGGCGTGGTGTGCGGCTGGCCGTGCTGGCCGGGCGCAAGCCTGTGGCGAGAGATCACATCGGACCGTTGCCACGTGCCACAGGCCCCCACCGTCCAATCCAATCACCCTCCTGCGAATCCAACCACTGGCATGCGGTCTGCACACAACGGCGGCTGTGAAAGCCCAGGGATCCACCCACCTTGGCCACATCAATGTCCTCCAGCCCCCACTCCTCCTTCTTCGCCTTCACTTCCGTCACCATGGCAGTGGCAGAGGCGGGCGGGTCGTCGGCCACCAGCTGCTGCACCGTCTCCGCCAGCACCTGCGGGCCAGGGGAGAGGACAGGTGAGGGAGCGGCTGGGGTGATGGTGGGGTGGCGGGATGGGCCGCATAGACGCCAAGGAATGACGCCAGCTGGCAGATGGAGCCAAACACACACCACCAGCGCAACGCCTGTGCCCAGGCAATGAATCGATGCGCCTGCCCCTCCCCCATCAGCCAGCGGCCTGCTGACCTGGCAATGCAGCTCGTACAGCTTCTTCTTGTTGTACTGCACCAGGTCGTCCAGCCCCGCCGCCGCAAAGTGGGACTCAAAGTCGGCCCAGGTGCGCTTCTGCACAGCAGCAGTGCACAGAAACGGACGCTAGGACCAACAAAGGCTTTGCGGCAAGGTGGCAGGCAGAAGCGTTAGGGGCTGGGCCAGGGAAACGCCGCAGCGGGCACCGGGAGCCGGTTGCAGCGGCAACAAGCGCACAACCAGCTGCGCCAGGCTTCCCCAGGCATGAGACGCAGGGCAGGCAGCGCGGGCCTGCGGCGCTTCCCCAGGGAGCGAGCGCTGCGGGCTGTGCGCACCTGCTGCGGGAAGAACTCCAGCAGGCGGTTGTCCAGCTTGGCCTTGCGCAGCACCTCCAGCAGGTGCTGCAGCGTCAGGGCAGAGGGGGCAGGAGGGAGGGAGGAGGACTTGGTGAGAGGCAGCGCAGCCTGAAGCGCGGGGCGTGCAGCGCTGGCGCGCCCTGCTGGCGCCTGCCCTGCTGGCGCCACCTCAGCCCACCTCCACAGAGTCTGTAGCCAGGAAGTCCTTGAAGAACTCGGTCACAAACTGCGGGAGGGAGAAGAGCCGGGTGCTTGGGGTTACTTGAGGGACACGCGCAGGGAGATCACGCCGGCGCATCTGCCAGCTGCCGTGGCCACCACCAGCGGCGGCGCACTGGGTGCAACCGCCCCGCCCAGCGGCAGCTGCAAAGTGCTGCAGGGGAAGCCGCGGCGGCGGCAGCGGAGGGCACAGGGCAGCAAGGGCAGCAGACAGCAGCAAGGGCGGCAAGGGCAGCAGACAGCGCCAGAAGCAAGCAAGGGCGGCAGAGGGCGCCGGGCGCTGGCGCACCTGCAGCACCGCGCCGCGCAGCACCAGCCGGTCCAGCAGCATCTTGGGCAGGATGGAGTCGGGCAGGATGCCCACTTTCATGGAGAAGCAGCGCGCCAGGGCTGCAGCACAGAGGGGGTGCGGATGGCGCGGGCGCTGAGGCGTGCGTTTTTGTGTACGGATGGCGGTGGTGGGATGGAAGGGTGGAGCCAGCAAGCACAACGCAGCGGGAGCGCGAGGCATGTGCACCGATGGTGGGCGTGACCCCACAGCCGGCTCCGGGACCACCCCCCGCGCAGCCGCGCAGCGAGGTCGGCACAAGGCAGCGCACCGATGGCGATCTTGCGGCGCCCCTCATCGTCGTAGAACTCCATGCCCATCACAAACTTCTGCAACACATTCTCCAGGGCCTTGACCAGGAAGGGGCGCCGCCTGCGAGCGGGAGGCAGGCGGCAGGCGAGAGAGCAGGCGGGAGGGCTTGTGGAGGGGAGGGAGAGGGAGCGGAGGAGCAGCAGGCGCACGCAGTGGGCCTTTGCCCAGCCCAGCCCTGCACAACCCTTTCCCCCTTCCTGGGCCACCGCCCTCACACAAAAGGCACGCTGCTGTGCTGTGGGATGGTACTGCTGCACTGCAGCTGTCCCCTACCTGATCATCGTCTGGAACCACTTGATGTACGGCAGGATGGCCTCGCGGTCGGCAGGGCCGGCCAGAATCTGCGCCAGGAATCAGCGGCGGCAGGAGCAGGGGCAGAGCATCGGCGTCAGCTGCCCAGTCCCGGCCGCCGCTGCGCCCTGCTGCCGTACAAACCGACCAGCTGCCTAGCCGTGCAGTAGCCTCGCTGCTGGCAGCGGGCCACATGTCCCCGCACCCTCCTTCCCCCAACAGCACAAGCAGACACCCCACACAAGCAGCACACCCCGCGCGGCCCGGGCTGCCTCACGTTGAAGTCCAGCTTCTTGCCCTCGGTGGCCACGTTGCCGCCCGTGGTGAGGCGCGCCCCCGCAAACGCCACCTCAAACAGCACATCGCCGTAGCGAGAGAAGTCCAGCTCAGCAATGTCTAGCGACTGCAGGAGGGGCCGGGGCGGGCAGGCCAGGGGCAGGCAGGCGAGCAGCAGCAGCGGCAGTGAGCAGAGAAGGGACAGGGATGGCTGCCGCTGCTGCTACTGCAGCATTCCCTGCAGCTGCCTGTGCTGCACCAGTGCAGCTGCCATGCTGTGCCCAGCCACAGCTGCCCTGCCGGCGCACCAGCCACCAGGCCAGCCCAGCTGCATCCGCAACCCGACAGCACACCGCACCTTGTTTGCGTCACCCAGAATTTTGGACACATTGTTGTGCTCCGTACCCTCCTCACGGGCATCCTCAATGATATCAATCAGAGCATCGGCAAAGGACTGCGGGCGTAGGAGCGGCAGGCGTGGCGCAGCAAGGTAGGTAGGTGCAGCAGCATCGCAAACCGACAGCACACAGCCCTGAGGTAGCTGTGGGATCCAGCTGTGGGATCCAACGGCGCTACCGGCTGCGACGCCTGCTTGATCCGTATCGCCCACAAAACATGGGACGAATGCAAAAGCGCTGCGCCGGGGTGCTGTTCCAATTAAACAGCCCTGGCGAGTGCTGCCCAGCCGGCGCCGCCCGCCCGCCGCCGCTGCCGCCTGCGCACCTGTGGGTCGTGAGGGACGACGATGTTCCTCTTGCGGGTCTTGATGCGAACACCACTGCACCCAGGGACATGCAGCAGGGCGTTTGGGGTCTGGAGCCAAGAGTCCGCGTGTGATGCAGGTGATCGTGACGAGGGGCGGCGGCCGTGCTGTGGGATGCAGCTGCTGATTGGGGCGGCAATGGGCACTCACGCAAGCTGGGGCTTCTCCTCTTTCGTGGACATTCACAGGGGGGTTGCTCGCGTGCTCCTGTCTCAGCGGTGAGCGGCGGCTTGGCCAATGTCGATTCGCAACAAGGTGTCTAGAAGGGGGGAGCTGCCCCAACACGCATGCGGGTCAAGAAAGCGGCAGGAGAGTTGGTGCCCCATCGCGCAGGTCTCGGCACCCATCGCTATTGGCGATGCTCTGATCCGGCTGCCATTCACAATTTGAGCATTGCAAAGCCCCTGCACTCAGTTTGCTTGTTGGGCCGCAGCAGCTGGCAACACCATGCAGGCAGCAAACTTGCTTGCACACACCGGGAGGCGCCCCGGGCTGCAGCATCTGCGCCCAGGCAGCCCCAGGCCCGCCCGCAGCAAGGTGCGCCTAGGGCACCGAAACGGCACCCACGCGGCGGCTTGCACCTCCTGCTCACTCCCTGAACGCTCCTGTGTGCAGCTGCTTGCGGGTCTGCCGGTCAACGCTCAGCTGAGCAGCACCCCGCCGGGCGCCACTCCCGCCGCCGCCTCCGGCGCTTGCAGCAGCAGTAGGAGCAGCAGCAGCAGTCCCTCGGCATTTGGCGCCTGCCTGCCACCATCCAGCAGCAGCCCGAGCCGCACCCCAGAGGAGGCCTGGCTCTGCGCAGCCGCGGGCGGCGATGACGGCGGCAGCGGCGGCAGCGCTGGCAGCGGCGGCTCCTCGGGCGGCAGCGGCGGCTCTGGCAGCAGCTCGGGCGGCGGCGAGGATGAGGATGGGGAGGAGTATCTGGATCTGACGCAGGCAAGCCGCGCCGCCTGTGAATGCCATCATTTCGCTGCTTGGCCTGCCAGCGTGTGCGCTATCCATGCCTGTCTTGCAGTCCTTGCTGCCCCCAGCTCTCACGCCCGCTGCCCAGCCTCCTCCCCGCGCCCGCAGGCGGAGGAGTTGGCGGCGGCCAAGGGCCTGTCGCTGCCCGACGACTTTGCGGCCGCAGCCAGCGCCGGCGGGCTGCGCCGCGCGACGCTCGACGGCTACCTGCGCCTCGCCTCGGGCGGCTGGCTCACCTCCATGCTCGTCAAGTCTGTGCCCGCCTTTAGGGACCGACTCATTGCAGACCGCATGTTCTTCTTCAAGGTCTGGGCGGAGGTGGCCATCGATTCGGGTGGGTGAGGGCTGGAGCGCGCCCGTGTGCAGTGCTACCTTGCTGCTGTCTTTCGCTTCTGGCGGCGCAAGCGGTGTGTTCGGATACTGGGCTTGATGAGCGGCAGTCCTCCAGCAGGTGTCTTGCCCTTCTGTATCACGCGCCTTCAGCCGTGGCTGCTGCTCTGCTGCCGGCTTGCTGCGGCACAGAGCCTCCCCCGCGCCGCGCCCCCTCCATGTTGCCTCCGCCGCCGCCGCCACCGCCCGCCCATCCCCGCAGGCTGCGCCACGGTGGCTGAGCTGCGCAAGCGGGGCGACGACTTCTGGGGGGAGTTTGAGTTCTACCTCTCCGACCTGCTGGTGGGGCTGGTGCTGGATGTGGTGCTGGTGACCCTGCTGGCACCCCCAGCCATCGTGGGACGCTCCAGAGCGGGTGAGCGTGCAGGCCGTGCGCGCGCCGGCTTGCATGGGTCGATTGCTCGCATGCGGTTTGCACACGCCGCGCGCTGGCGGAGGTAGCCGGCATGCGGCCCGCCCTGCCCCGCCGACCAAAATGCTGCCAGAACTTTCAGCCATGCGGCAGGCTGCCGCTGCTCGGCCCAGGGATGCAGCAACGGGCGGTGGCTGACCTGCTGTCCTGCCCGACCTGCTCCACGCCCCGCCGCCGCGCGCAGGCTCTGCCGGCGGCCTGAAGAAGCTGCTGGGCCGGCTGCCGTCTGCGGTGTTTGAGAAGTCCAGCGCCGGCCGCCGCTTCACGGTGCTGGACCGGGTGGGCACCTTTGTGAAGTTGGGGCTGGAGTACTCCCTGGGTGAGCCTGGTGCCATCCAGGTCTGCGTGTGTGTGTTTGCGTGCGTGTGTGACGTGAGTGGACAGTTGGTGCCTGGTCCTTTGCCCCCATGCCGGCCCTTGAGAGCTTCCCTGTGCCTCTGAACCCCGTGCCCCCGCCGCACCGGCCCGCAGCCGGCATCGTGTGCGGCTTCATCGGCCAGGGCATGGCCAACGGCATGATGCGGCTCAAGCGCCACTACGGCGGTACCAGCGAGCACGACGTGCCGGTACCGCCGCTGGTTGGCACCGCCCTGGTCTGGGGCATGTTCATGGTGAGTCGCAAGGGGGGGCTGGGGGCGGTGAATGGGGTGCATGCGGCCTGCTTTGAGGGCAAGCGTAGGCTAGCTGGCAGGCGAAGGAGGTCCGTGCGCCACTCCCGTGGCGCACTGTCGTGCCACTCCTGCCGCCCCCTTCTCACCTGGCTTCCTTCGTCGGTCTGCCTTGCCGCAGGGCCTGTCCTCCAACAGCCGCTACCAGGTTGTGTTTGGGCTGGAGCGCATCGTTGACGAGGTGCGCCTGCCTGCCTGCCTGCCTGCCTGCCTGCCTGCCTGCCTGCCTGCCTGCCTCATTTCTGGCTACCCATGGAGGGGGCCTGCCAGTGGAGCTGCTTGTGGAGCTGCTCCCGGCCCTGCTGCCCTACCTCCCCACCCCACACACCCTTCTTCCCGCCGCCCTTCCCTTCCCGCTGCCGCAGACCATCGCGCGGCGCATCCCCCAGGTGGCCTACTTCACCACCCTTGCCATCCGCTTTGTCAACAACGTCATTGGCGGCGAAAACTTCATAGATATGGCGCGGTGGGCGGGTGTGCAGTGAGGGCAAGGCAAGGGATGGAGAGCACGCGGCTGAGGTGTGACCGCGTGGGGCTTGGACAGATAGAGGTCCGCGGCCCTCCAGCAGCCATGGCATGGACGCGGCGGCAGCACCCGGAGCGAGGAGTGGGAGGGCAGGGGGCTGGGGGGGCATGCGCCCGCCTGCCGTGGGCCAGCCTGCCACCGCCCCATCACCCACGCACCTGCATTCTGACAACCGATTTTTACGGCGATTTTAACCATTGGTTCTTGAGGGTAACAGGCCCATGAGCATCCAGTAGAGCGATTGCTTTTCGTCCAAGGGTGGTCCAACGGGGGGCCTGCCCTGGTTTGGGCCACACCCGTTCTTTGTTTGGAGAGACAGAAGCTTCTGCACGAGTTCTTCATTGGCCATTCCAGGTGGGCTTAGAGCTAAGACCTTATGTGCGTCAGGTTCCTGCACTGCCGCTGGGGTTTTGATCCAACCTTGGACAAGGGTTGCTGCCAAGGGTGCCAGTGGGTGTGCGGCAGAAGCAGGAATTTAGCATGCTGCCAAGGCAACCCGATGCCCCTGCTGACTGGCCTCCGCTGCAGGCGACGCTCCCCTTCCGCACCAGCTGCCCACAGACGTGTGGGAGTCCGTTGGCTACCACCTGTCCCTACTCGACTCTGCATGGGCCTCGGCAGCCTGCCGGGACATGCGGCAGGGGCTGGCCGGAGTGCTGGCTGCCCGCAAGGCGGCGGTGGCATCCGAGCTTCAGGCGTTTGTGGGCAGGCTGTCTGACGATGCGGCGGGCTTGGGGAGCAGCAGCGGGGTGCGCAGCCTGGGGAGCGCTGCCCTGCCCGGCTTCAGCTGGATAAGCTTCGGAGCAAGCTCGCTGTCCCTGCTGGTTGGGCCGCCCATGCTGATGCTGGAGCTGCCGCCCAGCGCCAGCATTGGGCCCACTTGGTGGCTGAGCGGCAGGTACCAGCACACGCGGCGCCAGATCACCAGCAGGCACTACGGCTGCGCCAGGCCCGGGTTTGACGCGGTGGATGGCGCGTTCCTGTCCCAGCCGCTGTCCAACCGCGGCGCCTGGCAGCGGTGTCTCATGGTGCGCACGCTCATGGACACTGCCGCCCTCGGCTTCCACGATGCGCTGAGCTGCGTTGCGGTCGCCAAGCTGCTACTGGCCCAGTCCCGCGGCCCGCTGCTTGCCGCCAACCCGCGCCAGGATGCCCAGCCTTGATGCGTGCGGCAGGCCAGTGCATGCTTGATTCAATGACTTGCAGAATATTGTGACAAGAGCATCTGTCTCTATACTGCCGAGCCGCAGCCGGGAGCTTCAGTTGGCGGGTTGCTAACCCGTCAACGTCAACAGCATGCAACTTCGCAGTTGCAGCCCACCAACACAATCAGCCACTGCCCAGTTCCTCAGTTAAGCTCTGATCATCACAGGGCGTGATAGAACCGTTCCCAGCGAGCACCCATGCGGTGGCGGAAGGCCGCCGCCGCGTCCCGCCCCTGTACCTCAACATTCAAGGCCTCCTGAGACAGGGGGCACCGACTGTCGCGCGCTGCCGCCGTCTGGATCGCACCACACGGCGTCCTGGGCGTTGGCCAGGCGCACTGGGGCGTGATGTCGGGGTGAGTGTTGCCATCGCGCGGTGATCGTGTGCCTAGGCCGCCGCCCCACCCGCGGCCCAAGCAGCGGCTCGCAACGCCCGGCCCCGCCTGCCGCCGCCTGCCCTGCAGCGCCCCGCCGCCACGGGCGGCGACGCCGACGGCGGCGGGCCAGAGCGCGGGGGAGGCCAATGTGAAGGCGGTGCGAGCGCAGCTGGAGCTCATGGAGCAGGACTGCTGCCGCGTGTCTGCCCCCGACTACACCACCCGCTTCAGCAGCCTGGAGGATGCGGTAGACCGACTGCTCCCCTTTCACGTGCGTGGGCCGCCAGCAGCCGTGGGAGCGCAAAACGAGAAGCGCAGGCAGCAGTCCGACCAGCATGGGCAGGCTTCAGAGCGGGCTGGTCGCCCCTAGCCGCAGCACAGACAAGGCAGCGCCGTCGCGCCTGTATGTGCTGTACCTGTCGCGCTGCACCATCTCATGCGCTGCTGCCCTCCCCCCTCCTCCCGCGGCTGCTGCCCCCTGCAGATGTTTGGCGCGGAGGACCCGATGCAAACGGACGCTCGGGAAGTGGACGCGGCGGCGGTGCCGACGCGGCTGGCCACCTCCCGGCACGAGGCTTGGCGTGACCTCACCACGCATCGAGTGAACGAGTACTGCGCGGGCCTGGTGGTACTGGAGAAGCGGGTGCAGAAGGCGGAGGCGGAGGCACTGTCGCGGTCGCAGCTGCCGCTGCTGATGCTGCAGAGCTACGCTACGGCGGAGGCGCAGGCGCTCGTGGTGCAGGAGCAGGGGCGCAAGGTCAGCTACGAGCGGGAGCAGCGGGAGAAGAAGGAGGCCGCGGAGCGGGCGGTGCGGGAGCAGCAAGAGCGCGTGCAGCAGCTGGCCGCGGCGCAGCAGATGGCGGCGCAGCAGCAGCAGCAGGCGCTGATGATGCAGCGGCAGCAGCTGCTCCTGCAGCAGCAGCAGCAGGCGGCGGCGGCCATCGCTGCCAAGCAGCAGCAGCAGCAGCAGGCGAGCGCGCCCAAGGTGCAGCAGCAGCAGCAACAGCAGCAGCTGGGCGTGCCGCAGCAGGTAGCGCAGCCGCCGGGCATGCCGCTTGGGCTGCCTCCGGGCATGGTGCCGCAAGGGGCGGGCATGGCGGTGCGGCCGCCAGCAGGGCAGCCCACGCCGCAGCAGCCAGCAGCCAAGCCGCTGAGTGCAGCAGAGATCAAGGTGCAGCAGCTAGCGGCCCTCAAAGCTCGCATCAATCAGCGCAAGTAGGCGTGCTCTAGAGCGGCACACAGCACGCCCGCGGGCGGGCACAGCCCTGCGCTCCTTGCCCGGCGCCGCCGGTACGGTGCTGCCGCTTCTGCACAGCTTTCATTCACTCTCACATTCTTTTTCGTTTGTCTCTGCCGTGCACACACTTCCCTCATTTGTTTTCAATGCCTTCACAGCCGAGCCCCATGTAATGGGCCGGCAGCAGCTCATAATTGTCCCGGCAGCAACACACAACGATCGTTCAGCATAGCAAGACAGCGTAGCAAATGAAACACAGGTCAACAATCAGTCAATCTCCTCTATCTGCACGGCGCCGTTTGGCTGCTGCTGCTGCGGCGGCGGCGCCTCGCCGTCGGCCGCCTGCTGCTGCGTCCCATCGGCGGGCTCGGGCTCAAAGCCATCCCCCAGGAACAGCTCTGCTGTCGCCTCCATGCAGGCGCACACCGTGCGGTTCTCCTCAAACTCATATCTGCAGCGCAGATCCAGCAGAAGGAGGGAGGGCAGCAAGCTCCGGTCGGCTGTTGGCAGAAGGCTTTGTGGTGCATGCACCAGGAGGGCACTGCTGGCGCCCTCTCAATTCATTGGGTCCATAGGCAGCCAGACAGGGCCCGCACCGGCGGCAGCAGCAGCAGCCGGCGGCAGGCCAGCCGGCGGGCGCACCCCTTCTGCAGTGTGGTGGGCGCGTCGCACTTCCACAGCGCCTTGCGCGCGCCGCCGTGCCGCGCCACGCACAGCACCGCCTCCGCCAGCGCCTCGCGCACCGCCTCGTCCTCCTCCTTGGCGGTGATGCCGCACAGCACATCCAGGATGGTGCCCACAGCCTGCAGGGTGGAGGGTGTATGCATGTGGGGTGGTTGGTGGGGTAAGGCAGCGTAAAGTGTTGTTGAAGCAGCAGCCAGGCCCAGCCGCCGCTGGCCCAGCACCGCACCTCTGTCTCCGCCGCAATGTCGTCCGCGGTGCCGTCCTGCTCGCAGGTGAAGCAGCAGTTCTTGATGGCGCCAGCGCAGCCGCGCCGCCGCAGCTCGCTGCTGCTCCGCAGCTGCGGGCGGGGCACGAAAGGGGAGTTGCTCAAGGGCTGGTCCAGCAGAAGCAGCTCAGGAGTGTGGCAAGGCGCAGCAGTTGCTCGCAGCAGCGCATGCAAGCAGCTGTTCCGGCCGCAGCGCTGCGCCCACCTGGGAGGCCAGCGCCTGCAGCAGGCCGCGGCCCGGCTGCAGCAGCAGGCGCCTTCCCGCGGGGAAGCGCGTGACGTTGGGCAGCACCGTGGCCACATGCTCATACGTATCTGCAGGCAGGGAAGGGGTCCCACAGGGAGAGCAAGCAGAGAACGTTTGGTTCACTTCACTCAACCCTGGCTGCGTGGGCGGCGGCCAGGCCCGGTGCAGGGCAGCCGTGCGCGGCAGGCAGGCAGGCGGGCGGGCGGGCAGGCTGTGTGGCCTCCCTGCAGCCACAGAGCGCCTGCTCACCTTGCTCTCCAGGGGCCACGGGGTCCAGAAAGAGTTTGAGCAGCGTGGCCACGTGCAGGCCTTCAAGCGGGCCCTGCCCCGCCTGCACCAGCAGCGGGGAGGACAGGAGGCCAGTTGCCAGGACTTTCCCGCCGCAGAACACCCCCCTGCTTCCACAGGCGATGTACCCCCTGCCAGCCGCTGCAATGACCAAAGCCGCCCAGGCAGGCAGGCAGTCGGCCCAGCAGGCAGCCCACCGCCCCGGCGGGCCCCCGCGCCTGCAGCAGCGCCTCTGCCCCCGCCTCCAGCGATGTCAGGTTGGCCAGCAGCATGACCAGCAGGTCGTTGCGCCCCGGGCAGCTCCCCTCCCTCATGTAGTCCATGCAGCGAGCGGCAGCGTTGAGGTCCAGCAGCTGCTGCTGCACTGTGGGCTCCTGCAAATGAGCAGGCGGGGCGGCTGAGGCTAGTGCAGCTCAGGGGAGCAGGCATGGGACGGTGCCAGAGCTCCGCGTAAGCTGTGTTGGTCACGGAATGGTGTCGCCAGTGCCTGAAAGCAGGTACCGACCTGGGACAAGTTGACGAGCGCCGCCAGGGCGGGGCGAGAGGTGGCCTCCGGGCCCGGCACCAGCCGGAACAGGGGCGGCAGGAGCTTGCTGCTGCGCGCCGCCAGCTGGCTGATGCCCTCTGGCGACCCCGTCAGCCCCTGCACAAGCTCTGCCGCGTGCTGCTTGATCTGCAGCAGGAGGAGGGTGGAGTGCGTGAGCTGGGGCGTTCGTGGCGGTGGCAGCGGCGGCAGCAAGTGCCGGCGCCGCTGTCATCCAGCGTGTGGCGCCTCACAGGTGGTCTGCTATCAGACAGAAAGTCTATCAACTCGGCGAGCTCGTCCGCCATGCTGCCTGGCTTCGAATGCTTGGTGTGCAATATGCAGACGAGCTTCTGAGGGTCTTTTGGGGACCGCAACTGATTGCGCTTGATGCCAGTGCGCGCATGCATGGCTGGCTGGCTCAGACGGCGCGTTGGAGCGGGCTGAGGTACATTGACCGTACGGGAGGTCCAGCTGGAAACCCAATTTTTAGCGCGCCTTTGGGTGTCGACCGAATTCCCCGCGCCTTTCACAATCACAGAACAAGGACCACACCTTATCAGCCCTCCAAGTCTACTTGCCAGATCGCATTTCCAGAGTGGGAGGAAAAGTCGAGGACAACAAGGTAGATCGGGAGCCCCCAGCTGCCCAGACCACGCCACAGCAGTGCGTGCACTCCCCCGCCACTGGCGCTGCCGGCAACCTTCCGCCGCCCGCTCCTGCCCCGCCCTTGTCATTCGCCAAACTTCTACCTCTGCCCCCTCCCCGGCCTGCTTTCACCATCGTTTCTCTCCCCATTTGCCGTGCCCCGCCGCCAGGTCCCAGCCATGGCAGATCAGGATGCGGTTGACGCTCTGCTGGAGGCTGTGGGGCTGCTCGGCTCCCGCACCATCATCCAGACCGAAGCCCAGGAGACCTTCCAACTGACCTGGATCCAGCTGCAGGACCTGCCCCACGAGGAGAAGGACAACCCAAGGGCCGCCACCCTGGGCTGGGCAGCCCGTCCCATGAAGGTGCGGCTGCACAGCATGCAGTGGCATGGATACTCTTGTCTCGCAGCCCTGGTGGTGGGGGCCCGCTAGCTAAAGCCACCGCGTTAGCTGAGCAGCCCCGGCAACCCCCTCGCCTGGCTGGCTGCAGCTGTTTGACGCGGCCGACGTGGCGCTCAAGGCGCTGGAGGTGCACGGTGGCGGCGACCTGGCGGCCGTGCTGGGCACGCTGCACTTACTGCGGGCGGAGGCGCAGGCCAGGGCGGCCCGGCTGGAGCAGGTGAAGGCCGACATGGCGGCGCGCTCGGCGGAGCGCGCCAGGTGGTGCCTGGCCAGGTCTCCGGCGGAGCGGCTGTGCAAGCAGCTGTCGATCGACCCTGACAGCCAGCTGACCAAGACCAGCGCCCAGGCCAAGTTCAACCTGACATGGAGGATGCTGAATGGCGTGAAGTGCACGGAAAAGGTGGGCTGCTGGCCAACACACCCCTTGCGCGTGCACTGCTGGGCAGGCTGCTAGCTGGCGGCGAGCCGCAGCCCCTTGGCGCAACCAGCATTGCGCCGTGCAGCAGTGAGCGGGCGCTGCCAGCCCTCTCCCACCCCCTGCCTGCGGCCCAACCCAAAGAACCCCCGGTTTGCCAGGATGAAGCTGTACAGGGCTGCAGATGTGGCGGAGCGGGCCCTGCAGGTGGGCGCCATGCTCCTGCACCCAGAGGCCGAGGTGGAGCCAATGGCGGCCCTGTCGCCGCTGGGGGTGGTGCCGCCGGCCACGCCCCACGGCGCATGATCGGCCACGGTTGCTCCGCTGTCTTCCTCCTGCACTTGATTACTTGTTGGCTGTGTTTGGTTTTGTCGAACTGGCGTGCACTGCTGCAAGATTGGACTATCAAGCAGCTGAAGCTTGTACATTGCAAACATCAAGCCATGCACGCGCCTCTCTCAGGGAGAGCTCAGCCGTGGTCCAGGTGCCGCTACCCCTCCTCATCCTCCACCACCTCCACCTCGGCCTCCTCCTGCTGCTGCCCACCCGAGCCGCGCTCGCCCGCGTCCCCTTCCCCCGCCGACTGCCGCCGCCGCTCCTTGAGCTGCGGCAGGTACCTGTCCACGAGCACCTCCACCAGCTCCTCAAACTCGCGGTCCCGGTGGTCGGGCACCACCTTGAGCATGAGGCGCCACCGCCGGCGCGCCTGCAGGCGGTCGGCGCGGCGCGCGCGCGTGCGCATGTGTGTGTGTGTATAGGTTTCATAGAAGAGGGGTGGCGTGCATGGGGTATACTAGCCAAGCGCTCAGTTGGGCCCTGCGCAATGCCCGAGAGAAGGAGGCCAGGCGCACGCGCAGGCAAACGCAGGCCACGCACCTGCGCCGCAGTGCGCCCCCGCACCAGGCTGCTCCAGTCAAGCTCATAGTCGTGGGCGGCGCCGCTGCGGGACAGAAGGCACCGCAGGACAAGGCGCGCCAGGCACGTAAGGGGCATGGGCATGGCGCACACAAGGCTTGGGGGTGCGCATCGCACCAAAGCCACTACTCCGTTCCCTGGCAGGCACCAGGCCCTGTGTTCCCTGCCTGCCCATCCTCTGTTGCTCCACCGCCGCCCCAGGCGCCCACCCACCACCACCACCCACAGCACCACCCACCCCCACACACGCCCCACCCTCACCTGAGGTACAGCGCGCGCAGCAGGCGGCGGTCGTCACCCGACCCCCACTCCCCTCGCGCCACCATGGACGGCGACAGCTGGCTGTACCACTTCTCCAGGCACTGGATGTTGGTGCGGGTGCCCACAGCCTGCACGGTGGCGGGTGGATGCATGCCAGGCGGTTGTGGAAGGAACATCAGCCGGGCGCACCCAAACATCTCCACCAAGCCAGACACCTTGGTCGCACACACCCCTGCGCTGCTGCCGCTTCTGCAGCTGCAACACCACACCCTCCCATCCCCCATCTCCTGGGCTGCTTAAAGCGCACCGCCGACACCACGCTCCAGTCAATATCATCCAGCACCACTCGCCGGCTGACGGTGAAGGCGGCGGCGCCATCCTCGTCCACCACCGGCTCAGCCACCGCGCCTGCGGAGAGGCGAGGCAGCGGAGGTGCAGGCGGCAGGCGGGTGGGTGGGTGCGTGGGAAAAGCAGGGGCAGTGCCAGGCTGGGACAGAGCCAGCGGCGAGCCCAGGGGGAGGAGCCAGATTGGCAGGAAACCTCGTGGCTGGTACCAAAATCACGGGCGGCCAAGCCGCTGGTACCAAAACCACGGGCGGCCAAGCCCCCTGCGCCCTCCCCGCCTGCCCGCCCTGCCACCCTCTCCCACCTCCTCTCCCACCTGTGATGTCGGCCATGGACAGCGTGACCTCCCCCTCGCCCCCAGCCTGCCCCTCTGCCGCCACCTTGGCAGCCAGGTAGTCGTGCACCGCCTGGCGCAGGCGCTCCGTCTCATCCTCCTCCCACCGCCCCCGCTTCCTGTCCTCCCCCAGCCTGCGGCGGGCGGCAGCAGGCGCGGCGGCAGCGGCAGCCTGCTTAGAGTGGCGCCGGCTGGCCGGATGGGGGGATGCATGGATGCAATGGCAACGACAGCATCCACATCCTCCACAAGCCTGCGAGGACTGCGGCTGGGCAGGAGGGGGCAGGACGGGCCCTGCCTGCACCCCCCTAAAACACAGCCACCATCCCCCTTCCACCCACCCACAGGCAGACACACGCAAACACCATCCACCCATCCGCAGGCA